CGGATGAGGCTAAGGCTTAAGGAACCCGATCACGTTCCCGAAAATCTCGAAAGTAAAGACATGGCCCAGCCGACTGTGGACGTCTCGGGCCATTTGGGCCTGGGCTCTTGCGTTTCCTGGCGTATACGGTTTCTCTCAAATCGCAAAAGCGATCTTAACTTGGTTTCAGTGTAAAATTACTTGTTCCCGTGTTTCTAAGCGGTGCAGCTGGGAATCGTTAGACGACAAGCAACTGCGGCAGTGCCGATCTCAGGCGGCATGCATCGTCTTCGTCCAGTGAAGCGGGTTCATTGTACAAAGGGGTGAAGGCGCCCCCAAGGGAGAGGTATCCAGCTCAGAAAGGACAGTCTTGGTATCCACGGATGCTCGCATTGCCCGCGGCGACCGCTTGTTTAGGTTATGATGATGGAGGTGTAGGATGGCAACAGCCTCAAGTTTTTGAGGTAGAATGAAGCTCACCTCAGGTCAATGGTTTGCGATGTTAGGAGGGCGAGAGGACTGGTAGTCACTAGTTTAACACGGCCTAGGAGAATTGGTTTAATGTCATTTATATGGAAATCCTCTAAAGAAGTGCTTGCGTACCGAAGCACTATCATCTGCCAGCTTTGAGGCATCCAAATGTGCCATGTCAGTGAGATGTCACCTTGGAGACGTGAGTGTCCCAAATTTTGGTACGCACTGTATGTGTCAGCGATTTTGCTTGGAAACATACAGTGCCCAAACTATGTGAGACTGTGAATGTCCGTGCTTTGAAGATGTAGGCGACGCGTGCCAGTGAGAAAAGCGCGACCTCCATTTCAACGACACATCTCCTCGCCGCACACCGTTCGTGACAACCCGCAAAATGAGTACTGAAGATGACCAAGAACCTCAATTCAGGCAGGAGGATCATCAGGCGAGTGATTCTGCTCCTTACATCCGCGGCTGATGCTGACATCTGTCCACAGGCCGCCTTCATCTTCCGGCCTCCTGGTGAGGAAGCTAGATTGGATCGACCCGCCAAACGGCGCCGTTTGTCCAACAAGGCTGTCGTCGAAAAAGCGAATATCGCAGCCTCTTCGTCATTTGTGCCTTTATTGAATGGCGAGGAATTGCCCGAGTGCGTGGCGCTCCGTGAGAAGCAATTCCAGACAAGCTGGGACCATCTCGAATCCAAAGCCCAGGTAAGTAGAGCATCATGTCTAAAACTAGAGTCATACGCTGACTACGAAACTTAATAGGAGAAACTGCGTGATGCCAACTCCGCCACCCTAGATCAAGTGACTGCTTTCATTCGTGATCAGTCTGGTTCATCGTCAGTGAGCACGGCGCGGGGTTGACTTGCACTACTAATAGCATCACAGGAGTAAAATCCCGACTGCCTTTATCATCACCGGCCCGAACATCTCTTCTCAGGACCTATTGTTTGAGCAGTTATCTGAAACGCTCGAGGAGAACACGCGGAGCAAGTTTGTCAGACTCAAGTCATCAGAGGCGTCTAATCTGAAGGCTGCCCTCAAGAAGATCATTGAGGATGCCACATCTCGGGGATCTCTAGATGACGAGGACGTGGAAACCACATCCGGACAAGATGTGATTTTTCTTCCCTTCAGCTCGAACGATGCGACGAGAAGCTCACGAACGACAGGGCCGGAAGTATCTGAATTATGACCTCGAGGGTCTATACGCATTCTCAACGGCGCAGAAATGCGATCACATTTTTGTCTCATTCCAGGATAGCGAAGGATTCGACAGCGCTCTGCTCTCTGATTTGATCATACTCTTCAAGTGAGTCGCTATCACAATAGACTTCAGGAGCATTATTGACATCTTGAAACTAGCTCCTGGCGGCCCAAGATCCCTTTCACGCTCTTATTCGGCATCGCAACATCGGTAGAATTGTTGCAGGCGCGATTACTCAAATCAGCGTGCCAACATCTTTACGGTGCTCAGTTCGACGTTGTACAAACTGGAGCGATTTTGGAGCAGATCTTCAAGCCGACTATTGCGGGATCGGATGCTGCCCTAACTTTGGGAGAGAATTTACTGCAGAGTTTCGTGGAAAGGCAGCAAGACCAGGTCGCCAGCATTCAGTCGTTTATCGCATCAATCAAGGTAAGACTTCTGAAGTCATACGCTACAGTGGCCGGGCTGACAGTCATAGTATGCATACATGTGTCACTTTTATGCAAATCCGTTGAGCGTCTTTGCTGTGGAGGACGATGAAATGAATAGCGAATTTGTCCAGGACGAACACATCGAGTCGATCCGGTCGCTCCCTTCATTTCGGCGCGAGATTGAAAAGGCCGTTGAAGCGAAGGATCTGAGATTAGCGAGGTCTTTGTTGGAGGACGATGACATGCTGCGCGAAAAGATTTTCGACATTCCAGACAAAAAACGGGAATGGGTCACCCGCCTTCTCCGCTCGCTCAAGCTCGTCCAGGCAACGGGAGTCGTTCAAGATGACTTTTCCTCGATGTACATGAAAGCGGTGGCCGAGGGAATTTCCCCTTCGTCCGAGGGCTGGGACATTGTCGAAAGCATCAAGCGGATGCAACCGGATGACTTTGTCTCGATGCTGCAACGTGTTCAAGACGCCATGGCCAGCGGGGATGCCCAGCTGTGTCTCACCGGATGGGAGTCCGACGCCGGGGACCTCCCTTCTCTTGTAGACAGCCTTCTCCGCGACTCAAAGGAGCTGCTCGGCAGGGCGAAAGAGGACGGTAGCACCTTGCGGAGCGCCTACAGTGGCCACAGCCGAGTCCTTCGCACCACCGTTGTTGCGCAAAAGGTGCAGCTCAGCCACGATTCGGCAGCCCTTTCCGAAGACGATAAAGCCTTTACCAGAATCGCGGACCGTGTCGCGGAGCTATTCCAAGACGTCATACACTGCGAACCGGCCGCAGAAATCTTCCTGCACGAGACATGGCTCTACGATTCCAAGACACCGTACCGCGACGTTTTCGTCCCCCGACCCCAGGATGTCTTTGAGCGGAGCCTGAAGCGACCGCAAGACTATCTCGCGTGTTCGTGCTGCAGCACCGACGAGGGCATCTCGACAACGATGCCCGTCACGTCGCTGCTGTATCATCTGTATTTAGAGACGGGTAACCTCATCAACGTCGCAGATCTGTGGTCCGCCTTCTACGCCATGGTTTCCGGTGATACGGACGGCGAAGGGAACGCCGATGAGCGGGGGGCGCTGGTGTCCTTTTACCGGGGCCTGGCGGAGCTAAAAGCACTCGGCTTTGTCAAGATGAGCAGGAAGAAGACAGACCACATTGCCAAGCTCAAGTGGCTATAGGAGCTGAAAGGCTTGTCGACGACGGCCTGGGACTATGAAACGAGGCCGTGGTGTCATGTTGCACGTCAGACGCGTAGTTCCAGGAGAGATGTTACGGGGCTGGTGATGTTCTGTTTTGTTCAGTATCAGCAGGCAAAATTGATTATTTACCTTTACAGACCACTTTTCGCATGATCAAGCAGACGGATCCTGAGCCTATTTCGGAGGGGGGAAGGGTGTCTCTTTGAAGAAAATTTGTCATTGACTTGGTCTCTTTAGGGTCGAGAACAGTATTCTTCTGTCCTTGTCTTCAATAAACCTTGAACAAGGCCATTGTACGTTGACTTCTTTGTCTATTAGTCGCCCGGACCACCACGGAACCGACTGCTCAGCCACCCCTTCACAAATCCACGCTCCGTCCGCAGAACCGCTGAAAGCACGGCTATCCGATTTACCGGTCTCTGGCTCGGCCAAAAAGACTATGCTCAGAGGGAGGAGTGTGACAGAGTGGGAGGAGGAAGGGGAGGAGAGTAGGTAGAGGAAGTATGGCGAGGGAGAAAATGAGTGGAATGGGCGGATCTTGTCTCGGAACCTCCATATTCGGGGCGGAGCTGGCTTCTTGTTGCGGCCGGCACGCGACTCGTTTCTAGGCCGGCCGGACTGGAATTTCTCAGACATTTCAGAAGTGCGCGTAGGTAGCCCACCACCCTTCTGCCTTTCCGTCTCTGGTGTGTGTCTCTCCCCTTCCACCCCCTGTCGAGCTGTCACTTACCCGACCCTCTTCTCCCCCGCCATCCGCCATGTCTCATGCTGATAAAGAAGAGTCAAACCACCAAAACCGCCTGGACTTGTAAGTCCGAATAGAGCGAGAGAGAGAGAGAGAGAACCGGCAGTCTGGGTAGGGGGGCTTACTTTCCTACAAGCCCCCCAGGAGAGAAAGTAAACGCCGCTTACAACCTCGCCTGACCTTACCCAGGATGGCAAAATCTGGCCGTCAACGGACAAAGCAGTCGTGTCTCGCCTGACGTATTAGTCGCCCTGCCGCAGCCCCCCTTCCTCCTCCTTCTCGTTTTGACTTCGGGTCCCAGTCGGTCGGGTCGCCTTTGGTGGAGGAGTGGTCTGGATTTTCTCGTTGTGACGGTTTCTTTCCCGTCCTTGACCCTTTTTTCCTACTGTTCCAGCTGCTTGTGGTCTCCCCCCATTGACCCTTTCGGGGTTTGTTCTCGTTGTTTTTGTCTCTGATCAAGGTTGCTGTTCCGGATCAAAGAAAAAAAACATGTCGAGGAAAAAAGGGGGAACGGCGTGTGGGAGGGTCGAATCGGCTAGTGGCCTAGCCTCGTCCCTTTGGGTTCGGTTTGCTCGCGAACATACAAGAGAGGCAGTCTTCCGCTCCTCGGTTTGTAGATGCTTCATCATCGATCTCTTTCAGATTTCATTACCAACTTTCCTAACTATCTCGAGAATCTATAGAATCAACAAGGTTTTTTACACAAACACGCATTACTTCTTCTAATTCACTCTCCCATCTGTGCAGGCATAGATCTACTCTCCAAAAGCACAGAGCCTCTTTTTTCCATCTCCTATTCAAAGAAACCAAAAATAAGACGAGGAGAGAACGGCATCAAAGCTGAAAGACGCCACAGTCTGTTCCCACGGAGATCGTCATTTTATATTTCTCAAAACATTCTACTTATCACTTTTCTTTCTGCTGAGATCCCATCTCATCACCTTAATCACTACTACAAAACCACTTTTTTTTTCTGATCGTTGCCATCGAACCGTGCTGCCGGTACCTTGATATCCGTAATACTCTTTTTTCCAAAACAGAGAGTCACAGCACTTAAGACAAGTCAATCTCTGAAGACGAACCGCATACCCCGGAAGAGCTTGACAGGAGGATAAAGGGATTGGAGAGCGCAAGAGGAACCACAGAACTCAAGGGCAAAAAAGAAAACAGAAAAAGATGGCAACCAGACACCACCACACCACCAGCGGCGGAATCGGCAACCGACGAGCGTCCCGCAATGCGGCCTTCCAGGAAAAGATGCGCCAGATGCGTCTCCCGCTGGCCCCCCTCGTCCAAATGTCGACGGGCGCCGTCCACCCGGCCTTCCCCGCGACGCTGCTCAACTTTTGGCTCCTCACCGAGGACCAGCTCGACGACCTGGCGCGCTTCTACCACCAGCGCAACCCCTCGCCCTGGTCCGGACAGTACCCCTGCCCCATCACCTGGCAGTCGGGCCTCACCCTCGAGGAGAAGCGCAGGAAGATTGGCAAGTTTATCGGTCTTAGGTACGTTTTTTCAAGAGAATACCGGCTGCTTTGCATGTGTGTATAAGTGGAACCATGGACTAACGTATTGCGCGTAACAGAGGCTGTGAGACTCCCATTCGGATACGCATCAAGACTGAGGAGCAAATCATAGAGGAGGCGCGGCAGGCGAGATTAGCGGAGGACGATGAGGCTCTGAGAAGAAAGATGCCGTGGTACTCATGATCTTCGAGACCGCGAGGGTTGCCATTTGATGTTTTGGGTTCATCCTTCTTCTCGATTTTCTTGCTTTCTTGCATGGCATTGCGTTGATATCACAGGGCATTTTCAGGCGTTGGTGGCACAGCTTTCTTCCACATAGAAATAGACCCCCTTTGGACTCATGTCTGGGAAAAAGAAGGGTCAATCAAGATAGTTTAGAGACCCTCAATCAATTCATGATGCAAAACATGCCGACTATGACCCTGAACGCCTAAAAACCTTGAAGCCGTTGAATGCTCTTTTTCCATACACCGGGGGGGGGATGAGGTATCTAATGACAATGTGGACGGTGCGGGGCGCTGAGGCGCATATCGATATGTGGACGGGACGATGAACGCATGATGCGTGAATGGGTGAATACGTGGTACTGTAGAGAAGAAACGGGTGCGTGTCGCTCATTTCTTGCCCTTCTTCTTCTTGGAAGGCGTGCTGGTGGTAGAGGCGGTAGAGTCAACGAGAACGGCGTCGCCGTCAACACTAGGCGGGGCGGTTGAGCTCTTCTCGGACTCGTCGAGCTCCTTCATGAACTCGGTCTGGATAGTCGATCTGCGCTTATCCCACCACGCCTTCTCCTGCTCGACGGTGTTTTGAACCTCCTCGAGGCGGTTCCGCACGATGGTGTTGGCGGCAATTTCGTTAGCGGACTGGAAGATGGACTGACCCCAGTTGGGGGCGAGGGCGTTGGCCTGGGTATTATGTTAGTACACACTCTCCTCGTTTGGCCAGAGTACCAGGCTCTGTAGCAGGTGTACGGACCTCCATCACGACGTCGCGCAGCTCATCCTCCATCTCCTTCTCTGCGCGCTGGAAGCGCTGCCACAGATCATCACCGACGCTTCCCCGCTGCAACAACGTGCTGCAGGCCTGCTTGGCGGAACGGATTTGGACCAGACGGTGGATATCCTCAACGGCGCGGCGGAGGAGGGCGGCTTTGATGACGGTGGAGGGGATCTTGGGGGTCTTCTCGGCGCCCTCTTCCGGAGATTCGAGGTGCAGCAGCGACAGGTAGATGTTGCGCTGCAGATGGGGGCCGAACCAAGGAGCAAGGTTGGCGCTCTGAGCTGTAGCAATGAAAGAGTCTTGGTCAGTATTCTCATTCTTTCGAGCGACTGTTGGCATCGCGGACTGCTTTGGCGCGAAAGAGGTGGGTAGGACTTACTGGCTTTGCGCTTTCTGTAAATCGTGGAAAAGGTCATGAAGACGCCGCCGAGGACCGTAAGGTAGGCGAAAGGGAGCACAAGGCTCATCCAGTCAACATCGAACATAGCTGCGGTTTATTGTGCGCTCGTAAGGATCGTGGTGGGAAAGTAAAGAGTATGAACGAAGGACAATGAATTTGTGGTTGCAGGCGATTTGTCGTTGGTGTTGATGAAGCGTGTCCAGTACTGTACCCAAGTGACAGGACAGCTTGCCGGTCGCATTGGACACTTTTTTGGCCGCCCACTATAAGTCAAAGGCTGTCCCGCTGCTTTACTACAGGCTCGACCTGAGCCCTTGCACCTTGGATTTTATGGCCCGAGTAATGATTAGAAGAATTCGATTGATTGCGAACTGACAATAGAATGAATCAAAGAGAAGTTCTACGTTCGAATCTTCAACGAAATGAGTATATCTTCCCTTTTCCATGGTCCTTTTGCATGCTTGACGAAAGCAGCTGGTAAAGCGGCAGCTTCCTGAACTGGGTACAAGGGTACAAAGAGACCTCAAGGCTCAAGCAAGCAGGGCAAGTGTGGCTGCTGCTTGTCTGGTCGCACCTTGCCTCTCAAGCCACCCTAGCAAGGCCCGTTCCCAACTGCCCCTGCAGGCTGCTGGCAAGTGCTGGGTGGTGAATAAGCTATGCCAGGGGCCGCTGAAGGAACGTGCAACCCCCTCCCCTCCGTCGTTTTGCCGGACCCACAATAAGGCACCACCTTTGATGACGCTGTTGCAAGCTGCGGCGATCCACCTTTAGGTTGGCCAAGTGGTACGCACCGGAGCTCTCACGAACCCATCCCATCCCACTAAGCAACGACAAAAGCAAAAGCTCCCACGAACTCGAGCCTTCTTTCCACTCCCTCACTCTGCTACAACGTCTTCTTTTCACGCACCGGCTTCAAAACGACGTGTGCAAGGGCATGTGCGCTCTACGCTGAAAACGATTCTATAGATTTTCTTATTTAATCCTTATACCCCCGACCTTTCTTCGACATCGATCGCACCTTCCATAACTTCGAACTTCGCCGCCCAAGATGCTTCTGAGACTTCGAGGGCCTGACGGCACGAATCGTCTGAATATAGACGCAAACGACACATTCGGACACCTCGGTAGTCTGGTATGAGAGTATTCCATTCTACAAGCTGTGCAGGGTCCGCCTAACCGTTCTAGTTGATTCCGAACCTTCCAGAGACCGTCGACCCGAACTCCATAACCCTTTCAAATGCACCTACAGGCGGCGATGCTAAGAACTTGGTCGAGATCGCCTCTTTCAAGGTTGGACAGATCGGGCTGAAGTAAGCCAGCGTCTAACCTCTAGCACGAGCACAATACTAATCTTCGCAGGCATGGCGATCTCATCTTCATAAACTACAAGCTTAAAGATGGTCAAGCCAATGGTGATGCCAACGGCACTGAAGCATCCTCTCACCTTCTGGCAACTTCAAACCGACTCAACGGCAAGCCCATTCTGCCGACCGACAACTTGCCGATCGATCCTCCGTCCGTGACGTCGCCGTCCGAGAAAATCAAAAATCCCTGGGACGTTGTCAGGCAGCACCCACTAGACGATCGGTTAGACAAGAAGGATGGCAAGATCCCGAGAGGTCGCGACCACAAGATGTGCCGGCATGGACCGAAGGGCATGTGCGACTACTGCATGCCTCTGGATCCGTTCAACGCGAAGTACCTGGACGAGAAGAAGATCAAATACCTGTCGTTCCACTCGCATCTGCGGAAGATCAACTCCGCCACGAACAGGCCTGAACTTGGAAGCTCTTACATTCCACCTCTTGTGGAGCCTTACTTCAGAGTCAAGCGCGACTGTCCTTCGGGCCACCCTCAGTGGCCCGAAGGTATCTGCACCAAGTGCCAGCCGAGCGCCATCACCTTGCAGCCGCAGCCATTCCGCATGGTTGACCACGTGGAATTCTCGTCGCCTGCTATTATCGACACATTCATCGACGCCTGGAGAAAGACGGGAGGTCAAAGACTGGGCATCTTGTACGGCCGGTACACAGAGTATGAGGTTGTACCCCTCGGTATCAAGGCCGTCGTCGAGGCCATTTACGAGCCGCCCCAGGTCGATGAGATGGATGGAGTATCGTTGAATGCGTGGGAGAACCAGAAGGATGTTGATGAGGTCGCAAGGCTCTGCGGGCTGCAGCAGGTCGGCGTCATTTTTACTGACCTTCTGGACGCTGGTGCAGGCGACGGATCAGTCGTCTGCAAGAGACACGCTGATTCGTACTTCCTGGCCTCGCAGGAAATCTGCTTCATCTCACGTTTACAGGCTCAGCATCCGAAGCCCACCAAGTGGAGCGACAGCGGCAAGTTTGGATCCAACTTCGTCACTTGCATCGTCTCGGGCAACGAATCGGGAGAGATCTCGATCTCATCATACCAGGCTTCTAATGACGCTGTGGAGATGGTCCGCGCCGATATTATCGAACCCTCAGCTGATCCCAACGTGATGCTGGTTCAAGAGGAAGAGGAAGACGACGGGTCCACGAGCCGAACAAGATACATCCCCGAAGTTTTCTACCGTCGGATCAACGAGTACGGTGCCAATGTGCAGGAGAACGCAAAGCCTTCGTTCCCCGTGGAGTATCTCTTCGTGACTTTGACACACGGATTCCCGGATGAGTCCAAGCCTACTTTCACCCAACTAGGTTTCCCCATCGAGAACCGCGAGTACATGGGCGAAAGTCAAGAACACTCTGCGGCCGCTAGGATCCTCAAGTTCTCGGGCGGTCAGAAGCCCGCCGATGGTGGCTTGGAAATGTCCAATTTCCACTTGCTCACCTTCATTCGCCAGATGGGCATTCTTTCCAAGGTGTGTTGGTCACTTTCCATTGGAAGCTCTTAACTAACATATCCTAGGACGAAGAATCGCTGTTATGCCGAGTTGCATCGCAACATGACCTGGCTGACAACTATCAGCTGCGATCTACCGAGGGCTGGAGGACTTTGCAGGCGATCCTGCAATCGACCGGTGAGCGAATCCCCAAGCGCCCACGGCAGTCCGAGGGCCATCCCGCTTCCAGTGAACTGCATGATCCATCTGGGCGTCAATCCAGGACCACAGAAGAACCCCTTGCTAAACGATTTGCTGCCTTCAGGCTGAACGAGCGTCGCTCACCTCGGTAAGCAGAGCAATTTCGTGAGATGTGCTCTGTGACTCCGCGTATTTGACGCAACCGGATGTCATCAAACGATGATGTGGATCCTTGGAAAAAGGCTCTATCAAGACTCTTGAGGATTACAGACGGGAAAGGTTTGGGAATGCATGCTCATGCGAGTGGCCAAGGGTGGCCAGCCTGGTGTTTGGGGATCAAGGAAGCATACCGGCATGGGAGGCAGAAATGGTCCTTGGGCAGATGAAAGCGACGCGAGGCACCTGTACCTTAGTTAACAGTTACTCCGGATTGGAGGGGTCTGGGTTCAAATAGGAAACCCAAATCAAGCAGCCTGGTCTTCTGATCCAGTGTTCACAATTCTCAAATTTCAAGCCAATTAAACTTAGTATGCTTGATCAGCATGGCTCCACGTCGTCTCCAATTTCTTGATGATTCAAAAGGCCCAGCGTACACTCGGTCTCATTGTCACGGTAGTTGCCCAGAATCAGTTTCGAGGTGAGAATACAGCATGCGCATGGGAGTTATATCCAACAGTGAAGTTTGTTTTGAACAAGTTCTTTTTTTCAACTAAAAAAAGAGGGGGTAAACTAAAAAACAAAGTTCCTTATTTTTTTTAATCCACCCCCTTTGCCGATATCACCATCGCCCTTCGCCGATTTCGAGGTCTTTCTTTTTTGTCGTAGAAACGAGAACATTTCCGGCTAACCTAAAACTCCATTTTTGGGGGGAAAAAACACACTAAATCTTGAACGAAATAAGTTGTTGGTATTTACAAGGGCTTGCCGCCGAGGAAGTTGGACCAGGGGCGGACTTCGGAGGGGATACCCTCCTTGCGGGGGAGCCTCTCGCTCATGCATTGGGCGAAGAGCATGGCAGTCTAGTATTACATGTTAGCAATTTGAGTCTGTAACTTGTTCGTAGTCTTTGGAAACTTACCTTGGGCTCCATGAAGAGAGGGACGCCAAAGTCGACGGCGTTGCGGCGCATGACGTAGTCGACGTCCATGACGGTCTTGCCACGGGCCTGGGCTAGGTTGAAGACACCGCGGATGTCGTACTTTTGGAAGACCTCGCGAAGAGCGCGCTTGTCCTCCTTGGGGAACTCAATGACCTCGACAGAGACCTTGCCCTTTGCGCTGGACTCGATGAACTCCTTGACCTCGGTGTCGGCGGCGAAGAGCTTGTAGCCCATGGGGGCGAGGTAGTTGACGACAGTGGGGAGCCACTCCTTGTTCAGCTGGCCGCCGAAGAGGAGACCTTCACCGGGCTCGGGCATGCGGAAGTTCATGGTCGACTGCAGAGAGGTCCAGTAGGCCTCGACGAGGTCCTTGCCGAAGCAGGCAATCTCACCGGTGGAGGCCATCTCGACGCCAAGGAAGGGGTCGGCGCCGGCGAGACGGGTCCAGGAGAACTGGGGCACCTTGGTGGCGAGGTAGTCGCGCTTGACGGCCATGAGGTCGACGGGCTTGGGGACGTCCTGGCCGACGAGAGCCTTGGTGGCGGCATCGATGAAGTTGGTGCCCAGGACCTTGCTGACGAAGGGGAAGGAACGGGAGGCACGCAGGTTGCACTCGATGACCTTCAGCAGAGGCTCGCCGCCCTCGGGGTTCTCGGCCTTGATGATCTGCATGTTGAAGGGACCGGTGATGCGCCACGCCTTGGCGACACGCTCAGCGATGTCCTTGACACGGTCCATGGTGGTCTGGTCAATGTTCGCGGGGGGAGGACCAGGGTAGCATCTCCAGAGTGGACACCAGCCTGCTCAACGTGCTCACTGACAGCGTGGAGGATCACCTTGCCCTCAGACGCGACACCATCAACGTCGATCTCCTCAGCGCCCTCAATGAACTTGCTGATGACGACGGGGTGGTCGGGGGAGACGTTGGCCGCAGCCTCAAGCTTCTCCTTCAGGTCCTCCTGGCTGCGGATGACAGTCATGGCGGCACCGGACAGGACGTATGAGGGACGGACAAGGACAGGGTAGCCGACCTGGTCAGCGAAGGTCTCAGCCTCCTCGACGGAGGTGAGCTCCTTCCACGCGGGCTGATCGATTCCGATGCTGTCGAGAATCTCAGAGAACTTCTGTCTATCCTCGGCCTTGTCGATATCCTTGGGGTCAGTGCCAAGAACCTTGGCTCCGCCGGTCTCCTGCAGACGGAGGGCGATGTTCTGGGGCAGCTGGCCACCGACAGACACAACGACACCCGAAGCACTTTCGAGCTCGTAGATATCCATCACACGCTCGTAGCTCAACTCCTCGAAGTAAAGCTTGTCAGCGGTATCGAAGTCCGTGCTGTAGGTCTCGGGGTTGAAGCTGTTTGCTTGTTAGCGTTTCGTACTTTGTTATCGAATCTTTGAAACTCACTTGATCATCACGGTCTTGTGGCCCATCTGGCGCAGAGCCTGGGTAGCGCTCACAGCGCACCAGTCGAATTCGACGGAGCTACCGATACGGTAGACACCGCTACCAAGAACGATGGTTCCCTTGTCCTCGAAGGTGACGTCGTGGGAGGAGGCGTTGTAAGTGGTGTACAGGTAGTTGGTGTCGGCGGGGAACTCGGCAGCGAGAGTATCGATCTTTTTGACCCAGGGGCGAATACCGAAGGCAAGACGAGCAGCGCGAGCAGCGTCCTCAGTGCTTCCAGTGGCAAGAGCAATCTGGCGATCAGAGAAACCAAGCTTCTTGGCCTTGGTGATCTGGTCCTTCTTCAGGTTCTCCAGACCACCAGCGGCCTCAAGCTCGTGCTGGCAGTCGACAAGGTTCTGCAACTTGTACAAGAACCACTTGTCAATCTTGGTCAGGTCGTGAACTTTCTCTACTGAGTAGTTCTCGTGGAGCATGGCCTGACCAACGGCGAGCCAGCGGCGGTCAGTAGGGTTCTGGAGCTCGAAGTCCAAGTCCTCGAACTTGTCGCCCTGGAAGCCGACAAACTTGGGGTCGACCTGACGGATAGCCTTTTGGAAAGACTCTTCGAAAGTTCTACCAATTGCCATGACCTCACCGACAGACTTCATGGCACTGCCAATGTCGCGCTTGACGTGCTGGAACTTGGAAAGATCCCAGCGGGGGATCTTGGTGACGATGTAGTCAAGGGAAGGCTCAAAGTTGGCAGTCGTGGTCTTGGTGACCGCGTTGGGGAGCTCGGGGAGGCTGTGGCCCAGGCCGATCTTGGCAGCAGTGTACGCAAGGGGGTATCCGGTGGCCTTGGAAGCCAAAGCAGAAGAGCGAGAAAGACGAGCGTTAACCTCAATGACACGGTAGTCAAGGCCGTCGGGCTGGAGCGCGTATTGGACGTTGCACTCTCCGACAACACCAAGATGACGGACAATCTTGATGGCGGCAGATCGCAGCATGTGGTACTCCTCATCGCTCAGAGTCTGACTAGGAGCAACGACAATACTGTCTCCGGTGTGAATTCCCAAGGGGTCGAAGTTCTCCATGTTGCAAACAGTGATGCAGTTGTTGTTTGCGTCACGGACAACTTCGTACTCGACTTCCTTCCAGCCCTTCAAAGACTTCTCAACCAGAATCTGGGGGGAGAGGGTGAGGGAGCGGGCAGCCATGTTGCGAAGCTCCTCCTCGTTGTTTGCGAAGCCAGAACCCAAGCCACCGAGCGCGTAGGCGGCACGAACAATAATGGGGTATCCGACCTTCTCGGCAGCGTCGAGGGCCTCCTCGATAGTGCCGACGGCGATGGACTTGGCGATAGGGATGTCGATCTCGCCGAGGGCTTTGGCGAAAAGGTCACGATCCTCACTGGTCTCGAGGGTCTTGACGCTGGTTCCGAGAACCTTGACGCCATACTTCTCAAAGAGACCCAGGCGCTGCATCTGGACACCCAAGTTCAGGGCGGTCTGGCCACCGAAAGAGAGGAAGATACCATCGGGCTTCTCCTTCTCGATGACATACGTCACGTACTCCGGTGTGACGGGGAGATAGTAAACCTCATCGGCGAGCGAGTGGTTGGTCTGGATGGTGGCAATGTTCGGGTTAATGAGGACAGACTTGACGCCGGCCTCCTTCAGAGCCTTCAGAGCTTGTGATCCTTCATGCAGAGTCGTGTTAGCCAGAAAGCTCCTTGGTGTCTGTGACTCATTCTCTACACTTGTTGAGCGCGAGATTGGCAAGCAAACAAACCTGAGTAGTCAAACTCTCCGGCCTGGCCAATGGCGAGACCACCACTGCCAATAACGAGCACCTTCTTGACATCGACACCAGCGGAGGGCTTGATCACACCGCTCTCAAGATAAGCCTTGGGATTCGGCGCAGATTGCGCGGCACTGGGACGAAGTGCGCTCGCGGTAAAGAGGCGCTTCTGAAGCAGCTTAGCACTGCTGTTCTGGAGTTGGGCTCTGGCCAGGCCGTTGGAGGCGGCGAGGGTGAAGTTGCGACCGGTCAGAGCTGTAGGGACTCGGCGACCATGTCGGAGGACAGCCGGAGCTCGACCTGCCAAAGAACTTGACATGGCCGACGGCATTGTGAAGGATTCAAGGTTTCAATGCGACAAAGACCTTGGGGAAGAGAGAGAATACTCGAGGTCAGAGCCAATTGAATGGTTTTTGGACCAAGAGAGAAGAGGTATTATGGCCGCCGGGGAGGGAAGGTTTGTGACTCTTCCGTGAGCTTTGTTAGAGTTGTGGGGAGGGAAGATGGTCGCAGCGGTCTTTCGTCTTCAGCGACAAAAGGCGGTCCGAATTCTGATAAGATAAGGAAATTTTTCTCTCAGCGGTTGTTGAATTGGCCGATCGGGGGGGCCCAACAATGGCTCAGGACGCTAACTGGGGTAATATCACATCCGTCCCTCTCCTCAAGGCCCCGTCTGCTGCCCCCGTCTGCCCCGTCTGGTGTCCCAGGGACCACTTGGGCGCCGTTATCGCAAGTTTCTGCGTCACCGCAGTGACTGTACATACCCTCGCACATCCATCCATGGCCCTCTCTCAGCGCTGAGGGACCACCCTAGTGCCTCCCGCCCTCACCTCTAATGAGCGAGGCTTGGGATTTGCCGAAAATTTCTGACAGTGCAGGTACTTGAACAAGGTTTTACAGCGTTGTCAAAACTCTCAGCAATGCATTCTCGTCTGTAACGGTCAGATGCCCCGAGCCGTTCCCCGGCTTTTTGTGTATGTGTGTGTGTATATAAGTATTTGAAGCTGGTGGATCACCCACTGGTTCTTCTCAGACGACTCGAGCTTTGTGCTCACCTTACCTTCTTTCCTGCGTGTCTGCGGAGGTACCCAGCCCTGAGCAGGAGCTCAAGGTGCCCAGACATTACTAGCAGCTTGGACAATATGCACTGTTGAGTCACGGAAACAAACTCTTTTGGGATGGAATTAATGTTACCTGTACGTATCCGTAGGGTACCTTATGATTGACTCAATTGAGACGATTGGAGACACCCATGGGGACTTGCCAATATTCCCCGGGCGTGCTCCAGCTGCTCCAGTCAAATCTGACCGTCGACTCTCGAGTGACTCACGGTGTGGTCGCTCGCTCGTTCGCTCCTGGCCGTGTGCCGGGCTGCGTTCCGTCCGGCGTCTGCTTCCTCAGTGTGTGAGTGTGTCAGTCTCTCACACCAGAGTCGAACTGCACGCACCTTTTCGTCCAGAGTAAATAAGGGCCCGAGCTTTCTTACCGTTTGGGATGCGATCTGACGTTTGGCCTAACCAACCCCGCTACATCTGGCATTTGCCCCGCCTTGAGCACTCAGTGTCGGGGGGAGTCGTGAACTTTTCTTTCCTGCCATTGGCCAATGCCTCATCGACAGTCCGAGCAAATGCCGCTGAACGACTCGGAGGTGGCCGAATCGGTCATGGCGCCGATGACACCAATGACACCGATGTGGGATGTCAACATCTATCATGAGGATCACCTGCCGACCCTTGCTAGACGTTGACACCTCATCTAAATCGACCACCTACGGAAGAGTAGCCGTGGGGCAGCTGAACCTCACGATCGTCGATGGGACAGGCTCTTGAGTCTTGACACCCTGGTAACCTCATGGTTGACAGCTTGACAGTACGACCTTTCAAAACGTGATTGGTATTCCATTCGCCAACATATGCCAGCCCAAGCTCATCTCATGTAAGTCATATCCCTTTTTCTACTTTCCCATGCCGAATCCTCTAGTTTTTATCAAGTCTTACTGCCGGGTTTCTCTCGATGAAGTTCAAATCCACCTTGTGTCCCAACAGCTCACGAATGTTGGAGATGCCGTACTTGATCATGGTCGGTCTCTCCAAGCTCAAACCCCAACCGTACACTCTCAAATCCTTGGGCAGACCCATTGCCTCGAGCATTTCCGGTCTGAACATACCGCTGTTACCGATCTCGACGAGCTTGTTCAAGCCCTTGTGGAAGCTGAAAATCTCCATACTCGGCTCCGTGTAAGGGTTGTACGCCGGCTTGAACTTGATGTCTGTAATGCCCATCTTGTTGAAGAAGATCTCCATGAACTCCATCAAGCCTCCAAGTGTAAGTCCATAATCCGCAATGACACCCTCGACTTGGTGGAATTCAGCCAGATGCGTGGCGTCGACACTCTCGTTACGGAACACTCTGTCGATGGAGAAGTAACGAGCCGGGGGAGGTCTGCCGTCCGGTCCCTTTCTGGAAGCCAACTGGTGAAGTACCGCCGTGGAGATAGCTGTCGTGTGCGTGCGGAGAACAAGCCTCTGAGCTTCGTCCGCAGCCCAGGGGTAACGGTAGCCGATTGAGCCAAACTTGCCATCCTGGTGGACCTCCTTAACGTTATCCCAGTACGTCTTGTAATCCTTCTTGTCGTCTTCCGACTCAGGGCCAGGCTTGTCTGCCACCTTGGGATCCGAGATGTAGAAAGTGTCCTGGAGATCTCTCGCGGGATGTTGTTGGGGCACGAAAAGGGCGTCGAAGTTCCAGAATCCAGACTCGACGAATTTGTCGGTCGGCATCTCCTCGAAACCCATCTCGAAGAAGATTTGGCGGAACTCGTGGCGGACCTTGTTGAGGGGGTGAAGAGCGCCGGAGTTCTGGTCAGATCCAAGAGCTTTGAAGTTGTATGGCTTGAAGTTGGCAGTCTTCCATGAGCCAGACGCAATCATGTCGGCCGTCAAGTCTGTCTCCTCCTTCTTGATTTCCAGTGCGAACTCAGGTCCCTTCTGGATCTTGTATGCGATAACCTTCTGGGTCTTGATGAGCTTGCGCTTCTTCAAGTCGGTGATGACCTTGGGCTCGTGGGTCTTCGTCTCCAGGATTTGCTTAAGCTGAGCCTGGACAACGTCTTGAATCGAGTCGGCCTGGGAACATCGTGTTAGCCCGTGTTGGTAATGTATGAGGCAGACGACCTTACATTTGCAACAAACTTGCCGTCGCCATTCTTCTTGATCCACTTCTCCTTGAAGGCCTTGCCTTGGCCGTTCTTCGCTACGTTCTTGTCGCCCACAGCAGCCTCAAGCTCTTGGACCGTCAACCCCTCCAAAGCTTTCCGGACCGCCTCGAAGACACGAGCTTCGTGGCTGCCGTGCTCGGAAATTTGCTTGCCCTCAGCCTCGAGAATGGCTTCCTCCCTGTCAATTGACTCGTATGTAACCATGGAACGACTGCCGAGACGGTCCAATGCCGCCTTGACGTCCGTGAAGTGGAACTCTGGGAAATGCTCGGCAGAGAGGATGGGATCCTTCTGGGACAAAGCCAGAAGAATCTGGGACGTGAGGTCCCCAGAAGGACCGTTGCTTGTCGTCGCCATGATTTCGTGTGTTGTTGTCTGAAAATGTGGCTTGCACGTCGAGATGTCGATTGTCGATGTTCGGCTCGTTGAGTCAGAGGGGCACTTGTAAATTAGGCGGGAACTCCTGGCAGAAATTTGGCCGCGAATGTCGAATCGGAGGGGAGTGTGGACCCTGCGCGGGATGGATGGAGGGGTACTCGTATCAAAGATACTCCTGCTCCGAACTTCCGATACATTATCAGAAGGCGCCCGCGCCAGTGGGTCTAGCTCCTGAGCTTACCGCGTCGAGTCGTCGACAGCTCGCCTGCCGTGCCTGCCTTCCACATTCCTCAAGCAGAAGCTGTGGCGTCACTCTTGGTATCCCTGCAGCTGGCCTCGGTCGGCTTTTATCCACACCTGTTCGCATCACGGTCCCCAACGGTCGGGAATATCCTCATTCATGCTTCTATCTTGACAGCCACCTCTAATTCCCCGCGCCGTCATCTGCCGATTTGCTGGAGTATGTGAAGCGTCGCTCTTGTCGCCACGCTGCAGGAATCTCCGCCGACACAAATGAGGCCAACGAGCTATGATCGATGATGCCGCGCCAGAGACCCTGCCAGGCCGATCAATCCCTCTCGGGAACGATCAGGAGGATGGCAGAGGGGATCCAGAGCCTTCAAACCGCGCCGATGATGCAGAAGCTCGAAGCTCTAGAAGAAGGCGACGGCGGAAACATCGAAAGATCAATCCGGGCCTGGCAAGGAAGTTCGACTTCATGACCCAATTACTGCGAAATCTCGACTCCTTGGTATACGCAGAGCTATGCACGTTATACTACATGGAGTAAGCAGCTCTTCCCTCCTTTATCGTCCCATATTCTGACAATTATGCAGGTGCTCCATCTTCCGCTTTGCAGTTCGCGTCTATGGACAACACCACTGGCTTACACCGAAGCCTGACGACTACCCATTAACTATGGCGGCGGCCCGGTCACAAGTAATATCGGTGTTTGTCCCGAACTTGCTCTGTGTCCTGTTACATATTTTTGCATCCCTACCTGTAGCTGGCGAAGCTGCTCGTGGTTATCTCCATGGCGGTGTCATCGTCGATTTCATCGGGCAGAAACCACCAACCTCGAGGCTTACTTTCCTAGCCCTCGACTGCATTATACTGGCTGTGCAGTGTCTCATGCTTGCTGTGCACGCCGAGCGAGAGAAGCTACGGCCCATTGTACGGCCACTGTTATTCCGCTTGCCCCCGGCATTAGAAGAGACGATCGGCCTTTCGACTCAAGATCACGATGCTGAGGAGCGAGGGGTGTTGAGAGATGCACCTGGACTCGACTTGGAAGGCGCAGACAGTGTGGAGCTCCAGCCTTTGCGACCCAACGGCGATGCCGAAAATAGCCAGGAGTCCGAACGAAGGCGATCCTCGAGACGGCGCTCGTCCTCAAACGCTGCCAGCGGGATGCATTTATTCGACGTTCTGAGCTCAGGGAATGGCGTTTTGGGAGATTTCCACATATCTCACACTATTAGACATGCCACCACTGATTACTGGGGAGCGGCCGGCCACTCGCTTCAAACCCTGGGTTATACCGCGACATTGACGAGACTATCCGCGATGAGGCGGATGCCGCAACTAGAACGCAATCAGATGAATCAGAGGTAGTCTAGATGGTATCATGATATCCAATGGCAATTGATCTTCAATTGTGCCGTCGCATTCTGGTATCTTAAGCAATTTTGCGACCAACATTACCAACACCGCTTCCCTTGACCGAAACAAGAATATCGTTCGACTCGTCGTCTTCGACGTCCCTTAAACCCCAACTACTCGCGCCGAATGTTCGCAAGTCCCGCGCGAGCCCAACCATCTCTTCTGATCCAATGACATCTCTTCCTATTCTCAATCTGCCCACATCTTCAGATCCCATAGCCATCAAAGTCATGATAGTGCTGGCTGATGTTTTGCTGATACATCCACCCTGCGCAATGGTTTCCAGCAGTTGATAGGCACAATTCTTGCCAATATCTTCGGGGACCACGCCGCCCACGGGTGGCGCCACCACATCTGCCGAGTAGAGGACTCCGACAGAGCTTGATTCAGCGACCAAACTCAGACCGAAACCAATACCTGTTCGTGTCTTTGACTTGTCCGCTGCCGTGATGAGGGGTGCTGTGTCGTACTGCGCTGCAATGTGGATGTCTGAAACCAGAGCATTCAGAACCTCTCTTGCCGAGTGGATCATTCTGCTGTTGTTGGATGCTGAGACTCCCGTACAGTATGCGACTCCTCGTATCCTCCTTATTTTGCCGGGGTTGCGGTTCAGGTGCAACGTTTTCGGGAGTCGGACCTGGCTTGCGAATCGGAGCTCCACGACACCACCGCCACCTCTGCCATTCTTTCCAGGGCAGGATCGCGACAGCACTCTTAGCTCGATTCGCGCCGGCGGGATGCCGAAGAGCCCGAAGAGGGGTAGAATTGCTGTGCGGAAGGAGTCGACGGAGATGTCGCCCGTCTCAGTCGCAGACGTAATGACACCTGGGCCGGTGAATCGGATGTTGACGTGTGCCTTCGAGAATGGCGCGAGGAGGCAGATGGGGAGGAGGAAGTAGGTGACGCCGCGGTTGTTGTTCGCGGGGAGGTTGTGCTCGATGACGTCGCCGTCAGATGCGCCAAAGCCGGCCATCGTTCCAGTGATCAGGCCGGGGTGGTATGTGATCGTCGTACCGGTGTACGAAATTTGCATAGAGCTGCCATTGGTAACGGCTTCCAATAGACGAAGGAAAGAAATCTCGTGCGGCGCAAGACCGGGGTGTGTCGGCGACGAGCTGCGAATTTTGGAAATGTGTACTGGCCGACCAGTCAGAGTTGATATAATTAGTCGCTGCGCAAAGGACCTGTGTCCTGTGAACCGCAGGTACTCGGGAGCGGAAGCCATTTTGTCGTCGGTCGCTTGGTGCTGGTGATATCCGAGGCCGAAAAAAAAGAGTTGACGAAGGTGGGATCTAGAAAATTATCTTTTTCTGCCGGAGTGTGGCTGCCGACTCTGTTTCAACTGGTAGGCGGTAAGTACAGCTGGGATGTCTCTGATAAGATAAGCTCTTAATGATTCGCGACGCGCAGATGCAGGCGCACCTAGGTTCAGGGTCCATCAAAAAATCTGACCCGTTTCTCTACCTGCCATGAGCTTCCTCTGTGCTTGAAGCTTCCCTTTTTCTTCAATTTCTCCTTTCATGTTGACCAACTACGACTCTCCTTATGTCTCATAGAACTCTTTTTCGTGACATAGCATGTCGGAACACATTCATTTGCCAGTCATGCCAGTCCACTTTGGGCTCTTCTGCCCCGCCGCCATGGGCCATTCGACATAGCTCCCGTATTGCTCAACTAGGAGTCAAGCCTCGACCAGGTGCTCAGAAAACACAGCGCAAATCTTCTCCGACGCCATCCGCCCCAACCGACGCCAATCCGAACAAAGCAGCCGCCGACCTTCTCAGGGAACTGATGCAAAAGAGAACTGACGAGCCTACTATAAAGTTCTTCGAGAAGGGCGAGTCCGGCAAGATTGAGCAGCTGGGGGGCGAGGATGCCTTCACAGAATCTATGGCTGGCGCAGACGATCTGAAGAAGGGGCTGAATGATATGTTTGCAGCTAATATGCGGCGCAAGCTCTCTCGATTCCAGAATGAGGGCGGCTTAGGTGCTTTGGGAATTACCGACGTCGAATCGATTGCGAAAGATTTCGAAGACAAGCTCGGGGACACCAGTAACCCCGAAGAAACATTGGAGAGCTTGAACGCATACATCAAAGACTTAGAAAGCCAATTCGAGGCGAGAGGATTCGACGTCAGCCAATTCGACTACAAGAACCCCGCGGCAACGCTGGGTGTCATACAGGCGACTGCTCGCCTAGACCCCTCGCAACGAAAGAAGTACCCCCCGATTCCGCAGATTCCCGAGAAAGTGTGGAGCTTCAACCAGCGAAAACGGATCGTACGATTGAATACGCTCCTCTCTCGAACGATGAAAGAGATGCGACGAGGCGAAGACGTCACGGCAAAGACTGCCCAGACGGTGTGGAAAACGTACAGCGCGGCGAGGCAATCTCTGGCGAAGGCTTGGGCGCATGTTCCCCAGGATGTATGGAACCTTCTGTGGGATATTTTGTCGCTTGACGATGCGAGTAACCCAAGCCGCCTCACATACCTTTCGCTACTAGCAAGAGACATGAGCGAGGCGAAGGTTGCTTTGAGCCCATCGCAACAGCTAGTCACAGTCGAAGCTATGTTTGTGGACGGATGGGAGGCTAAGGCCATCGACAACTGGAAGCGATGTATGTCCACCCTCGGCGACAGTGGTGCAGACACCTTCAAGGAGTTTTGGGAGCTTGGAGTGCGCATGTTCTGCCAACAAGGTGACCTTGTGCAGGCAGAGCGCGCAGTGAACAGGCTACTCGAGCGCCAACTCGATCCACGCATTCTGTTGCCGTACGTTAGGAGCTGTGCAACAAATCCCAACGCTGAGCCAAGAATAAAAGCCTGGGACGCATACCGTCGAATGAGGGACCTTCTTGGCTCTTCAATGGGACTCGAGGACTACGACCAGGTGATCTCCTTTTTCTTGACGACGGGACAGACGGAATACGCTCTGCAAGCCTTTGTCGATATGATGAGCTCCAGTACAGTCGAACTAGGTGGACGAGACCGATTACCTTCTCAAATTGGCAACAAGTTCTTCTTTGGCAAATGGCTGAAACGACTTATCGGGGCTGGAGACCTCAATGGAGCGCATAGCGTTTTCGAATTCATGCGCTTCAAGGGCATCGAAGCGGCCAGCATCCAGGTAAACGGGCTTATCGGTGCCTGGCAACGGTCAGGTGGCGCCGACAACCTGGAAAAGGCGGACAAGCTGGCATGGCAGATGATTAATGCTCGCGTTGACTTTGTCGAGAACCGTCGTCGCCTTTCAGCCATGGAAGGGCCGGTTCGAAGAGTCGAAGTGTCTGTCAAATCTCATACGGCTGCCATGCCCAAGGCCACGCTCGAAACGTTTTCTCTGCTCGCGGAGAATTATCGCCTTCGTAACCTTCACGGCGACCTAGCGAAGTTATGGGACGCCTTCAGAGAAGCAGAAATCAGCCCGGACGCCTTCATGATGAACCAGTTACTGGAGTCCTACTCCCAGAACAACAATATCTCTGGGGCGCGCCAGCTGTACCAGACTCTCGTGTATGAGCGCCAGGTCAAACCGGACCCCTACACTTTCATGGCGTTGTGGAAGATGCAAGGTGTCAACCGCCTGCACAACATCGCTGGCGAGGAGCTTGCCAACGAAACCAGAATCACACGCGAGACGTTTGCAGAAATGGTTCGCTTTGCATCCGTCTTCAAACCAGATGGCCTCGACGGCCAAATCGCAAGGAAGATCCTCCACACATTCCGCCGGCTACAGGACAAAATTGGCATCGTCGTGGCCCTCCAAGCTTTCAAGGCCGTCTTCGACTTCACTCCGCCCGAGGTGTTGGCCCTCGAAATGATGATGGAGACAACAAGTCTGGCCTGGGAGACAACGCAGGCGCGACAGAAGCTTCGCCTTATCAAGCGCAAGATTGATTCGCACGTCGAAAGCCGACAGAAATCCATCGGGGGATCTCTGACTCTGGACGAGATGACGCCCAAGCAGCGTGGCGAGGAGTACTCTTCTTACTTGCAGACGGCGTACATGCAAGAAGCCGGTGAGCTGGCGAACGGCCAGGTATCGATGGTGGCCAAGGAGATGGGCGTGTACGATATTTTGGCACGTAAAGGAAGGGGAAGGGGCTAGACGCCACAAAATCCTCTCTGTAATATCAAGATGTAGATATTGTACATTATAATGACACCTATCATGACAAATCCCCGACCCCTTACTCTCATACCATACAGGCATAAGTTCTTTTTATGGCGTGCCACACTCAACACAACTCAATCGTGATCCTCCTCCGTGATACCAGAGCATCCCTCCATCTCATCGTCCGGATACGTATACTTGCACCAGAAACAATACCGGTGCTCTCTCCTCAGATACTCCACCAGCCGCCGCAGCTTCTCGGTGTCCTCCAGCTCGTTGAACGCGTCGAGCTCGGGATCCTCCTCGTCCAGGTCCTCCGCGGTGACGTAGACAATCTGCTTCTTCCCCAGCGCCGTGCGGTCGTCAGCGTCCTCATCGTCGTCCTCATACGTCGGCAGCCGCGACAGGCTCTGCTCCAAGTCGTACCGCATCCTGCGGTCCCGCTCCTTTTCCTCGCGGTGGCGGGCAAGGCCCCTCCAGAGGACATTGATGGACTTGAGCGGCCTCGATGCCGCGCCGGTCGCTCGTGTCTTTTTTGTCTTGTCCTTCTTGCCGTCTCCTTTGTCACCATTGCTTGTGCCGTCTGCTGCCCCTTGAATACCCAGCAAGCCAGCCCCCTCGGTCTCCTCGGCCTCCTTCTCCTCCGCCATCCGCTCCGAAACCCGCTGCGCCGCAAACACCTGCGCCTGTACCCTCGCCGCCTCCCTCTCCATCCTCACCCGGTCCCGGTACTCCAACGGATCGACCCGCACCCTCTTCCCCTCCCTCACCTCCTCCTCAATCCTCTCCGCCGCCTCCCTCAGCTTGCGCTTCCTCTCGCTCTCCATCCCGATACCGCCCCGGTCCGCCTTGACCTCGACAGCAATCGGCTCCGTCCTGGCGCCATTGCCAGCACCGGCGCCAGCACCACCAGCACCGCCATTCGCCGCCCCAGAACCAGCACCACCAGCACCCAGCGCCTCACCCGCTTTGAAGCCCATCTTGGCCATCATGGCGAACCCTTTACTCTTCTTGGCGGCCGCGGTCTCAAGCAAGGAGCGCGAGAGCGCCTTTTCGCGCGCCGCTTCTTCCTCGGCCGCGAGTTCCTCTTTGGACTTGGGACGGCCGCGGATCTCGCCTTCGCGTTTGAGGCGCTGGCGGCGCTGGAGGGAGGTTTCTGGTTGGGATTTTGAGGTGGCGGAGGTGGTGGGTTCGTCAAAGGTCATGTTCATGTAGTCGTCTTCCTCGTCGGAGGCTGCCATGGCTGCTGTATGGTGAGGGGTTTATCCTCTGACACACTGGAGATTTTTGTATAGGTGAGGGTAAGTTTGAAATGCAGAGCTCCGTCTAAGTGGTACTGATTTCGTATGATGTCGTGTGAGTGAAGCCGTGTAAGCACGGTCTAGGAAATATTCAGTGTGATGAGGCCCAGCGTTGATGTCTTGAATCCAGGTCTTGGGAGCTGGAAAAGTGAACGCTGATGAAAGCCCGGAGGAATCTTGAGTTATTTTTACTAGGATGGCTGATTGGATGAACGCCTGTGATATCGGCAATTCGGCCTCAAATCGCAACTTTGAAGTTGAAGGATGTTGGAAGAGCTTGTTGATGCACGTCCTGGGATAGTGTGGGACCGACGTCAGCTGTCAGCTGGGACAGGCAAAAAATGGTGGGAATATTGCTACTTGCACTGTACAAATGGACTTCACTTGGACGAGCTCGAATCACCTCACGTGCAAATTCATCATAAATACTGATGTTTCTAGACTTCATAATGGTAACGCGTCCCTCGACTGGGTCATTTGGGTATGGATTTCGATTAATGGCCCGTTGCCTGCTTTAATCATCTATGTCAAGCCACGGGTGAGCTCTCCACCCCTCTACTGGTATTGAATACAAAAAGGGAATAAACTATGCCGAAAAGCACCCATCAACTTTTTGATACCGTAACACAAAAGACTAAACCGCAAGCCGTCTACCGGGCCCTGGACCTCTTTCTGCCGTCCTTCTCCCTCTCGTACGCATTCGCCTCCCTGCCCTCCTCGTTCTGGATCTCCGCCACGAGCCTCTTGTACTTCTTCTCGTACGCATCGTCCTTGGACTTCTTCGCACGCAAATTTTCGCGGGCCATGAACTGGGCGTCCTTCCTCAGCTCTCTCATGGCGCCCTTGCGCTCCTTCTTGTGCTCCTTCTTCAACTTGGCCATCTCCGCACGATCGCGATCCGGGTCGTAGTGCTTGTTCGGGTCGTACGAGTCCTCGAACTTGGGGATAAACGTCTTGATGGCAAGCGGGCGGTGGTGGTGCAGCTCAAGCGGCCGTTTCGCGAGCTGAGCGATCTTAAGCATGCGCTCCATCTTGAGCTTGGACTTGTCGACTTGTTCACCAAGAGCCTCGGGGAACTTTGCGCGGCTTGACTTGCTGCTCAAGTGCGCCACGATGTCTAGTGCTGGCTGGAAGGTCTCGTTGAAGGCAGGCTTCCCAGTCCAGGTATCCGCAGCAGCACTCAGGAGCTGAAGCGTTGTGCCCAACAGGGCAACCTTCTTGGACTCGGCTTCCGCACCGCTCACTTCTGTCTTGGCGCAGTCAGCTGGCGAGAGCTGTCGGAGCTCCGTCTTCCGCGCGTTTGCGACGCGAATACCCGCTGCTGGCTCATGAAGAGGGAAGTTGCCCGACAGCTTCGAAGCTGCCGAGGGAGCTAACGCGCACAAGGTGTTGAGAGAAAAGCTCATCACCTCGGGAACGTATCGCTTTGAAAACTGCTGGAACTGAATTGCCAGAGTCGAAAGGTAGATACCAGTGGCGTAGTCACCGAGTGTTTGAGGAATCTTGCCACCGAGGTAACGCCCGATGGTAAGCATGGCAGGAGTTGCGACCTGGTGGAAGTGGTCAGATGTAGGGAATGTCGATCCGATAGCAGTCAACAGTGTTAGGTCGCCGACATGTACGGCAAGAGGTCGTTGCTGGCTGATCTCCTCGAGATGAGAACGGTACTGGTTGGCGATTTCGACGGGGAACATTTTGGCGAGAGAGTGAATATGTCGTACCAAGCTCTCCAGTACTTGGAAAGATGGGCTGCTCTCGGTCCGTGGGCCATGACCGATCATGTCCACAAGCGCCTGAGCAAACTTGCCGAGCTTCTCCTTGTTCCTGCTGTCCAGCTTAGGGTGGTACAAAGCTCGAATGCGCTGCACAATGGTAGGCAGCTTGTCGCTAGGGTACTTCTGTGCCAGCGCCGAGAGTTCTTCGTAACTTTGCGGACATGGGAAAGTGTAAGGCAGGTCGGAGCTGTCGAGTACCGCGCTCCCTTGTCCACCAGCGTTTGCGAACACAGAGCTCTTTGCTTCCTCCTCGTTGAGCAGACCTTTGGTGAACTCTTCGTCCTCGGAATCGTCGTCTTGATATTCTTCCTCTTCGTCCGATTCTTCCTCGTCGCTCTCGATAGGCTCCAGGTCCGAACCGCTAGCAATCAAGTCGTCCTCGATGAGGAAGTCATCTTCATCGTCAAAGCCAAGCTCTGTCGCCGTCGGGCGGGTCTTGGTCTTGATACCCTTTCCGAGGCCGAAATCCTCCTCTTCCTCTTCAGGGAGCCACTGGAAAGCAGGATCTTCGGCAGGTTGATCCTCCATCTCCTCATCCTCCTCGCTTTCTTCGTCGGAAGAGACGGCCTCGCCGTTCATTCTCTTCAGGCGCTTTTCTTCGAGCTCCTTCAGCCTCTTGGATTCCTCCTCCACCAATTCCTCGTCAGTCTTTGTGCGCTCTGTGGGGGCCGCACGGCGATCCTGAACGAGCTTCTTCATGCGCAAATCAAACTCCTTATCGAAAGTTGCCTTGTCAACTCCAGCAATCAACTTGCCACCCTCGTCCTTCTTCTGCGCATCCGATTTTCCATGGGCCATCAGGAGAGCGTGAAGGTTGGGGAGCTCCTTGTCCAACTCCATCCGCAGGTCCTCGTCTTCGTCCTTGGCAATCTGCCTTTCGTATTTATGCATCTTCGATTTCGCCATGACTTCTTCCATGACTTCCTTCTTGGACTTTTTCCTGTCTGGCTCGTCATTCGCCCCCTCTTCGTCTTCACCGAAACCAGCTTCGCGCAGGCGCTTAAGCTTCTTCTTCTTGTCAGATAAGGAGGAGTCGCTGTCGTCATCTGAACCAAGGTCATCCTCGTCGAAGTCGTCGGCCATATCCGCATGGTGCGCAAAGTTGAGAGCCTGGCCCATGTGTGTCAATTCGCCTAGCGGCTCGGCTTCCTCGAGATCGAATAGCGACGTCTTCTTGTGTGACCTCTGCTTTTCGCGGGCGAAACGTTCGAGCATCTTGTCCTCTTCGGCCAAGGATGGGTCGTTTTCACCAAATCGACGATCGAGAATTCCGCCGACCTTGTTACGCTTTTGCATCTCGATGAGCAGCGTCTCTCGGCGCTGTCAAATTCGTCAGCATCGCATACCACGGCGCAGGAGCAGCAGTGTAGCCTTACCCTCTGCTCGCCCAGAGACTTGGCCTCGGTGGGACGGCCATTGATTCCTCTCGCTGCGGCACCTGTTTGAGGTCTGTTCGTTGTGACTTCGAATTTGGGTCCTCGTGGGTTGTGCTTCAGGTCGAAGGGATTGAATTGTTCTCTGATTTGTCCCAGGGCAGCACCTCTTTGCAGGCGCTTGTCCGTCTTGGCCTTTTCGTCTTGCGCAAATTGACGCTTCTGCTTCTTAGACTTCTGGGGTCCAGTGATTCCCTGCTCCCTCAGGGAGGCTTTGAGCCGCTTGAGTTGCGAGCCGGCCATCTTGTCGAGCGTAACAAATACTCGGCGTTGTTGTCGCTGAGGCACGAGCAAACTCCATCAAAAAGCAAATCGGTCCTCGCACTTGCCCAAATTTTTTGAGCGGGACGGTAGGCTTATCTTATCGGGATGGTGGGGATTGGATGGGCGGTGGCGCAAGGCAGAACCCATAGATGCAACGGCTTGAGCTCCCCAGCACCCGTCGGTGCACCTAAGCTACATGCTTCATCCAGCTGTGTGCCTTGAGTTTCCCACGCGCGAAAGCTCAATGCTCAAGATTCGATAGGCGATCATGCTCCATAAAGTTATTTTCAGCATCAAACAACATGACTTTCATGTCATTCATTCGCGATGAGCGCATCATCCTCGTTGGCATTGGCGCCGCTACGTTTGGCCTGGTCACTATGATGACCCAGATGCTGACATACATTCGAGACGACAACGAAGTTAAAGTCACGCCGCCAAAAACGCAGTACATCACTCAAGAGACGGAAGATGCGCTTGGCCTTGATACTCTCGACAAGCTTCTATGCCACCCCAATTTTTCGATTCGGGATGTCGCCATCAAAATACTTTGCGACCGTGCTGTCAACGACAGCGGTACGGTGCGACAGCTCCTCTACGGCATCACGCGACCGGACTACGATACTCGTATGAAGAATCTTCGTGCTCTGGCAACGCTGACTGGGCAGACCAACGGTAGGCAAAGCAATCTCTCTTGTAAGACGGACGAGCTGACTGACTTTTAGACTTTGCAGAGGGCCTGTCGAAGTTGCACACATGGAGAGCGTACTCGGCCCTTGTCAGATCACTCGAATTAAGTCTCGACGATACGGAGCAAACGAAACTCGACGACAAATACTGGGACGAATACTACCTTCGCGATATGGCTGAGAGGTTCTGCCTCATGTTCGTCCTCGAGCTAATCACCAAGTACGGTGCGGATATGTTGGTTAAGGCCAAGTTCGTGGAAAAGTGGTTGGCGAAGCAGCAGTGGGGAGACACCGATGCCGAAAGGCAAGAAAACTTCATTTATTATATGGAGCACAAGAGCAACCGTATCGTCGACATTGTGACTAGGATCGCACACACTACTCAGGGAGCAAAGGCCATCCTCGCCTGCAACCTTGCCGCCAAGACCAGTTTCGATCTCAACCCGGATACCAACTTGGCCGGATTCACCATTGCCTTACAGTCCACATTATGTAACGCTGATGTTGACGACGACGCGGAAGCGCTGCTGGCAGTCGAGCAAGTCCCTCGGACACGAGAGCACTCGGCCGAAGAACAGCGTCTTAGGCGCCAACACCGTGAGGCAATGGTGTTCAACGATGGTACAAGACCAATAGGAAGGGAGGACATAATCGAGAGAAGCCACGATTCGCCGAGCTAAACACCAGGCATGGTACCAGCAAGAAAAGAAAAACAAGCCGAAGAAATGGCACAGTGAAAGTGCGCAGCATATGTACACAACAAACGTTCAAGGACGGATTCGGGGGCCAGATCAACCTTACAATGAGTTGACAGGCGACGTGCCGTCAAATTCTCTATGGAGACACTTCCACTCAGCACAGGCAGGCGAGAGTTCGGATAGCCAGGGGGGCACTCTTAAGCCATCGATTTTGATTAGGGTAGCCTCATACCGCATGACTTACGTAGTACGGTGGACTGAAGGCACGCGTAAAGACGCGACATATGTACGAAGTACAGCATTCGCGTCTAATTGACTCGGGAGGTGGGAGACCCGGCCAGATAGTTAAAGGGGGTGGGTGGGCTTCTTCCGCGAGCAAATGCCCGCAACCGTGCAGCAAGCTTAGCAGCATAATACCAGCGATAGACTTATGACGGGACACGAAAAACAGGAATCATTTGCTTATCAACTTAGTTCGTGAACTGCCGTTCTTACCCCACCGCCTGTTGTGCATGAGAGGTCATGGTGATAGATTGGCGAACCCAGGTTAAGGTATTTTCGTCCGATGATGCCCTTGGACCTTGAGGAACTCCCACCTCAGCATCCAGCTTTAAGAAATTAGCGCGTAAACGCACTGAACCGGTGGCACCCTGTGACGCCGGTCAAGCCCACCTCAGCAGTCGGCACCCGATTCGGAGGCTTGTTCCCAGAAGCTTTGACACTAGACCCCGGGACCCGTCTTTCACCGTCGGCTTGTACTCCGTACCCATTTCTCAACCGACCAGGCGGTTCTAACACGGCTCATCCGGTTCATCGGGTCTTGAAGCATGTGGAGCAATTATCCGTAGAGTGCTTTCAGTTCAAAAATGTCGAATGGGCGTCTGCGTTGTATTACGAGCAAGCTGGACATGACTTGCACCGTTCTGACTCGGAATCAATATTGTTTACTTGAGCTCAATGCAGGGGTTTGATACGGGTACAGCATAACGACGAGCCGGAATGCGGGCTCTCTCCAAAGTAACAAAGGTCAGCAGCGACCGTTTGGCGGATCTGATGCGACGCTGCCCTTTCCTAACTGGTGCTGATTCGCATCATGCAGCCGCGTGACGAGCTGCAGGGGGGATCCATCTGCTTTTCAACGGATAACCTGGAGTCTCTTTCTCCTTTGAGAGAACAGGACAGCAGCAATGCCGCAATGCTCGGTGCTCGCGACTCATCCCCTGGCTACTTTTGAGTCGGTTCGACCGTTGAGGATGAACACTCACGGTCTGCCGGGATGAGGGGGACTGATGAGGTAACATCTATTGTGGTTATGTGACCCTCCAATCCATCTGAATTCGGCCGGTGTCTGTCTAAATTTGGGAGGCGCAGACGGAACGAACTGGTGCATCAAGCCAGAGGTAAGATTGCTCACCGATATTGGACTGTGAGTGGTTGCTCGCCATAATTACCCTGATGCAAAGCCAGTGTACCGGAGTACACATTGACACATTGGAGAGTAATTGCTTTCCATAGGCCCCATGTGTGACTGCAGAGATTTTGGTGAAGCACACCATCAAGATGAGAGGAGGCAGATTTTCCAACACTATGTTATTAGGAGCTTGCTGGTGAACCATCCACTCACTGCGTGGCAACGGTGGCATGAAGGAGAGACAACCTAACCTAAGCCTGCAGACGACGAACACGTCGTTGCATGCAGGCGGTCAAACTGCCCCTGCTCTGCTGGGCTGGGCGTCACTGCACTGGGCGTCTACACCTCCACGCTCCGTCGTCTGCATGCAGCGGGTAAACCGTTAAGGCAGCCACCGGTTCGGACGATGCAAAGCTACGACAGCGTCATGGCAACCGCGAGGGGAACGGAAGCAGCTGGGGCCACTTGGCGAGCCTTGCCTTCTGTGCCTTCTCGACGTTCCAGGGTCTTTTTTTTCGTGAGATCTGCGGCTGCGCTACGATGTGCGATGGGGAAGATGAAGGAGCGATGCAGACTGACAGCCCAATTGCAGACGAGCATCTACTTGGTCCCCTACCTGTAGCCCTTACTCCGTAGGTACCTTACCTCGTCACCTCATGAAGCTTCAAGACCTGGTACCAAAAGTGACGAAGCTGTCCAGTGACCGAATCGGGATCCACGTAAACAAGTAGCTGAGCTGTTGCTCCGCGATACAAAGAGACAGCTGTGGAATGTGCCCGACCTGACGAGACCAAAACCAAAACCAAAACCGAAAGACCAGCGCAGACGCACTTGCTCTCGTGTTGTCTCATCCCAACTCAGATATAGCTCTCTCTTTCCCAATCATTCGTCTTCCGTCTTGTCTCGCCCTCTTTCTTCCCAGCCCGTGTGTCACGGCGTGTGTCACGGCGTGTGTCACGGCGTGTGTGTCTTGCTCTTGTCATTCTTTGCATCCCGCCATCCCGCCATCCCACCTCATTTGCGAATTTGCGGCTCCGACCTTTACTTCACCTCAATTACAGAGTATTGAGTATTCACCCAAAGAATACCACCTTCCAACGACAACACGCTTCCCGTCAAAGTACCTGATCCCACCGCAAGGGTAACGCTACTCCAACTGACGGATCACCAACCCATTTCCCGCTCCCCTTGACATCCATCACCCCTGCATCTCGTTGGTCTACGGATCCTTACCCAAAGAGCTGAACCAAAAAGTGGTCGACGTCTGAGACCCCATCCCAAGGACCAAGACCGGCCGTGCTCTCTCACAAGGGGAAAGGAGGGGCTCAGAGCGTCACAAAAAGCCCCTCGTCTGCCCGGCGACCGCTTTTTCTCTTTTGCTTGCGCTGGGCTTCTTTTGTCCTTCATCTTCCCATCGTCGCCGTCGTTGCGGACTGCCCTGGTATCTTTGCCCGGGCCTCTCTTCCGCTCTCTCTTCAACTCATACGTAACCGCCCCCATTGGGAGCAGTCGGCGCTGGTCAAGCTGTTCGGAGCTGCCAGATGATCTGTCAAGCTCATTGAAAGACCAAATTCGCAACAACTGTTAGAGACAAATCATTCTCCACGTCAAAGACACGCCCAAGGACCCGAGACGATCACACCTCACGGTTCTTCAGCTCTTAGCGCTCTTTCGGTATAGCGTCCGTCTCTCTGTCTGCCATTTTCCCGCCTACCGCCCAATCGACCGAAATTTGTCCTGTCCGCCACGTCTTTGTGCTTGCTTTTCCCACTCAAGGCTGTCAGACATTTACGAATCAACCCTCCCGATCTGTCGCCCAACACGGCCTGCCTCGCGCATCTCATTCGCTACTCAGCTGCTATTGCGACTAAGGCAAGTAACCTTAGTTGACGCTGGCCCTACCTTGCGGGCGACGAGTGGGGCGTTCGGGAATCAACACCACAACCTGGAACCTGGCCTGACCTGCGCCGCCTAATAGCGAGCCAAGGCCAGTAGAGCTGCCATCCAGCGCGCAATCTAGCGGTCGCATTACTGGCCGGGTCCCTGTACACGAGCCGCCGCGCCCAATAATTTTCTGGATCTGTCTGGCCTTAAACACCCAAACCGACCCGACCTGACTGGCCATCATGTCCGTCACCACAACAACAGCGACTGCCGCATACGCGCCGACCCATAGAAGTCTTGCCCACCCGCCGCGAACTCTTCGCAAAGCTACCAGCTTCACTAGCAACTTCGCCTCCTCCACAACCGCTTCCTCTCCCAGTCTTAATTCCCTCTACAATACCCATTCGCGTCTCACGCCCTCGCATCAATCCCTCCCGCGCAAATCCTCTCTGGCCGCCCTCACTCCCAAGTCTCTCGCCTCGATTCCCGATGTAAGCGAGTCCTATGCCTACAACAGCGTGCTAGCCGAGTCGCCCGATCGCAAAATGCCACCCGCCACGCCCGGTAGGGCCGGGACCGACTTCGTTCTCGGCGATGTCGTCGAAGTCCCGGGCAATATGCTCGGCACCGTCCGTTTTATCGGTTCTGTGGATGGGAAGAAGGGCACTTTCGCTGGTGTCGAGTTGCATCCCGAGTTCTCCCAGCGGGGCAAGAACTCGGGCGAGGTAGAAGGGTAAGTTTGCGCCCAACCAGTCTGTCAATAACATTCGCGCCTGACTTCATCTAGTGTTTCCTACTTTACTACGACTCTTCCTGGCGCAGGCATCTTCCTCCCTCTAAACAAGGCTGTGAGACGGGACTCTCCTCCTGGCTCGTCCTCTAGCTCGTTTCCTCACACTCCCACTGCCAGCACTATGGGCGGTCTCAAGGTCGGCACGCAGAACTCAACGAACACACCTCCGACGCCGTCAGTGCCGCTGTTCAGCAAATCTGTTGGCCCTGGCATTACCCCCGGCCGATCAATCAGTCCCCAGCTGAAGAAGTCAATGAGCAGGCCTTCTGTACGCCCAGAGTCGCCTGTACGAAAATTACAGATGACCCCAGGACCGAGACCATCACTGGCGACGCCCGGAAAAGTGCCTTCCAAATACAACTCTCCTGCCCCGAATCGCTTCGCGCAGAGTGTTCGTGGAACGGCCGGAGACCCGAGCAAAGGTCCACGGTTGGATAGGAAGCCAAGTGTTGGTCCGCGTAGTGCCTCTGCTCTTGGCCAAACGTCAATGTTTGACGAGGAGCCGATGCCTCAGCCACCAGCCACTCTACAGCGAACACAGACAAACGGAAGCACCAATTCGGTATCTTCATATAGCTCAAAGTTCAGAGTGCCATCGCGGGCTGGAGCCGGGTCAAGGGCCGCATCGCGAGCACAGAACGACGATGAGGTTGACCGGCTTAGAGCACAACTGGACGACCGCGAAAGGCAGTTGAGGGATCAAGCATCTACGTTGGCGGAGATGGAGAGCAGTTTGACCGAGCTTCAGACTCTTATGGAGAGTTCGGATCTGTCAGCACCCAAGCGCAACAGTCTCGACGATAAGGACTCGATGCAACTTCGCGCACTGGTCAGGGAAAAGAACGAGAAAATTGCGATGCTCACTGCCGAGTTCGACGCACACAGAGCCGACTTCCGAAGCACCATCGACACCCTCGAAATGGCGAGTTCCGAAACCGAACGAGTGTACGAAAAGCGCATTGACGAGTTGATGATGGAGATGCGTGAGCTCGAATCACGGACCGATGACGTCGATTCCGTTGCTCGTCAGCTGAAGCAGCTCGAAGAGTTGGTTCAAGAGCTCGAAGAGGGTCTTGAGGACGCACGACGCGGCGAAGCTGAAGCAAGAGGGGAGGTCGAATTCCTCCGTGGTGAAGTCGAGCGCACACGAACCGAGCTGCGCCGGGAGCGCGAAAAGGCCTCGGCCGGGATCAACGGCGCCCCAGGTTCCAGCAACGGGGACCGTGGCTCCGTTTCCAAGGAGTTGGAGCAGAAGGAAGACGAGATTCGGGGACTTAAGGCGATCATCCACTCTCTCAGCCGCGATTCTGTTCCTGGGGCCGACAAAGCTGAGGACCCCTCCGTACGCGAGAATGCGATGGCTCGTGAAAGGCTGGAGCTCGAGCGGGAAGTGGAGAGGCTTCGTAGAGGAAGCGCCACGTCTCAGCTCGATGGGCCCTTGGCCAACGGGGGTGCTCAGCGTTCTTCACTCCGCGATTCTCGGGATACCGTCATCCTGATGCGTAACAGCGAGCCCCAGTCTCCTACGGCGACGCACAAGCGTGTTCGTACACTGGACACGATGCCCGAAAGCGACGCCTTCTCGTCAGTCACGGATAATAGTACTCTCTGGTGCGAGATTTGCGAGACTGGCGGACACGATATCCTTACTTGCACAAACATGTTTGGCAACGAGGGTGGCAAGACCAACGGCGACGCCAGCAAAGTGAGCAAGGAGGACCTGAAGCCCATCCCCGCCGAGGACAAGCCGGCTCCTCTATCGCCCATCAAGTCCAAGCCACTTGCTCCTCCGCCAACTGTCAAGATCTTCCCGAACCCGATGGATTCCGGCCCTGTTGCTGGAAAGGAGAGCGGGATTGTTGACGTCTCCAAGTGGTGCGCTCTGTGCGAGAGAGATGGACACGAAAGCGTCGATTGTCCATTCGAAGACGCATTCTAGGCGGATGGGCTTTGAATCTCGACAGCAAGCGTTGTCTTGGGTTGAACGAAGGGCACGGCTACTCTGGTGTGCCTGTCTTCAACGGTCTTTCAATGTCAGAGTGCGGTATATCCCATTTTGTGTAGGATTCAAGGGCGGCTAGAGCGATGGAAGTCTTTTTTCGTTCGTGATAGCATTTGTAGCGATGATACCACAGCTCGATGAGAATTGTGTTTCGCGGAGTTGGATTCGCATGTTGAAGCCAACCAACAGCAGGAGCAGGGGATGATGGCATGAGGTCATTGGCTTTGTTGACTTTCAGTTCACACCGAGAGGTTTCTATAATACTAATAGTAGTAGACCTTAAAACATGAATAATGAATCCATTGCAGACACCCAGGAACAGCATCAGCAAGGCGCTCCATTGACTATGGTCTTCTCCCGGGCTATGAAGCCCCTCGGTCGAGAAGTTTATATCATCAAATGTCTCCTGGTGACGGGCTGCATTCAGACGACAAGGGTCTTCCCGTCGCTGCCGGCCGGGGGCCCTTTGAAGTTCAATGCCTCTCTCCAGCGTGTGTGCCCGTCCACGTTTCTCCACCTCAGAGGGTCCCCGGGTGGCGTTTCACGGCCTCTGCGCACGACGGGGGATTCGTACGTACCTCGAATCCTCAGCAGGGCGCAGCCCAGAGCAGTGGGACTTGATGAAGTAAGTACATAGGTAATTGATCTGATGTTTCTGGGAAATCGCCTCAGATCTCGTCAAGGTTTTTTCGTCGTAATTTTCCTTCAATTCCCATTGACAAGAAGTTTTTTATCCAAATCCATTGCTTGCGGCGAGCAAGAAAAAAGGTTGCATTCCTTTTTCTCAACGACTACCTTATAGTATACCTTGTCCGTTCACTTGATTGCAGACTCGACAACGGCCCTCCCGATTCCCGTGTTCCCCGAAAGCGGATCCCTAGACTACCTTGGCACCCACTGGACCGAACCGCAGCACTACGGACCTGCGTCAGCGTCCCCGTCAGCTTTAGGTTCGCTGCCCACTTTGGTTACCGGGGGGAAAGCAAGCAGCAGCAAGTAAGCAAGCTAGGTATTAGCTGTCCTGATTCTTGTTCCTCCCAATCGCGCTACGCAAAAGAAACTCACGACTTCGCAGTAAACGACCCATTGAAGCCTTTTCCTCTCTATTGAATTCTTGTCTGCGCAATTTCGATCACGAAGTCTGTCGACGACACTTCTCTCTCGTTCGACACGGACTCCCAATTCCGGGTAAAGAGTACGCTTTCTCTCTCTCGAAGTGTCCGATCACCACCACCACCACCTACCCGACCAAGAACGGACGACCGCTGCGCTCAACTCAACACCAACAATCACGAACTCGACGACAACCCTCAACTACTGTATTATACCGGGCTGAACCCCCCGTCGTTTTACGCAACAAAAACACACAATAGCCCAAGATGGCGCAAATATTCCTCGACGTGCTCTACTCCTTTGGCAACTGCCTCAACTGCTTCCCCGGCTCGCCGACACTCAAGATCAACAGCCGGAGCTTCAAGATCCTCCGCCTGCTGGGCGAGGTAAGCTCTCGCGATCCCTCTCTCTCTCTCTCTCTCTCTCTCTCTCTTGTCATTCTACACAAAACTAGACTCGTGCTAATCACTGGCGACGAACGGAAAAACAGGGCGGCTTCTCCTACGTCTACCTCGTCCAAGACACCCAAACCGCAGAAGAATTCGCTCTCAAAAAGATCCGATGCCCCTTTGGCGCAGAATCCGTCGCCCAGGCCATGAAGGAAGTCGACGCCTACCGCCTCTTCGCCCGCAGCCCGGGCATCATCCACGGCGTAGACCACGCCATCGCCACCGAGCGCGGCGGCGAACCCGGCTCCAAGACCGTCTACGTGCTGCTCCCCTACTACCGCCGCGGTAACCTTCAGGACCTCATCAACGCCAACCTCGTAAACCACACCGCGTTCCCCGAGCGCAGGCTCATGCTCTTGTTTTTGGGGGTGTGCAAGGCGCTTAGGGAGATGCACCATTACACTGGCGGAGGCGGAGGCGGCGGGCAATCGCAACAACAGCCTGCGGCGATGGAGAGGATGGAGATGGGCAACGGCGACGAAGATGACCAGGGCGCCGGGCCGAAACGCAAGAAGAGCGGGAAGAAGAATAAAGGCGGGAAGCGCGTCGCCAGCATGGCCGCCGCCGCGGGCGCCGACGAAGAGGACGAGAATGAGCAGCAGAGGCCGCTGATGGAGGGCGAGACGCCCGGGTCCGGAGACGTAAAGTCATACGCGCACAGAGATATCAAGCCAGGTTCGTTTCTTTCCTCATCCCTAGGCCCCTTCTTCCCTTTCTTTCATTCTTTCCGCGCACAATCAACAAGGTAAAAACGTTCCAAGTACTAACAAACAAACCACAACAAACGCAGGCAACATCATGATCGACGACTCAGGCTCGAACCCAATCCTAATGGACCTAGGCTCCATCGCCCCCTCCCCGATCCCGATAACATCCCACTCCCTCGCCATCGCCGTCCAAGACACGGCCGCCGAGCACAGCACGATGCCCTACCGCGCCCCCGAACTCTTCGACGTCCGCACCGGGACCGTCATCGACACAAAAGCAGACATCTGGTCCATGGGCTGCACCCTCTACGCCTGCCTCGTCGGCAAGTCCCCCTTTGAGGCCCGCTCCGACGAGACGGGCGGCTCCCTCAGCATGTGCGTCCTCGGCGGCGACTGGCGTTTTCCCGACGAAGGGATCAAGCGCACCGGAACCAGCGGCGGCATGAAGGGTAAAGCGGCCGCCACGGACGCTGGGGCGGGCGCCGGCGAGGTGAAGATCAGCGAGCCCATCCGCGATGTCGTGAGGAAATGTCTCAATGTTGAGCCTACCGAGAGACCAGACGTGGACGAGCTCATTGACTTGGTGGAGAGCGTTATTGAGAACTTGCCTCAAGACGGATCCTTGTGAGTGGGGGTAGACAGACCCAAAGTCGAACACAGGAGGAGGGGTTTGCGCAGAGTGATGTATTGTATAATGATGTTTCATACTTCTACTATTCCCAGGGAAGATTTGATAGGCTTCATGTTACCACGGCGTTCTAAGGAGGGCGCATGTAGGGAATTGAGCTAGAGAGATGTTCTGTCTTTTTCTTTTTCAAGAGTTTTTCTGAAGTACAGGTATTCACGTCCCAGACGCCTATTAAAAGTCTTCGTTATCCATCACAGCGCCCCCTGACCAAAGTGCACATACTCATGGTCCAAGATCTCACTCAAGGTGACGATCTCGCCCAAGGTGGAGGCGAGCTGTTCGTTAACTTCGTCATACTCGTTCTCATCCGACAGACACTCATGGTCGAGACCGCAATCGCTCAAGGCTTCATCCTACAACTCGAGGCGGTAGGTTGCGATCTCAAAGGGTCGCAGAGTAATCGAGAACTTTCCACTCTCAATCTTGATCTCCTCAATGTCATCCTCCAAGAGGTTACACTTGAAGACGCGCTTGACGTCCCAAGTCGTCTCAACAACGCCCTTGCTCTGGCCGCCGAGACTGTCGTACACACGCAGGATAACGTTGCGGCCCTTGCGCTTGGGAAGCTCGCCACGCGTTACATCCTCGTCGTCCTCGCCACGCTTGACGGTATCGAGGATCAAAGAGCCATCGCCAGTGAGCTTCACGGGGCTCTTGTTGAGGGATGCCTGAACGGCACTGGGCGCAGAGAGTAGCTTCAGAGGGCTGTTGAAGGCATAGGCTGCTCGCACAGTGGCAGAACTCAATGTTCCTTCATGGGGGAAGATTGCCCAGCGAATTTGGTGAGTTCCCATATCAGCGTGAGCATCAGGAGCCTTGGGTGACCGAAGAAGAGAGAGACGCTGCAGGTTGCCAACAGTGGCGAAACCATACTTGCTATCGTTAAGGATGGAAACTCCGTAGTTGTGCTCTGAGAGATCAGCGAAGCGATGGCAGCAGACCTCGAACTTGGCCATGTCCCAGCTGTGGAATTCATTAGCAATTGTTTCTCCAAAATATTCCAAGAAAAGCATACCTGGTGTTGTAGTGAGTAGGTCGCTTCACAAGACCATACGCTGTTTCATACGAGGCCTCAGTGTTTCTGACGTCCACAGGGAATTCGACCTTGAGGAACTTCATGGTCTCGTGCCAGTCAACTTCAGCACTGCACTCAACCCATGACTGTTGCCCCTTGAGGGCGGCTGAGAGAGTAATGGTGGACTTGATCGAACTCTCTTCGCTGATCTTGATCTGAGTAGTCAAGCTGACGCGATGGGCCTTTTGCTCAGTGATTGAAGTTGTGCCGGACGGGAGCTCCTTTCTTGTGTCGAGGTGGTACACCTCAACATCCCAGGCTTGCCAGTAGAGAGGCTTGTCATCAAAGATGACATATTGATTGGCCTTGCCGCCCTTCGCGATCACCTCGCGATCGGCATTGCGGTCGTAGAGGGATGTAATGGTGCCATTCTCGACCTTGACCTTGAGCTGATCGTTCTGCAAGACGAATACACCGCTGCTGACTTCTTCAATCGTAACAGCCGGTTCTTCTTCAGAGATCTTGAAGGGACGAATGGCCAACAATTGGCCCTCGCCACAGGCAACACCTGCCTCGGTCTCGGAAATTTCGACAACCTCTTTTCTGTGCCAAGGTAGAGTGTTCAGGGCTACGGTCTCACTCAGACGACCAGTTGTGGCAGTGGCCGCTCCAAAGACGCCGTGGATGTCCTCAAGAATCTTCTTGCCTGTCTTGAAGACCATGTCGTAGAGCTAGCCAGTCTGGTCAGCAACTATTCAAAGTGTTTTGCTGCGTTACGGCTTACCTCGTCTGAATCATCATAACACATCTCGATGGAGCTACCCGGAAGACAATCGTGGAATTGGCAGAGCAAGACGGCCTCCCACATATCGTCAATCTCCTTCTTGGGATACTTGTAGCTCTTGCTGGTATCACTGAGCGTCGCAATAGTGGCAAGTAGTTCAACTTCTCTGAGCAGAACCTCCGACTTGCGGTTGTTGAGCTTGTTGTTCGCCTGCGTCGTGTAGGTACCGCGGTGAAGCTCAAAATAGAGCTCACCGTACCAGGTGACAAACTCTGTGGCTTTCGGCTGGAGCTTGTCGAAGAAGTCATCGACGCTGTTGCCCATCTGCACTCTAGGCAACATGCCAATCTGATCGGAGATACCGCGACATCTGCGGAGCTTTTCGAGATGTTGCCAAGTAGGGCCGCCACCACCATCGCCCTTTCCGAATACCAGCAAGGAGGTGTGATCCTGGTCCATCGACTTGTGCTGGCTGACACTGCGCTTCACGTCGCCAAAGTGTGCTTCGGCAGTGTAGGTCTCTGACGGCGGCATGTGGCAGATTACCTGGCTACCGTCAAGAGCAACCCAGTTGAAGGTAGTGTGTGGGAAGTTATTGATGTTGTTCCAGCTAAGCTTCTGGGTGAGGAAGCGGTTCATGCCAGCAAGGCGGCACAGCTGCGGAAGCTGGGCAGCATATCCAAAGGTGTCGGGCAGCCAGAAGGTCTGGCAGCGCTCGCCAAAGTTGCTCTCGAAGAATCTCTGTCCGTACAGGAATTGTCGCACAAGAGACTCTCCACTGGGCATGTTGGTGTCGTGCTCGACCCAGCTGCCTCCAATAGGGTGGAATCGGCCCTCCTTGACCTTCGTCTTGACACGATCAAAGGCGTAGGGGTAAATCTCCTTTAGCCACTTGTATTGCTGGGCTTGCGAGCAAGCAAAGTTCAGCTCCGGGTATCGGTCCATCAAATCGCACTGGTTAGACCAAGACCTGACTACTTTACGCTTGGTCTCAGCCCAGGGCCAGAGCCAACAACTGTCGATGTGACAATGGCCAATGCCGTAGACTTGAGGCTCTTTGTCATCGCTGTAGACCTTGTGCGAGTCGACATTCGAGCCAAGGTACTCCTGAGCGATCTTTCGACACTTTACGATGGATTCCTTGTTGCCGAGCTCAAAGGCGTCAATGACATCGGTGGCAACCTTGAGAGCTCTATGCTGCTCCCACGAGTCCTGAGGAAACTCCCGCGCAGCATCGCCAATGATCCAGATATCAAAGTAAAGTGCTCGTGCTTCGGGATTGACGGCAACTATGTCAGCTCGCCCAAGTTGGAAGTACTTGTTTGGGTCTGGAGGCTGGATCGAATCTCCACCGGGAGCGTTTCCGAACATGCCATTGCAGGCCATCTCGATGTAGATGGTGTGCTCCTTGCCGTCCCTGAACTCCTTGGGCAGAATCCATTCTACCCGCTCGCCGCCCCCAGTAAGACCCTGCAGCGGCTTGCCATCCTCAGTCCAGATGAGGCCTTCATTATTGGCATCCCAGTGGAGTTCAAGGAGGTCCTTGTCACAAAGTTCTTTCGGAACGGTTAAGGTAACCTTGAACCAATGTGTCGACCATGATGGGCCAAACCATGCGCCCACCTCGGTCTTTTTGAATTCGTGTGAAACAGCGTCCTTGAATGTCGGCCGAGTGGTTTCGGGTGCGTCCCATACGGACAGCTTAACATGAGGTTCGCCCGATGCGGTGCCCTCCGTCATCATGCTATAACGCAATTAGCGGGACGTTCCCCAGCTTTACTACGGGGCCTGGTGGGGGGTTACGCACGCCAGGAGGTTATGCTTCTCCCATTGTCCAGTAGAGTAGAATTGGTTAATTCTGTCCTTGTAGAGCTTTGAGATCCATTGTCCGACAGGTCGGGATGCGAGAGCTGGGTAAGAGCTCTTGCTCTTGAGTTCTTTTCCGCCGCCCATGGTGGTCTGTTCAGCGAAGCTATCGAGTAGCCGGTCTCCGGACTGTTTCAATTGCTCGACAGGACCAGGTGGAGCTGATCGATTATTCAATCGACGAACACGATGGGGCACCGATAAGTGGTGATGATCGGATCGCGAAGCACTTGGGGGTGGACCGGCGCCTTGTTCTTCTGAAGACTGGGGAGCTCGAAAGGCGTCGTTGAGATGTTGATTAAGGGGTTTGGGTTTGTTCTGACTACGAAGGAAGGGTGTTCGTGTTAGCTTTGACCTCGGGATTGTCTGAAAGCAGAGACGGACTCGAAGCTCTTGAGGGGGGAGCTAAAGCAGAGCACGGGAGTACCCCTGCAGTACAGATAAACAGACGCTGAAACACAGCCAGTAGGAGCGTGCGGGGACAGCTCGGTGCAGCAACAAGTGCGGGGAGGTTGGGCAAAGCGTGTGATAGAGGTGACGCAGCCATCATGCGATCCCCCTTGGATAAGTTAAGTAGCCGGAACGCCGGGCGGAATATGCTCGGCGGATCGTCCACCATTAAGAGCACCTCACATACCTCATCTTGTCGATGTGGTGATACGGATACAGCGCCCAGCGGCTGAGAGGGGAAGGTGACGTTAGAGAGGATTGTTGACAAGACCGGTGTTAGAACCTTGATTCGATACCTGGGTCGAAACAGCCGGAGCAACAAGCGCTGCGGATGGAGATGAGGTAGAAGAGTACAATGAAGATATGCGAATGGTCACCAAAAAGGAGTAAGGGCCGTTGTAGAAACGAAACAAGAAACAATGCAGAGCACAGCTTGTTATTGTGAGGTGTCGAATGCTACCTTGCGGTAAGTGTGAGGTTGATGAATGGATTCAGTGACAAGCCAGAGTGCAGTCGGTGTAAGTCATCCTCTCATGGCTAGGTATTCAGCGAGTGCACCTACCCAGATCAAGCCGGCATGCACCGAGTGGGTGCGGCTACCCTCCATTAACGCACTTGAAACTTAGGTCCCTTGATGTTCAACCAAGAAGCTATCGCAGTCTGAAATACTCCTGCTGTGTCTGTAGTAGGCGAGTACGTAGTGCTCGTTGAACACGCAACCTGAAGTCACAACCACCGACGATTAGGGCTCTGCAGTCAACTACCTACCAAACGGCTAAATCTCTTAATCAGATGCAAGCTCCTGCTTCTCATCATCTCGGTGAAATGCATTTCTTCCCCATCGTCGTTCTCAACTTTACAAATTATGCAACCGGCCAGTAATGATCCAAATGGTGAGAGGGGAAAAATCATGTCAGATAGTCAGAGTGCATAGTCTTTACGTATTCGCACCTCCGAGTTGGATCTCGTGAATAGTCGCCCAGCAATCAAACGCAACATCATGCACCACAATGTGATAAAAAGTGGTCTTGTGAGCTCGAGACGCAAAAGCAGTTACACCAATACAACTACAAAAAGAGGTCACATCATTGGGGAACATCGGACTGAGCAGGTGTCAATTCTGTACGCCCTCGCTTGTATGTGCGGTAGAACGAGGTGGATATCCGGGGCAACTTGTAGTGTGTAGGCATGCAGATGCGTGCGCATATCGCTTGTCAGTCAAATGGGGTACTGCGGCAGCTTGATCGATCACGATTCACCAGCTCGAGAGTCCGAGGGCATTTTTTCGAGGAGACGCCCTCCACAAACCATGTGCAAAATAAGAGCTCCGGAAAATGTCAACCGACAGAAGTGGCGCCAAAAAAAGACAAGCCCAATCCCAGTTGGTTGGAGGACATGGGTTGCTGTTCGTAAACGAAAGACGATGGTTCGATTGTTCCACGAGATTCAAAAATTTGGTGCCCGCCAACATACGATCCCCGATTTAAGGTTTCCCCCCATGTGCTTCTGTCACTTTGCAAGTTCGCAGGCAGAGGACTGTCAGCTCTTGAGATGATACACGCCCTCACTCATCAGCTGAAAAATGTGCAATGGGACGAACTTGAGCTTTTTGTAAGAATATTCGTCTTTGTTTCCTACATACGCGGTCCAGGATATATAGATACTATGTGCAGAGTGGCCAAAATAGCAAGGTATGTAGATCGCCCAGGGTAACTATTCCAATCGTCACATCATTGTCCATGCCCGCCGTTGAACGCCACACATTAAAAAAAGCAAAGAGCCGGGAAAGAAGCAAATCAAAAGACCCCAAACACCAACTTCAAGATGACAAGCCAGAGTCCTTGCCCCGGCTTCCAGTGCCGGTGCCCGTACCGCGGTGAACGAGTTCGGACCCATCCCCCCCCTCGTCATCTTCATCGTCCAATTCCAAGTCATCTTCATCGTCGTATTCTTCAACCTCGCCATCTTCGAGCTCATCCTCCATGAGCTGATCAAAGTCGTCGTCGGCTTCGCTCCCACTCTCACTTTCGTCCTCCTCGAAGCCTAGCACGCCGAGGATGGGCACTTCCACCTTGCGGTACTGGCTTCTAATCATGTTGTCCGCCATCTCAAATAGCTTGGAGTCCTTGTCCGGTGGGACCTCCCTGTCCATGGAGAAGTGGGCTTCCTCTTGGTCAGCGGGGTCGTCGAGCCCCGGAATGTGCGGTGATGACATGCCCTCGGGCACGTTCATGACCCAGCGCCGGACCCCTTCGCCCTTTGTGACGCGGGACCGGGTGCTCTGGGCTCTCAGCCCAGTGCGGAACTGCTTCTTTTGCCTCCGGCGTCTCCGCTGGATCCGATCGCGGATGTACCACGCCACCACCAACATAGCTGCCTGCATCATCTCTTGACACTTTTGCCTGTGCATGTTGGCCCAAGCCTGGCATCTTTGCTGCTGCGCGTTGGAGATAGCCTGGCAGCGTTGCTGGTAGTAGGCGGCGATGCGTGATACCATGGCGACATATCGGGGATCCATGGGCGGCTGGTTCGGGTCTGCACTCGCATTCGGAATCGACGTCGACTTTGGCGGGACCATGGACGGGTTGTTTAGTGATGATTGCTCCTTCTTCATTGTGACATGATCATTGGTGATGTTTGCCTCGGCGGCTTTGCGTTTCAGCTGAGCAGACAGAGGAAGTGCGGGTTTCCGGAATGAGAGATGCTCAGGCGGAGGTGTAACGGGAGCTAAAGGGTTGAAGTTGATTGTAGGGAGATGCGCCGCCATAGAGGGTGGTTGTGTTGTGAGCAGCTTTGCTCTATCGTGGTATGTGGTGTAGTTGGTGTTTTGGTGTTACTCCGGTTGAAATCGTGAGTGAACCGGGGCGTGTAAGCGGGTTCGCTCTAGGTTGTCGATCGATAAAACACGTTCGGGATAGCAAAGGGAGGGATAATGTCTGCTATCCAAGTCCTAGACAAGTCGTAGGATAAGGTACTCGATAGTGATAGATAATAGAGAGGTGAGTCTGGGAGGATCGAGGACCAGGCAGGAGTCGTAGATGTTGGGAGCGGCGGGACTAATAGTAGTGGTGGTGGTGGTGGTAGTAGTAGTAGTAGTATTGGCAGCAGATGAGACGGATAAGGGTGGGATCCGCTGAAGACAGATAGACAGGCGAGGTAGACGTATCAAACCAAGTGTTCGGTAGGAAATGAGTGGTGACTGGCTAGAAACGGGAGGCACAGAAAAAGAGATATATACCTACAAGGCGACATTTCAAATGCAAAGGGCGACATGACGGTGCATGTCGCCATGCTTGGGCCAAGGGTCTGATGATAAATCTGGAGAGTGAGCGGGAATGGGCTGAGAAGTAGTCGAAATCGGCCGATACCGAATGGCAACCGCGCCGTACTTTTGGGGCCAGGCCCGGTACGTACCCCACGTACCTCGATGCTCTAGGGCGGGCGGCCCAGGTACTTTCACCGACTTGTTGCAACTCCGCTTACAACGGCCATCCCGTGGGCTCCGGGTGGATCCTCTTCTTTTTTTTTCTCAACTCCTTCTTCCGTCCGCTGCTCTTTCTCATCAAGCGGACATAGGGATTAGGGGATGTTCTTTCCTTCCATTACCGTGGTACCTACCCTAGTGTAGGTACGGAGTACTTAGTCACAGGTCAAGAGCCTTAGGTAAGGTACCTAGGTACGGTAGGTACATCTAGGTAGGTAAACTGGTAAAGGAAGGTAAGGACGGTCAAATTGTTCTTTCCGTCGAAAAGCGATGTATCCGGTGCAGGTGAGGTAAGCAGTGGGTGGCATTATTGTGCTTACACGTCGCAATCCTCCGGGCCCAACCTCATTACACCTCACCTTGGAAAGTCGGACTGAGTGGGTGGACTCTCATCCAAGCATCATCCAGTCGCCTGGTATGAGTGTGGCATGCTACGATCCGAACCATCCATTTCCCCATAATCCCATGTTACACTGTCGTCTGCCTTGCGTCCACATGCGCGCACATCCGACGATGCCTTCTCCAGAGTGTCAGACTTCAACAGCGGCTGCCAGACCAAGCCACCCCATCATCACCCATGCCGTCTCAGTAGCCACACTCGCACAACATTAACGCAACTTACCTTTACTGAACTCCATCTTTTGTTCATATTGACTTTCTCCCCTTTCTTTGACTCCCCTTTGCAGCCCCGCGCGGCGCGGGTCGGGTCCTGGCATGCGGATTCTTTTCTCGATCCATCGTCAATGCCAAAACACAACAGCCCATGTCTTTCCATCTAAACCGGACACTCCCATGCCGCCGCAGCCATGTGTTCAGACCCAGACACAGCCAGCACACAATACTTCGTACAGGCACATAGAGCATCGGTACCTAGTCGTCCAACTAGGCACGCAAAGCTACCCTGAAAAGGTCGAGAAACGCAGTGCTGCCACACAATGGAGATTGGGTGTTCTGGGGTGGCGGCAATCTCTGGCCGTCTGCCCATCTTTGATTGTCTCCAGCCCACCCTCGTCCGCCTTCCTGCAAGCAGTCCCAGGCTCATGTATTCTCCCCCAATTGACCCAAAATGGACACGGTGATGGATCCAGCTGTCCGTTGATCCCAATGGCCGGTGAGCCACGATATGGCCATGACCGCTGCGTATGATGCGACCCCCCGCCCTGTCAATCTCAACATGACGGTGTAATCATTCGACGATCGCCCGCAGGATAATGCACTACAGCATCAGCCTCACCACCAACACAGAGCTCGCTCGCCTCTCAGTGGTTGTCTAGGCGCTGTTGGGACACAAAGCACTGTGTTTCTTGTGCCCGGAAATCTTAGAATTTCTGGTTGACCTTCCTGCTCAGGCTGCTGCAGCGAGGCATCCATGCTGCCGGGTCGTTCCGCAACTCGAAGCAAAACATGGCCCAAAACTACCCGAACCTTCCCTCCAAGGCAACCTCAGACCTCACGTCTTCACCCTCCAGACGAGAGTAGGGGAAAGAAATACAGTTCTTCTGATCAGGAGCGCACTGTCACCCACACACCATACTCCATCGAGTCTCCCTATCTTTGCCAAACTGTCGTTATAATTGTGGTCCCTTCGACTCCAACGGGCCTGCTGCGTACGACCTGTCCAACAGAATGACGCTAGACGAAACAGAGTCTCGTAAGACGATGATGCACACCAGGCAGGTACCCGTAAAAAAAAAAGTACCAACGCGCCAGCGTGCCTACCCAAACACGATAGCCTACAGCAAACGCAGTCCATGATCGTCATTGATGCTCTCCCTTCTTGGCTTGTTCGTGCTCAAAGCAACTCGCGATCTAGACGCATCCCTCCCTTTCGCCGCGGATCTTGCTTACAAGACCGACCTTATCTGCCTCGGAGCCTGGAGGGCCAAACAGGACCTGACTTCTGCGGGTACAGGACCCCTAATTCCGACATCGTCCCCTTCTCCATTAACCCCGTTTCTTCTCCGCTTGGCGACTCCATTCTTGTTTGGTCCTGCATCCGGTTGGCGAAGCTTCCGCAATGATTACGTTGCCACTGCAAGAGACTGGAATACTGGATTTGCGCAGGTGCCAACCTAACGTGTCAGTAAGGTAGGCATTCGTTGTTGCCCGCTGTCCCATCTACGGAGTACCTATTGTGTAAGCAGGTCCCGTCCCCCGCCGTCACATCTCCGACGATACAGAGGGCCTCGTTTAACGTTTTATCGCCGATAGCCTTCAGGAACATGTCATGCCATTTCTACCCCGGTCCGTCCCATGCCATGCCATGCTACCTCACCTTACCTCAACTCGAGGCACCTAATAAGGGCGATGCGAACCAAACCCGGACACCTGGACCACAGGACTTGCCCCATAGAACAGTTCACAGCGGCCTGCCAGTCCCGTCCCATCTGCAAAGAATCCTCCCAGTGGGAGCCAATTGATTCGGGCGGATTCAAGCTACCGTCCCGAAAATCTCGCGATAATTCACGTCCGCGCCGCCGCTCGCATGATTTCCATTCAGCCCATTCCAACCCCGGTTTCTATCTATCTTTTACCCGAATCATTCATTATCTTATCATTCGACTGTAACCTCCGCTTGCCGTCACAGCACCACACCTCATTCCCAAGCTGCCTTGCGCATGGACACTGACTAAACCAACCAACCAACAAGACCAGAACAAAAAAAAAAAACCCTTGCATCGACGTCGCGTCCAAACAGCTCACATTCATGATATGCTCACATGTTACCCCGACCACTCACCACACTCGCCTGTCATGATCTGGTTACCCCGTTACTGACTACTGCCCGATCTTGCTCTGTCTCCGCACATCACCTCCGCCTGCGCCGCTACAATGGAGTGATTCGCGGCTCCATCTTCGGCCGAGAAGCTGGGGTTTCTGGATTGCCGGACACCAGGAGCTGGCACTTATCCATCTTTGCCAGGGGTAAGAAGACAAAGTCCAAGGTGAAGCTGGACGATCTACCCCAAGGCGTTTTGCCGCTGGATCCCCGTCCCGTGCAAGATGAGGGCCCGACCTATCCAACAGTCGTGCTGCAAGCGCGCCGCAACATGCAAAAGTTCGACAACTGCGTGCTCTTGACGCGAGTCGGCGGTTTCTATGAGCTGTACTTTGAGCACGCCGAGGAGTTCGGCCCTCTCCTGAACCTCAAGGTTGCTCAGAAAAAGACGAGTGCCGGTCCGGTTTCCATGGTAAATTAGTTCTCTCTTCGTGTACCAGGAAAAACGTGTGCTGTTAGTCTCGTGTTCATTGGGTCTGATATGTGATGATTACTAGGCCGGCTTTCCCTTCTTCCAGCTGGATCGGTTCCTCAAGATGCTGGTCCAGGACCTGAACCGCTACGTCGCCATTGCTGAGGAGTTTCCCAATAATGCGTCCGAGAAGGTCAAATCTGGTGGCCTGTTGCATGATCGAAGAGTTGCTCGTGTCATCACGCCAGGAACCTTGATTGATGAGAACTTCATGGACCCCTACGCCAATAACTACGTGCTGGCTATCCATGCAACGGCAGCCCAGTCCGGGGGAGGGGTAGACGAGACAGAAGCCCCAGACTCGTCCCATTCAGCCGCTGACCGGAGCGTGACTCCGGCAACTGGTGACTCTGCCGCACCACCACCGCTACCCCTGGGCCTCGCCTGGCTAGACCTGTCCACCGGTCAGTTCTACACGCAGGCCACCGATCTATCGGCTCTATCTTCGATCTTGTCGAGGATATGCCCCAAAGAAGTCGTGCTCGACAGCGAGATCCAGGCCCAGACCGACCATGGCCTGTTACCCATCCTCGCCGAGGACCGCCATCTGGTCACTTACAGTCCCCTCGGCGAGATTAGGCGTCTTTCTGATTGGACCTTTATGCTCGAGAGTGAAATTCCCCAGGCGACGCGTGATGCCTTTACCGAGCGTGAGGTAACGGCCGGCAGCCTCCTGCTGCATTACGTCAAGGAACGGCTGCTAGGGCTGAGCATGAAGCTGCAGCCGCCGACGCGGCACGAGAACATGCAAATCATGAGCATCGACAAGAATAGCGTCCGCTCGCTCGAGATTAAACAGACGATCCGAGACGGCAACTTTCGCGGCAGCCTGCTCCATGCCATCAGACGGACGGCCACCAAGAGCGGTGCCCGGCTCCTCAACGACTGGCTCAGCGCGCCGTCCACGTCGCTCGACACCATCAAGCTCAGACAGGACCTGGTCGCCCGCTTCATCGAGGAACCGGACCTGCGTGACGCCGTGGTCCTCCTGCTCCGCCGCAGCCACGACTCCCAGCGCCTGGTGCAGAAGTTCGCTCTCGGCAGAGGAGACCCGGACGACCTGGTGGCCCTGGCGAACACGATCCATGCCACAGACAGCATCCATCAGCTGTTGGCGGAAGCGGCCGACGAGTCCAAATGCCTCGCGCACATGACGGCCCGCCTGAACCTCAAGGGGCCCCTGGGCCTCGCGCGCCGCATCAAGGACGCCATCGATGAGGAGGGCATCGTACACCAGCACGAGATCGAGGCCAGCGAGGCGGGGCAGATGATGGCCCTCGCCCAGGAAATCGTCAGCAACGAAGGCACGGAAGACGACGCGGTCGTCCTCCCCAAGGGAGCCTCCGCCGCCGCTGCCGCCACGAAGAAGAAGCGCCCCACCTCAGTCCGGGAAGCCTACGCCGACGACAACGAGACGTGGATCATGAAACCCGAAGCCAGTGCCGTCCTCCGCCGTCTTCACGCCGACCTAGCCGCCCTTCACGTCGAGAAGGAATCCCTTACCGAGACGCTCCGCGACCGTCACGGCGCCGCCTCCCTCACCCTCCGCTGGTCCCCGGCCCTCGGCCACTTCTGCCATATCAGGGGCAAGGACGCTCGCGCCGTCATCTCCTCCTCCTCTTCCACAATAAGAGCCCTGAGCTCCAGCAAGTCGACAAGCTCCTTCCACGACCCGGAGTGGACACGGCTCGGCCACAAGCTCGAGCACGCCCGGCACAGCATCCGCACCGAAGAGCAGCGCGTCTTCCACGCCCTCCGCGCCGCCGTCGTGCTCAACCTCGTCAAGCTACGCCGCAACGCCGCCGTCCTCGACGAGCTCGACATCGCCACCTCCTTTGCCAAGCTCGCCGTCGAGCAAGGCCTCACCCGGCCCATTGTCAACAATTCCACCGGCCACACCATCATCGGCGGCCGGCACCCAACCGTCGAGGGCGGACTCCACGAACAAGGGCGCACCTTTGTCCGCAACGACTGCCTCGTCGGCGGCGGCGGCGGCAGCTCCAGCTCCGGCTCTCCAGGCGCGAAGCTCTGGCTCATTACAGGTCCCAACATGGCAGGCAAAAGCACCTTTCTCCGCCAAAACGCCCTCATCACGATCCTCGCGCAGGTAGGTTGCTACGTGTCGGCCGACTACGCCGAGCTGGGCGTCGTCGACGCCCTCTTCAGCCGCGTCGGGTCCGCGGACAACCTCTACCGGGACCAGAGCACCTTCATGGTGGAGATGATGGAGACGGCGCACATTTTGCGTAACGCGACGCCGCGGTCCTTTGTCATCATGGACGAGATTGGCCGCGGCACGACGCCCGAGGACGGCACGGCGGTCGCGTACGCCTGTCTGCATCATTTGGTTACTGTTAATCAGTGCCGGACGCTGTTTGCCACGCATTTTCACCGCGTTGCTGACTTGGCGGTGTGGGATGGGTTGAGTGGCGAGGGAGGGCGTGAGCAGGGTCGGGTGGAGATGTATTGTACGGATGTGGACGAGGATGAGGATGGCGGATTCGTCTACGTTCACAAGTTGGTCAAGGGCATCAACAGGCAGAGTCACGCACTCAAGGTTGCAAAACTGGCTAATCTGCCTGACGCGGCAGTGAGCATTGCGAAAAAGGTTCTTGGTATTGAAAAAGCTTAGACTAAGTAAAGCATGGATTGTCATCACGTTTGACGGCAAGGGGAAAGGCGAAAAGGGTCACTGTACGATATGGGCGATGTATTATAAAAACCTGTACACTTTTGTATGTTAGCCATGATACCCATGTGAAACCAAGGCTGAAAAGTAAAGAAGACGATTGAAGTTGCTCTCTCATACGGAAATTGTGTGTGACATCAAGTAGATCAGGGTTAAAAAGCTCTTGAACATTTAAATAATCATAGGAAGCATAGGAGAAGGTGTAGAAGAAAGAAATGAGTACTAACCTTTGAAACATTGGAAAGTGAATGCTCACGAGCATAGTCACATCACCAAGAGTCGAGAGCGAATTGTTGTTTTGCCGTCAAATGCGATGTGCTTGATTGACCGGCAACCCATCTATACAGCGATCAAGATCCACGTATCTTCGTAAACCCATTCGTAGCCCAGATAGTAGCCGTATCATCACCGATTTCCCGTCATATTTAGTCGCTAGAAACGAGGTTAGCAATGACAAAGAGCGCAAGGGGGTTAGGTGAACATACAAGAGACCGCCGAAGCCGCCATCCTCATCGGACTCCTCCTCCTTCTCCTCCTCCTTCTCCTCAGCCTTGGTCTCGGCAGCACCGCCGGAAGCAGCACCGGCAGCGGGAGCGGCAGCGGCGTACGCGTCGGGGTTGGCGATGCGGTCCTTGAGCTCGTCGATCTCGGCCCAGGAGTAGTCGGTCTCGATGGCGACAGCGAGAACCTTCTTGTATCCGTTGAAGAAAGAGTGGATGACGGAGGGAAGGGTGGGGAAGTTGATAGCCAGGGACACAGCGGCGATGGTGGTGACGGCGCTGGTGAAGGACTTGAGAAGCTGGTCCTCAGAGATGTCGAGGACATCAGCGGGGAAGCAGTTGCCCTGGTCGTAGATCTGGGAGATACCCATGCCGTAGGTGAAGGGAGAGATGTTCAGCATGTTGAGGAGGGTGGCCTCGGAGGGGCCAACCTTGGTGTTGGCCTCGACGAGCTTCAGGTCGGACACAATTTCAATGGTACCACGGGCAATCTTGGTGGGGACACCGAGAGCCTGGAAGAAAGAGGTCTTACCGGGCTCCATGCCGGTGTTGCCAGCGGGAACCCAGACATCGGCGGGGGCGAGAGCACCGGCACGGGCAGGGGCGGCGACCTTGTTGGCGAGAATCTTGTCACGGATGTCCTTGAGCTCGGAGTTGGTGAAGACGAAACCAACGTTACCCTTGACGAAGGGAAGGAGACGCTCGTACTCGGGGGAGTCGGGGATGAAGGTCTTGAGGGCACGGCGAACCTGTATTCCAACTTTGGTTAGCAAACGCGTTCTTCATCCAGAGACCAACGACGCGCCGGCGAGAGTAATTCTTCCAGGCGCTCGATTGAGCTTCGCGCAAAGACAAACATACCATGGTGTTCTTTCCCATCAGGACGACACCCTCACCACGGAGGGACTGTCTGATCTCGTGCATCTGCTGAGAGCTGACATTGTCGACGGTGACGATGAAAATGGACTTGTACTCCTCGAGCAAGCCCTTGAGCTTGTCGAAGTAGCCGGCCTTGTTCGCAGATTTGCCCCCCATATCTTCTTATTTACGAAGGCAGGTTGTTTAAGGGCAAATGAATTTTTGGGTAGTGGTTGGTGGATGGGAATTGGGTATCAAAAGTTGATGTTGTAAAAGGCAAAAAAGAGGCTGTCCCCAGAATTTGCGCTTTTTGCTTCACCAAACGAAATTTCGGTGTGTGCTGCCGGGCGCCGCTGCCCCCATCAGGGCAACCGAGTGGGTCTAGTCTCAGAAGAGGCAAGCGCGGGGCAGCTTGCAAGGAGGTCGATGGCCCAAGCTTTGGAGACGACTTGCACCGCTTTTTTTCCTCAGACATCCGGTGGTGGGGCATTTACTCAAATGCAGATGAGTCTGAAGTGAAAGTTCTACGTCCCTTGCAGGCGCAACTTCAACTCATGCCAATTGAGCACGAACAACACTGAATAAGTCGCATTTTCACGATGAAGGTTCCCTACAACTGTCTAGAGCCTGCGGGTAATGTGGTCTTTGCTGCCAGGGGTGGAAAGATTCACTCGTTCAGCCTGGAAGATGGCGCTCACATCTCAACATGGAAGCATCCCGACGTCGAAAAGGCTGTTGCTGCTGCTGCGTCGGCTGCTGCCGCCAAAGTTGAGATTGAAGTGAGTTCCGGTGTTCCCACACCTTCAAACCCGGCCAACGACGATGATGAACCACCCGCCAAGCGTCAGAGAGTAGAGAGCGGCAAAGAAGACAAGGCGGAGGTACAGGAAGAAGCCAAGGATGTCGATGCCATGGTTGTCGATAGTGAACCTCAGAAAGCCGAACACCAGAAGAGGGATAGGAGAAAGGGTACCAAGAACATGAGGCGAAACAACCGGGATGGTCAGCAAAACAACCGCGGCACGGCGTTTGCGAGAGTCCCAGACTATCCCGTCATTACCATCATGACGACTACTAGTAACGGAAGTCACTTGTTAGCCATCTCGGGTCATGACAAGTCTCTTTGGGTCTTTGAGCACGACGGCAAGGGAAATCTGAAGGAGTTGAGCCAGAGGTACGTTGTCCGACTTACACCGTCATGTACACTAGCCTTAACACATATCTCAAAAGACAAATGCCTAAACGTCCCTGCTCGGTTCTCATCTGCCCAGACAACGAAACAGTCTTGAGTGCAGACAAATTCGGCGATGTCTACTCTCTGCCGCTGATCCCCTCGGAAGCTTCACAATCCTCCGAGGCCGCGGGCCAGCCCGAGGCCGCCCCTGAGACGGCTCCCGCAGCTGCCAAACCCTTCACGCCGGAAGCGAACTCCTTCACCGTACACTCCAAGAGCAATCTCCGCGCTCTCCAGAGCCAGCTGCGTGAGCAGCAGAAGTCGAAGCGCGACGTCACAAAGGAGCAGCCGACGTTCGAGCACACGCTCCAGATCGGCCACGTCTCCATGCTCACTGCCCTGACGCTCGCGTCAAAGGGGCCCCGGCGGTACATCATCACGGCCGACCGCGACGAGCACATCCGCGTCTCGCGCTTCATGCCGCACGCCCACGTCATTGAGGGCTTCTGCCTCGGTCACGCCAACTTCATCAGTGCGCTTACGCTGCCAAGTCAGGACGTTTTGGTCTCCGGTGGTGGAGACAGCGAGCTGTTCGCCTGGGACTGGGAGAACGGTAAGGTCCTATCCAAGTTCGATGTCCTGGGACAAGTTCAGCAAATCGACAAGGAGACTACCAAGGTCGCTGTGTCCCAGCTGCTCTCGGCCAATGTCACGGAGAACGGCTTGCAGGTGCCTGTCGTTCTGGTAGTGTGCGAAAGGTTCGTCACTCTTATATCTAACACCAAGTTCATGGCAGCTAAGACATCATCTAGTGTTTCTGCCATTCTCGTCCTTCGTTTGGCGGAAGACAACACCCTTTCACATGTACAGACCATCTCGCTCCCTGGAAACCTGCTTCACGTAGCACCGATTGTTACCGAAAACTCAATGACGAGCATACTGGTGACCATTGACCCGGCAGAGAACGAAGATGCACCCAATGGTATCGTCTCTTTCAGATGGACCGGCGCCGCCTTCTCGTCCCAGGACCTTGAGATACAGGACGCAAGCGTGAGTGAGGCTGAGTTCGACATGTCTCACGAGCAGGTAAGAAAGCTGTTGTACAATACCGAGGACTTGCGCAAGCGTGGTGATGATGAGCAAGGAGAGGAGGCAGAGGGCGAGCCTGTGGCGAAATAATTAACGTGAGAGGTTGCGTCATAATTTACGTTGCGAGCACTGTATATATCAGGTGGGCAAAAGCAATTCAGGCACGTTTATCATCAATTCGATTTAGCGAATTATCCTCTCTATGACCGTGAACGCCTTCCTCCCAAGTCTCGAATGTCCGTCGAGCAAAAGAAGCCAAGTGATGTTTTGAGAATAAGCACGCGCTGGACCAGTTTCCCCTGTTACTGTGTGCTGGTCCACTTGAATCCAGCCTCCATTCTCGACGAACCTGACACGGGCGTCTAGACAAGACGTCGTGGCTGGTTGATTCCCGCCATCTGAGAAAGGTCTCCCAACGGCGAACCCCTTAACCGTTTCCATGCAACCGTGTCCATCCATTCGTGACTGGAGAAAATATGCAAATTTCGTTCTGTCGAACAGGTTCGTGAAAAGAAACCTCGCCCGCGTCCTCTTCCCCTCACCGCGCCGAAGATGCTCATAATATCAATATCGGAACATGACGTCATTTACTGAGAAGCGCACTGCACGCGCTCGGCACCGCCGTGGCCGTCCTCATCGTCCTCGTCCATACCGCCAGCACCTCCGAAGACTCTAGCCTGGGAAGAGTTGTCGAGATCCTCGAGGTCGGCGGGCTCGGTCATAGCCTCAGGGGGAGGAACGGTCTGCAGCGAAGGGGCGGGAAGCAGCTTCTGGAGAGCCTCGAAGGCCGCGGGGTCCTCAGTCCAGCCCTTCTCGGGGAACTTGACGTTGAACTGGATGTAAAGGTTGCCGAAGTCGTGGTGTCTAGGAGAAGGCATACCCTGGCCGCGAACCATCTTGACAGCGTCTGGGACGTATTAGTAATTATAAACACAAATGGAGCACAGGAATCAACATACCAGGTGCAATGGCTTCACCGGGAAGGATCTCGATGCTGAGCCACCTGTCGTCGAGGTGCTCGATGTAGATAGTTCCACCAGCCAGCGCAGTCACCAGCTCGATCTCGCACTGGTACAGAAGGTCGTCCTCCTTGCGAGTGAAGCGGTTGTGGAGCTTCTGCTCGATCTCGAAAACAACGTCACCGGCCTGGATACCAGGTGCCTGGTCACCTTCGCCACGGAACTCAACCTTGGTACCGCTTCTGACACCACGGTCGACGTGGACGTGGAGAACCTTGCGATCGACAATGGTCTTCTTTCCGTTGCACTGCTTGCAGCGATCCTTGTCCTTGATCGTCTCACCCTCTCCGTTACAGTCAGGGCAGACAGTCTGGAAACGCTGGATCATGGGACCCATTTGTCTCATCATGGTCTTCATACCGTGGCCATCACAGCCAGCGCAGCGCTTGACAGCGCCCTCCTTGCCGCCACGGCCCTCGCACTTGGAGCAGATGACGGATCGCTGAAGAGCCAGCTTGGAAATCTTTCCGCGGTAGACATCCTCGAGGGAGACCTTGTGGGTGTGGTGAATCGTGCGAGCCTTGGGGGGTCCGCGGTTTGGCATGCCGCCGCCACCGAACATGCCTCCGAGGCCGCCGCCGAAGCCGCCACCGGAACCGAAGAACTGAGCAAACAGATCCTCGGCAGCCATGCCACCACCGCCGCCAGCACCACCTTCGAGACCAGCCTCGCCATATTGGTCGTAGACAGTGCGCTTCTGGGAATCGGAAAGAATTTCGTAGGCGTGGGAAATCTCCTTGAACTTCTCCTCAGCATCGGGGTTGTGGGCGTTCTTGTCTGTGGAGATCTTGTCAGCAAGTCCGTGGCGATGCGGCGGATTCGTTGGTGCCTACCAGGATGATACTTCAGGGCATTTGTCTTGTACGCCTTCTTCAGCTCCTGTTCGGTCGCCGTCGGCGCAACCTGTTCCGATGTTAATAATCTGTCCCAGCTACACGAGGGGCATGTATGTCAAACGTACGCCGAGGGTTTCGTAGAGCTTCGTTTCTTTGACCATCGTGCTGGTTGGTACAGTAATCCTTATCTAAGACTTGGCGATAAACCGGAGTTCTGGATAGGAATCTATGGAGGGGCCTTGAGTAACCAAACGTCAGCTGAACGAATCGAAAACGGTTCGCTAATTTCGCAATGTCGTCTTGCGCATCCCCGCCCTTGTAGCGCAGAAAAGGAGAGGCGAAACAGAGGAATGTCGGGTTTTTTGGCGGCTTCGAGGCAAAGCCGTTCCAGCACGTAGAATAGGGAAGGCGGATTTGCTTTGGCGGGTAAAAACACAACTCGGATTCGCTTTGCGCTGCAGAAAACACCGAAGGGTACTCACTTTTTGAAAGAAGCCGACAATGACGATTGCGCAACTGGGTATCTGATGTAAACTAGAAAGAGGGAGGTAGTTGCGGGGGAAAGTAGAAAAAAATTGAGAAGAGATCTGTAGCCGGGCTGGCGAGGAAGTTAATGATGGGTGAGGTTCCTGGCGGGGAGGAGTACGGTGGAAATGTACCTTGGCTGAAGGGACCGAAGTGCGCTAGTGACGGGACACTGGGACACTGGATTTTTCACAATAAAGGGAGAAGCAGGCTGCAAAGGCGGGTCGCCTTGCGCATGTCCCGCGCCCAAATGGCCCCAAATTGAAATCGATGGAAGAAGATGGAATTCTTTCCAGCCACTGTGGCGGTGCTGATGATGCAATACCTGCAGCCTCTACCAGTGTCTATGTCCTCTCTGTCCACACCTGGTCCGAGGGATCCCTTCGTCTCCTACCTGGAGCCTGGAGGACCATTAGGACCCTGATCGCCCCAGAAATAACTCTTTGTCCGCCTTCCAGGGGTCTCTGATAGCAGTTTGCGCCTTCTCTCAGCCTGATCTCCCTCACCCAACCCGCCTCGAAGCCTATTCTTATCCCATGCATCCGACGTATGGCACAAGTAGCCCTTTAACAATTTCCGACAATCCGGTCCCCACCACCCGACGGGAATCTTAGCTAAGCGGGGCCCAGACACCCAGAGGTGGATTTCTCATCCGTCATCGTCATCCAGCGCGATCGGTCCAGGACTCCAGTTTGGTCTCCAACGGACTTAACTCGCCGTCGGCGATTGCCTGCTAGTTGAGATGCTCGCTTACACCACTCGCCAGCTGAGTGCGAGACAACCACCTCGTGGTACTGTCACATATGTGTTCCGAGGCCGGCACTCACCCTATCAAATGCCCATCAAACAAATATCCGCGGTTATGAGTATTTTATTTCAACAGCTCGTCGGCGACACAACTTACGATTGCAACGCAAGTATCTTATTACTGCCGGAAACCCCCACGACATCGGCCAAAAGTATCAGCCTACTCTCGTGTTCTCGGTCACGCGAAGTCGCACCCTATTGTCCAGTATCGTCCCATCTAAGTGTTTGTTGAGGTTCCTTGACTTCCAGAATGTTGGCCCGGTTGCAAATGTGTTCACCCTCATCCTTCTCTCCTCCTGCAGATGTCCGTGATTTCGAACCTTGGGTAGTCAATGCGTATCTTGCCGTGCTCGGACAGTGTCGTCCTAGGAACGATATGCTGATTGTTCCTTCGGAAACACGGCACTGGATGAGCTCAGTATCCCAGAGAAAGATAAACTACAGAACTGTATTCGCCTAGAACGTCTTCCGCTTCTCGTTGCTGGAATACGACTGGCCTCACTGACGTCAGCACAAGCTGACCCTTAACCCTCATGGTTTTCGATGCTCAGCCAAGGCATTCCAGAACCATCGCTGCCAACACAGCTAGCTAATCTCATGGGTTACACCACGTTCCTCCCCCTGCATTGCGTTGCATTGAATCAAAGAAAGCTTGCGCGATTCCTCGACACATTGTTCACCTTTTCAAAGCTTGACTGCTTCGAACAGTCCGGACTAGCCACCAAAGATGTAGGTTGCAAAGGTTGCCAATAAGCATGGTCAACGATTGCATCTGAGTGGTCAGCAATACAGCACTACGAGATGAAATACGACGATGGTCGACTCACACAACGACCAACAACTCTTGAAGTGCATATGATAGGCCAATCTGCAAGGTGTTGCTGCAACGGCAGAAGCTGGCGGGGGAGATATGAGCATCTCCGTCGTCCGGGCCCTAGACAGGAATCGTCCAATCAGACAAAGATGATTTGAGCACCGATATGAGCATTAGGCGCGAATCCCAATGGACACCCCGCGTGGACCGAAAGCTGGGGTTTATGTCGACCCCAAAGCAACGAAAAACACCGTTAGCTAGTTTGGCGGACTGAGCTGTGCCATGTCGTTTCGCTCAAGAACAACGTAGACAAAGACTGATTTCTCAACACAGCAAGTGAAACAACACGTGGATCCATGGTGTCTGGATTGATCGATCCATTGCAGTTAATTCCTTATCAGAAAACAGCATAAGTCTTGCACTGATTGTAGGCAATTTCGCCTCCACAACCTAGTAGCTGCCAGTCCTGGTGCTCTCCTCGGAGAAGCATCATTTTAGCCCGCGTGTAGGTGACGGCATTGGCCTGTTTGGGCATGCAGGCTTGAGCCGCTCAAAGTCTAGGCCTGAGTGTGGCACAACTTGAGGTTATTTCTTCTGCCCCTGAAGTGTTGTGTTGAATTTTACCAATTGTCCTTGCCATCCCTTATTCTACCTGAGAGACGTCCAAAGTTTTGTTCTTTGACCGTAGTTACGATTCAGCATTATTTACACTTCATCTGATTTTCTTTGAAGATGGATACGACCGTGGACTTCAGTCCCTACCGCGCCGATGGCAAGCTTGTACGTCAGTGTTACCATTATAAGTCTATGCGTGATGTGCTAAGTATTGTGGCCAGTATGGCTTCGTCTGCGTTGTCACGGGCGCTGCTCAGCCTGTTGGACGGGCTATCATCGAGGAGCTGGCAGGCAGGAGCTTGTTCGCTACCTCGAGGAGGCGTCGCTAACACATAGACAGCTCATGGAGCCGCTTCCATATACGGTAAGATTAGAACCGGTATCTTGAGTGACAACGACGACAGAAACTGAATGACACGGTCTAGCATGCGACAAGACAGTCAGTGATGAGACGGTCAAGCCTCTGGTCAATAAGGTGCACCAAGAGCACCCGAACACCAAGATCATTCCCTACCCGTTCAACGTTGCCAAAGAAGAAGAGACTCTGGTCCTTATTGACGAGCTTCTCAACGCCTTTGGACGCCTCGACATCTGGGTATCATCAGCAGGTCTGCTGGGGCCCCCGTCCATCAACGAAACGACACCGGCCGACCTCCAGCGGTGCTTCGAGGCACATTCCATGGCACCCTTCTTTGCGCTCAAGTACGCGCCTCCCGCCATGGCCAAACTGACGGAAAAGCAATCTTACCCGAACGCGGCGCCCAAGAGCCAGAAGTACGGCAGCATCATCGTCATCAGCAGCGTGGCATCGACGTACGGCGGGTGCTGGGAGCCGTGCTATACGATGGCGGCCCACGCCGCGCTCGGTGTCGTGAAGGCCGGCGTTGCGGTGCTCAAGGGCTCGGGAGTGAGGATCAACTGCATTTCTCCGGGCCAGATTGATGTTGGTCTAGATTTGAACGGGGTAAGAGTTCTTCGCTTCACTAGGCCGAGCAGACAGCTGATCAATGCAACCTAACAGGTCGATATGAAGGGGATGAACTCCCAGTTCCCACCTGTGGTTTTGCAAGGAAAGGAAGTAAGTCGAAAACGGGAGGTGATGAAACGGAGTATAAGCCCGATGAATCTAGCAACTGGTACCCGTCATCCAAGGCCTCCGAGGCAAGCGTGGGCCTCGAGCGACCGGGTAGTCCTCAAGAAGTAGCTCGAGTAGCCGGGTTTCTAGCTTCGGGCTTCAGCTCCTACGTCACGGGAGCAAACCTTGTGGTTGACGACGGCTCTTCGTAAGTGTATCCCATCAAGGCACATCTCGTGACCCCATAAATCAAGGCATTAGCTAACGGATATCGATTACCTAGTGCCATGAACCCGCTTACGATATCCCTCGGCAAGGCGTAAGTCGGCTTTGAAGGTAGGCAGGTAGTCAGCTGAGAATGAGACTGCGGGGTTATCCAATGGTTGCAGAACGTCAAGGCGCGCCGCCTACATGCTGGTCATACGGGGAATGTCCGTCCAATCCGGGGATCGAATGTCATGAGTGTAAGCAGCCCAACTAGGCAGGAAATTTGGAGGCGGAAACGGACATCTGCGATGATGGTTGGAGAGGACGGGAGGAATCATGGCAATTGCGGGTTTTCGGTTCCGAAACTGATAGCAAAAAGATTACTTCGAGGAGACGCAAACGGAATTCGGAGACGGCCGGGGGTCGCTATTGGCACCCGGACCCCCCATAAATGGAGCATGCCAGTGGCTCCCACAGAGGGCGTTCCCACCAGAGAGACCCCCAAGAATAAACTAACACCAGCAGCCCGTAGACCTATCATCCAACTACACACATAGGATCATAGATTCATCTCACACATCATATCCGATTCCTCATCTCACAAACTCATCCTATAACATACTCACTCACGTCGTTCCTCTCACTTCTTGCAACATGGGCTTCACACCAGAGGTTTTCGATGTCGCCACTGAGTCTCAGACGGCCGAGACGGCCAAGAAGTACGGACTTACCCCAGCCGAGGTGACTAAGCTTCACCAAAAGGCGACGGCAGCAAAGGCGACGGCATACTGCCCTTACAGTCAATTCCGTGTGGGAGCGACACTCTTATCTAAGGACGGCAAATATACATCTGGAGCCAACGTTGAGAATGCCTCTTATCCCGTTGGCACGTGTGCCGAACGAGTAGCGTTTGGCAAGGCCATCACGGAGGGTATTCGAGGATTCAAGGCTGTCGCCGTAGCCACCGATATCGAAGCTCCGTGTAGCCCATGTGGCATGTGCCGGCAGTTGTGAGTCAACCCCTTTGTAACGCCCCAGTCTTCTTCACACAATCTTCAGAGGGGTATCATGAACCGCTGAGGCAGCCTTTAACTGATAATTTTCACTAGCATCCGTGAGTTCGTGGACCTGGAGACGCCTATTATCATGTTCAACAAGGACGGAAAATACGTCGTCATGAGACTCGAAGCTGTAAGTTTACAAGACCAAGTCATTGAGAAAACCCTTGAGCTGATCATCGTGAATAGCTTCTCCCGCTATCGTTTGGCCCTGAGTACCTCCCGCCACCGGATGTTCTGGAGAAGGCCCGGGCCGGTGGAATTTAGGCCACTGTACAGTCCGTCATCGTGTCGGACGGTTAGGTCAGAACCTGCTGGCGCATGCGCTCATCAGCCTTAAGTGTGTGGAAGGAATTCTATGCGGTGGTGACGAAATATTTACACGGCCTTCCTTGGTACAGTGTAATGAGGTATAAATGAGTGGCGCAACCTGGCGGTGGGTGATTTGGCGTTGATATCGGGTAAGGAAGGGAAAGTTTGCTTGGCCGGGGTGATGAGAAATGAGCTGCTTGAGTCAAGTTAGGTCGATGCAGACGGGCGGTTGATTAGCATTCGATCCCACTTTACGCCTTTGGCGGGATCTTGCATTGAGTTGTGGTCAATGATCTGTGGCCTTACCTATCTAAATCCCGATCAGATTTGTCACTCATGATGTGCTCCTGGCCCGTCGTAATGCTTGGGACGCGTATCATGCCCAACAAAAGGTCCGAAGTACAATTTGCTTATATAAAGCTACGCGGTAATAGTCCTTACCCCTTGATTGACGAAAGATGGGTTTCATCATCAAGTGCTTTGCAGCGTCAATTGTTCTTCGATGGACTTATTCGATGGATGAGCACCCCCGGGTCAAACATCGCGGGTGAGTAACTTGGGAGTGGAGAGGTCCAGAACAAAGAAAGAAGCCGGCAGAACTCCTTTTGGCCTTTACCTTAAATATATGAACCATAATCTCTCCCATATGTTCCGGTTCTTACAATGCCATCATTTCAAGACATTGACAATACATCGTCGAACCCTTAGCAATATCATGGCATGCAACACCCAGCTACTACTTTGAGCTAACAGATCATGCTATGTTGTGGCTTGTGGACTTGACAGCATCTTGTAACGAGTCAAAGGCATCATGAAATGTAGACAAAAGAAGGAATAAAGCAGATATCCTGATGGCCGGTCTAACATTACACGAGTTTGGATTCTGACACTTATCAATGGACGAATGAACATCGTCTCTTACTAGCAGATGACTGTAAATTATATGCTCTCGTTGCATGTTTGAACAGCCTTGCTTTTGACAATCCTAACTTACTGTATAGAGATGTTTTGATATGTGACCGACCTACCAAGTTTCCGGCATCAAGAGTCCATTCTTTCTCAATGGGCAAGGTGCTTCATTCACCATTCGAGAGTTTCAAAGAACCATACCCTATTGTCTACCGCCATGTCGTTGGCGGCGCCTATCTTTACCGCCTTCGCAAGGAGGCTCTTCAGCCGTGCATTGCTCTGAATTCGCGCTTCTGGCATGTCATGTCTTAATCAGGGTCTGATAGAAAGCAACGTCTAAACATGCGGACTCGAAGCTGTACGAAGTACTACCCCGAGATGCGCCGGCAATGCGGCCCCGTATAAGTGGACAGGGACCAGTTTCCCTATCTCACGCCCCCCCTGGCAAGGGACATATTCCTCGTTTAGTTGCATACACTCAATAGTTTCAATGCAGGTTTCAATACCGCTTCCTTGCAACCCTAACGAACTGCCCAAACGAAACGAAACGGAAGGGGGGGGGGTTTCCCAGGGGTGGTCCCCCCGACACACTTCAGACGGTCTTTGACAGGACGAAGGGAGAGAAGGGGAGGAGGGAAAGGCCGGAAGGGCCAGGGCAAGGAGGGGAGGGGGGATTCTGCTGTAAGTGAGCAGGAGCGGACCAGGAAGCAAAAAAAAAAAAAAAAGAATAAAAAAAAATTTCCCCCCAGGCATGAAACTTTTCTTCCCCTCCACCAAGGTCTATCCGCACACAACTTGAAACCCTCATCGGCCGGGCCACAAAAATTGTTGTCTGCGCGCCGATGCAGCGCACCGGTCTTCCCGGGGTGTTCAACGGGAAAGAAAAAAATCACATTCTTCATGTTGAGTACAATACCAAGTGTTTGAAGCGCTACAGGAGAAGATCTTGATTCTTTTAGTTCGTGGTAAGCGACAATGAGTCTCGATAGTAACTTTGGTGGTGACGGGGTCTTGGTGTGTTTGGCGGGGTAAAAGACCGGTCTCCCGCAAATCCCCCACCAAAGTTTTCACAGCACTGACATTCAGGTTCTCGTTGAGGAGGGGTGTTTTTGCTCCCCCTCTGGCCTGAGGATGTGAAGCCTGGAAGATGGCTACTGCCTCAGGCGCGCAGCACGGACCAGAAGGTGTGCACGCGCGAACCCTCTATAGGGAGCCAAATTAGCTCTGAATTTCGCCTTCGGGCATTTGGTCAATTTGAAACGATACAGAGAAGATGTAAGTTTATCTCCGAGGTCCCAAGTTCGAATCACGAAGCAGTCACTGACTTCCCTCACAGTAGCATGGCCCCTGCACTAAGGATGACACGCTCAATCAAAGAGAAGCTACCAATTTTTTTGAGCTTTTTTTCTATGTGCTTAAAATTATCGTCGAGCAGTTGAATGTGTTTTTACGGGATTTCTACATAGGATACTTGCCGCGCAAAACTCGATAGAATGAAAGGAAGGGAAGAGGAAAAAAATTTCAGTGGACGCTTGGGCTCAAGGCAGGCCGCCCCACCCTAGGGACAAGAAGTTGAACCGTGGGTTGTATGGATGCGTCGAGCCACGAACGTTGTGAGCTTCTTTTCATCTGGAATGCGATTAGAGACGTTGAATCCACGGCCCGCCCACGTGGCGCAGCCCAACCTCGTCCGATGGGCTGGTGTCTCTCCGAGTGCCTTGATAACAGGACACGCACTGCGTGTTAGTGTGTCTGAATGAACTCCGGCCACTTGCAAGCCTGTATGGTGGAACATCCGAGAGCGATGCTCCATGTCGTGGCAGCAATTCGCCCTGCCATGCCCGAGTATCCAGCCTCGTGCATGCTCGCCCCGCTTCCTTCGTTGAAACCCTGGCGGTAAGTTGCCGTACGGCCATAGTGTCCAGAGAGGAGTTTGGAGAGCTTCGCCGTGACTTCCTGATACAACATATACCAAGACACATATTCATACAATCACTTTCAACAAGAGGGACACAGAGAGTACTTTTAAGAGAAGATTCATCGTAACGTGGCCCCTACGTACAGAGAGACTAGGAAACCGAAAATCAAAAACTAGAACCCTTGCCAATGATTCTTTTAGGTACCAGTCCGCCGCACCTTCGTGGTATTAAGGTGCCAAAAGACTCGTAAGCCGTTCCGCATGCAAGCCAGTTTTCAATTCCACCCATGAGTCGGGGCGCGTCCAGCAGTCAACCAAGAAGATGGTATGCTGGCCACGCCCTGTGACTCGCCAGGTAGCCTTCCGCGATCTATCAACAAACAAGTCCTGATGAATCTCGAGTAAAATCCACCCTCAAGCGTCAGTGCCAGATCCGGTGCGTGATCGATCTCGGCAGACAACAGGGCCTGTTCCGTTCCAAAGAGAAAGTATGCGTGTATCCGTGAATTCGTTACTTAGATGAGGTCGGCAACGTTCATGGGCATCTCCTCAATCTGGGTGCTGTAGAACTGCTCAATCTCTCTCATCATGCGGACGTCCTCGGCGGTAACGAAGTTGATGGCAACACCCTTACGTCCGAAACGACCACCACGACCGATGCGGTGGATGTAGTTCTCGCGGTTGGCGGGAAGGTCGTAGTTGATGACCAGGGAGACCTGCTGGACATCGATACCACGGGCCAGAAGGTCAGTGGCGATCAGGACACGGGAAGATCCGGAACGGAACTCCTTCATAATCAGATCACGCTGAGCCTGGTCCATGTCACCGTGCATGGCGGAGACGGTGAAGTCACGGGCAGTGAGCTTGTCGGTGAGCCAGTCAACCTTTCTGCGGGTGTTGCAGAAGATGACAGCTTGGGTGATGGTGACAGTCTCGTACAAGTCGGAGAGGGTGTCGAGCTTCCACTCCTCCTTCTCAACGGCAATGTAGAACTGCTTGATACCCTCAAGAGTAAGCTCGTCCTTCTTGACGAGAATGCGGACGGGGTCGCGCATGAACTTGGTGGTGACCTCGAGGACGTCCTGGGGCATGGTGGCGGACAGAAGGACGACCTGGGTGCTCTGGGGAAGGAGCTGGAAGATGTCGTAGATCTGCTCGGTGAAACCGCGCTGAAAACATATGTTAGCATGTAGTCGAGCAAAATCCAAGTCTATCAAAACTTACAGAAAGCATCTCGTCGGCCTCGTCAAGGACGAACATCTTCATGGAATCGGTCTTGAGGAAGCGGCGCTGGATCATGTCGTGGACACGGCCAGGGGTACCGACAACGACCTGGGGACCGTCCTGAAGGGCCTTCATGTCGTCACGGACGCTGGTACCACCGATGCAGGCGTGGCACTCAATGTTCATGAAGTCGCCGATGGCGACAACGACCTTCTGGATCTGCTGGGCAAGCTCACGGGTGGGAGCAAGGATGAGGGCCTGGCAAGCCTTGACGTTGGTGTCAATCTTCTGGAGGACAGAGACGGAGAAAGTGGCGGTCTTGCCAGTACCGGACTGAGCCTGGGCAATGACATCGTGGCCTGGGCAAAGCATGAGCAACTGTATTCGCAAAGTGAAAGTGGTTATTGAACATACCCTTGATGACGGGCATGATGGCACGCTGCTGGATGGCGGAGGGACGCTCGAAACCGTAGGCGTAGACACCTAGCGAAGCAAAGTCAGCAACATGGTCCACAGTGAGGGTATTTCCGCCCGAAAATTTTTGAGCGCGGGAAAACATACCACGAAGGAGCTCCGACTTGAGGTTCATGTCATCGAAGGAGTCGACGGTCTCATCGTAGTTCGACTCGATCTGGCCTGTAAAGAGGTATTTGTTAGCGACTTGTCGTCTTTCGAAAATGCGCTAGGCGCCGAGGAGAGGGAGGGGGAGGTGGCCGGTCGGTCACTCGTAGACGACGACCTCAACGTCGATAGCCGAAGCCTTCCTCTGCCGAGTCCACGATCCCTCATATGTAGGCGCAAGACTTACCCTCAGGCACATCCTCAAGACCCTTGTCAGCCATGATTGCGGTTGTGTTGTGGGAAAAAATCTAGATCACAAGCACAGCTTGGAATCTAGAAATATCGTCGCGAAGGTGGGGTTTGGCGAGGGGCTGGAAAATCGCAAACGTCTCGTTGGAGAGTTTTGCGAAATGTGTCGACGAATCGAAGTCTAAGAATTAAAGTCTCAACTAGATCCGATACTCTTGGCGAAACGCAAGAGTAGAACTGAATCTAGGAAGAAAGGTGCGTTTGGTTTGGTTGTTCGTGGGGTGATGGTGCACGTTGATTGTTCGGGGTGGGAGGTGAAGTTTTTATCAGCAGCTGCAGGAATTCTTGACCACGTAAAAAATTTCCTGGCGGCGGGCGGCCCCTCGTTTTATGCGGTAAGCGAGGTGGCGCTAAACGGAGACAGGCAGGATGGGTGATTAGGGCACACCTGCCGTGCCGTCCTCAGTGAATGAGCGATCACTAGCAGTGCAGCTATGGGACCGGAGACTGCTGTCGGCGGAACTCAGCGCTGGGAAGGCCGGAGATAGCAGGAACGACAGAAGGCACAGCAGCCGCACTTGCCTGCTAAATTTTCTGACCTTGTCGCCCGACCCCCTCTAGGATGCGATGTGGCGGAATGCCTGCCAGATTTTCATCTAGACAATCTTCATGCATTAATTGAGTCACAGAACATGTTTATCGAAGCATGTGTCCGCCACGCACTGCTGCTACCCAACACCTAGCTCGTACCACCTGCACCCGCGATGCCGCTATGCCCAGTGACATGATTCCTTGTACAGCTTTTTTCTCGTCTCATTTTCACACCCTTCTTTCTCCTTTGACTTCAGACTGTTAGACTCTTCAGCCTTTTTGCTTGCCTGCTTTCTCCAACGTCACCCCCGCCACTAACTTTTTTTTTTTTACCTTTTAGCCAAAAGCAGCAGACACACATGTCAATGTTCTCCCAATAACCCAAGGATCCTAGTTGCTCGCCTACCTACCTAGTACCTTACATGGCGAACGATACCTCATCTGTGCCACACCATGGCACTGTATCCAATGGCCGGACCAACAACAGCCATGCTGACAACACCAGCCTCGACAACTATGACTCAAAAGCCCTGGAAAATGCAGTCACGTCGACTGAGTCAATTCCAACCCATCCTTTGGGAGTGAAACCGCTGGGCAACCAGTATCTCTCGGGCCGTCCGAACGCTCGGAAACACATCGGATATCTGAAAATTTTGCCCGATGAGGCTCTTATGCTCCTTTTGGAGTATTTCGACGAGGATCGTCTCCGAAATCTAGGCTACACTTCCAGATTCCTTTACGCATTCTGCCGCTCAGATGACTTGTGGAAGACGCTATTTCTTCAGTAAGTCAGTTGCTTTGTTGAGTGGAGGAAAATCATGGGACTGGGTGTTATTGGTATTCATTAGCAAGAGCTGCGGATTACACAGTCACCCTGGTGGTTTCGCCCGATTGAAACAAGAGCTGTTCACGACCAGGTATTCCTGGTGACTCTTATTCCAAAATGATCAGATAAAGATACCGTGATCATTCGACTGAATCTTGGCGTGTAAACTATTGACTTTACTGACGGAACTTTAGATCTCACAGCTCAGGAAGATTTGAAGGCAAATGGCAGGGATCTTGGAGGGCTACCCAGCTGAAGCTCTCCTCTGAGCAACAGGCAAACATTGACTGCAGCAATGTCTTCTCTGACGTTATACACCGACCGTTTGTCTGTAGTCATGTAGACTTGAAGCAATTCACCTCAAGGATACCAACTCGCAACATGATCCGGCGCATGGAAACCCTGACTTACGAGGATTTCTCTGAGAACTGGACCGATACCCCTTTCGTTCTCACCAAATACATCCAGAAGTGGCCTGTCTGCTACGAATGGACTATCGATGCCATATCAAAACGCTACAATGATGTAGAGTTTCGCTCAGAGGCCGTTGACTGGCCCTTTTCGACCTACAACGAGTACATGAACAATAACGACGATGAGAGCCCTCTCTATCTATTCGACAAAAAGTTTGCCGAGAAGATGAAGATCGCGATTGAGCAAAAGGAGGGTGCGGCTTATTGGAAGCCGGAATGCTTTGGTCCGGATTTGTTCGAGCTTTTGGGAAAGGAACGGCCCGCCCATCGCTGGCTCATCATCGGACCCGAACGAAGCGGATCAACCTTTCATAAGGACCCCAACGGTACGAGTGCGTGGAACGCGGTGATCCAAGGTGCGAAATATTGGATCATGTTTCCACCCACGGCTATGGTCCCCGGAGTGATTGTCTCGCAGGACAGCAGCGAGGTCACCAGCCCCTTGAGCATCGCAGAATGGCTTCTCGAGTTTCATGCAGAAGCACGTCGGTTACCCGAGTGCGTCGAGGGTATCTGCCAAGAGGGGGAAGTTTTACATGTGCCGAGCGGGTGGTGGCATCTAGTGGTCAATTTGGAAAGCGGCATTGCACTGACCCAGAATTTCGTACCGAAAAATCAACTCTCCGAGGTTATCTCATTCCTGAGGGATAAGCCAGATCAAGTTTCTGGCTTCAAGCAAGAAGTAGCTGATCCATACGCGTTGTTCATCGAGCGACTGCGCCAGGAACAGCCAAATCTGTTGGAAGAAGCCCTTCTTATTTTGGAGAAGAAGAGCATTCAGAAAAAGAGGAAGTGGGAGGAAGCAGTGGGCGGAAGCCAGGCAGAGACCAGCGGAGGTGGCTTCAGCTTCGGATTCGGGGATGACCTGGATGACGAAGAAATCCCCTGAGCTGCCTGTTGTAGACGATAATACGGCGTACTGGAGCATGGAGATTTCTAATACCGGAAGGCAGAGGTCCTTCGTCGTTTCCGTCTTCCGAGTACATCACTCACTACTTTCAAAGACATGGCTACGTTAATGGAGGGAAGTGGAGAAAAGCCCTCGTCCTTCACATCTGGCGTCCGTGTACTTTTGTCCGACACACCTCGAAGGCAGCCCTTAGCTGAATGTCTATTGGGAACAAGGTACAAGAAGGGCTCCTTGGTTGAACCTTGCTCGGGTATCGCCAAAGTCAGCTTACTCACTCAGAAGGAGCGACGAGGATAGCACAAAGGGCGCATTGTGGCCGGCAAGGGCAGAGCTGAACAGAGGGTCGGCTACAATGAAAGCACCGAATAAAAAGGAATCTGTCTTTCAATCCCATTCAGTGGAACGTCGTCGAGTACCGCGCCGCTTAGCATCCAAGACTGGAGAGACAGTATGCCAATGTTTCCTTCCCAGTCGACAAGGTATCCGAATGGTCTCTCAAAAGCAAGAAACCCCTAGAAAGTGTAGTTTACCAAGATACTGGTCTTTCTCCCAAGTTATAGATAGGTCCATACTTCACATCTCAGGCCTCACGTCATATGCCGCTTCAAGCTCTCGCTGAAGTCAAACCCCTGGATATTCTTGAGTTCGAACAGTTAAGATGAAAATGTCACTCCTGGGTGGGGAGGGCGTGTCTTCCGAAGTTGAGGTACCTTAGTAGGGAGGGTACGTACTTCATTAGTTGCCCCGCCCCGTTGTGGTTGTCCCTGAGGACTCCCATCAGTGGATCACTGGATAGACAATTAGCAGGTGTGCTTCTTGGGGGTACGTCCCGGATATCCTAGTGTGCCTCATGATTGGCTACTTTCCGGTACGTGCCCGCTAAGCGTGAGCCCACTGACACTGGGTCCCAGTTCCCCGACCCCCGAAAGAGCTGTTAGCCAGCTGGTGGGTGGTGCATCATCCCTTCCTACACCTGGAGGTCCTGAACTCCTCCTCAACCCAAGGTAAGGTACCTAAGGTATTTGCCTGCATCCACAGGAGCGGTGCAGCGGCAGCAGCAGCAGCAGCAGGAAGCACGCACCCCAAGTACCCGACCGCAACTCACCTTACCTCTCCCGCCCTCAGGTGGCCCCGTCCCAGTTCCTGGTCCCCGTCCTCAGCTGAAGGGGGAACGACGACGTGCACTTGGCTGCATTTCCCACCATCCAAACCACCATCTCCAAATCTTCCACTTTCCTCCCGTCGTATCTCGCTTCTACCTTAGCCTTTCAACGGCTGGCAACAACGGCTCAGTCTGCGAACAATCCAAGTCCACCCGAACGGGGCAGCCTCTTTCTTTCGCGCACTTTATGCCCGTAATACCGACCGCCTCATCCAACAGCAAGCTCGAGACGATCCCCCCTCTGCCCCTGGCTCCGAAACCATGTGACGGAACCATCGAATCCCGCCCACCAACTTCGCTCTCATCGCCAACTCCCTCGCTTTGCTTCGATTACTCTTCCAAGCACACACAAGACTTTAGCGCATTCTACTTCTAGTGGTTCCGGCTTTGCTTCAGCGGACAGGACAGCTCGTCCACCTTCGAACTCAACCCCCCACGGCCACCCGCGAAGGCTGACATCCGACGTCAACTCCCACCTCAGCCCTGCCTGACGCTGCCGCAAACCACTGCCTTTACACTCCCGCCGCCTGCCTTACATAGTAGTTGCTCCGCTCCAAACCAAGACCGAATACCATCTATAAACGCGCCGTTGCGGTCTCGGCTCCAACCCTTACATACTCACGCAATATATACTCTTGACGCACCTTTGCTGCCTCCACCTGCTATCCCCAGGCCCGCGTCTCGGCCTCAAACCGCGCAAACATGGTTTCCGACGAGCACTATGAGATCTGCCTACCGATCCTCCAGGATGCCACCCTCGAGGACGAAGACAAGACGGACAAGCTAGAAGACCTTTTGCGAAACCAGACGACTCTGAATGGTTCCTCACTAGATAATGCGATTCTCGATGTGTTATGGCGATACCGTGATGGAAGTGGACTTGCGGCCTCCCCTCCTCCTATCCGTCAGACTATCTTACGGCGACCATCACCTGCATCATGGCGCGGCAATGCCACTCCCCTCTCTGGCTCGCCCAGACTTGGAGTTAGTCCTTTGGCCCCTCCAGGCTTTGTTCCGTCCTTTACTCCATCTTTCACGAGAACGAAATCGTCTGCGGCTTCTCCTTTCTCCTCTCCGAGACCCTCTCCGAGACTCGCCTTTGCGACACCCGCCATACCTAATAGCCCGAACTTGAACGCATACGAGTTCGCCAACGACAAGTCACCTTCTCACGAAACTTTTGGCGACTATCAGACAGAAAACGTGGAGTGGCTTGTCGCTGATGATGCTATCAGCGTTACATCATCTGTCGGAACCTCAAGTGGCTTGAATGCTGCTGCCCCTGAGTTCTCCTCCATGTCGTCACAGCAAGCTGATATGTCTCCATATGACATGCTGCGTTCAATACTCGGCCGGACGCGAACTGACGAGGAGATCGAAGCAGCCCTTGCGCTTCACGGCTATGATCTAAGCGCAACGATCGCGTCTATCATGGAAAGTCAGGCGCAAGAGAATGGATACAGCAGCTCGCAGCCAGACGACAATAAGGTGTCTCTGATAGGAAAGGCGCTGGCTGCGGAAGGACGGCCCACTACCCCGGCTGGACAAAGGTCGGGTATTATCTGCAAGTTCTACATGTCTACGGGACAATGCTTAAGAGCAGACTGCAGATTCAGCCATGACTTGAGCAATCATCTGTGCAAGTAAGTATCTACTCCTCCAGCCTTGAGTATACCCTCAACTAACATGAGTACCAAGATACTGGGTAATGGGCAATTGTTTAGCTGGCGAAACTTGCATATTCTCCCACGATCCAGCACATCTAATGAACAAGCTGGCGCTGGACGGGGCCAGTACTCCTCCAACCAAGCAGGCCAATTTGTCCGACTTGAACCTGTTTCCAGCACTTCCACCTGGCACGCCTGACCACATTGGCAGTTATAGTGGAAGCCCAGGTGTTACAATCGGGCTCACGCCACCACCCGGCCTGAAGCCGTTCTACGCGAGTGACAGCCCTCGGTCTAGGTCTCGCCCAGGAAGCCGACACCAGCAAGCGAGGGAACTTGTGGCTCCATCGCTGGACGATGCGGACGCATTCCCTACTCTAGGTTCTGCTGCGGCGAAGCAAGGCAAGAAGCACCACGGGAAAAGGGGTGGGCACGGCCACAATCACAAGGAGAATTATGCACCAAACTCTCTTGCTGAGATCGTCAAGATGTCGCCATCTCCAGGGCCAGCTTCACTCCGCCAAGATATCAAAAAGATTGGACGAAATGGAAGCTCGACCAATATCCGGAACGGGGAAAATAGTGCGGCAGCACAGGCGATTCAGAACCCGAAACACATTCCATGGTTAGAAACTGGTGAAAGAGCCAACAAGGCCTACCTTAAAGCTCGCCAAGAAGCCATCAAGCACGGCGGTCTTAGGAACAAGTTCCTCCAGAGGTAAGAGATCAACAATTCTTTAATGACGTTTCACGGGGCTAATCAATCGATCAGCGCCGCTCAAGCATGGAACCGAAATGATGCTAGGGCTGCCAAAGCTCTGAGTCTACGGGGCCAGAGTGAGAATGACCTGATGCGGAAGGCGCATCGAGAAGCCGCGCGCGAGCTCTACGAGGAACGCAACAGAGGCATTGCGAACAGTTCTGAGATATATGTCGACCTGCACGGACTTCATCCGGAGGAAGCCGTGGAATATCTGGAGCGAGTTTTGATGGAGAACGGCAAGGAGACTAGACCGATTTACGCCATTACCGGTACCGGTCACCACAGTAAGAACGGCAAGGACAAGGTCGGCAAGGCGATTCGTAACTTCTTGAACGAGTGGAGGTACGCCTATCGCGAATTCTCCGTCCCTGGAGATCGCAATAATATGGGTGGCATCTTGGGCATTGATGCTCGAAGCTACGACAAGGCGTTGGCACGCGAGGGAACGTCGAGTGCAGACGACAGTAAAGAGGAGGTTGATATCTTGAGTCAGGGTGTGGAAATTGGAGACGGCAAAGTCAGGATGCTTGTTAGGGATCCCCCGAAGGGACCTAGCGGGCGGCGATGACGACCGACTACCTAGAAGGAATGAAAAGACAATAAAGTAGAAAGAACCGAGAGTAGAAAAGGTCAACAAGACGCTCCAGGAGCGAACTCCTCTATCAAGATTATATCAAGGTCCTGGCGCGTTAATTATTGCAGTGAAGGTGATAGTAGAAGCAGAGCCGCTTTTACCTAAGGGAAGGTCGGGCGGGTATCTGTACCTTACGGTAGGTTGAGTTCATGCAGGGAAGAAGCACTTGGAGCTTTCCAGCTCGAGTGGAGCCCCCACCGACACTGGAGAGCGCCGGATACTGGCCGGTCAGTCGGCAGGCAGACCGACATGGACGGGATGCACAGCGGCTGCCATTTTGGGACGTGCGAGTGCCTTATGCATCGAACCCCCTGTATGCCATGCAATTGAAACCGTCCGCAGGAAACATGAGACATTCTCATTGCGTTTTCCCATGAAACGGGCTCTTTAGGTAATGCTCTGTGAACGTCGTCATCAGGAACAGTATCGAACCTCGGGTCTCCAACTAAGTTTTTCTTTCCATGTTAGTTCGTGTGTATCTGTTTCCTCCGTCCCTGTGTACGTGTACGGAGTATTCGTCCGTTCTGGGGCAACTAAAATAAGGTCCGTCGTACTAGGGCATTTCCATTGACCCTGGAGAACCCCGGTTATTTTTGGCCAGGTAGCAGCCCGCCCGCATTGACGGGCCCGACGATCCATGGAAGTTAACCGCGGACCTTGCGCATGTCTCTAGGTGTGGCTTGGGGCACTTTGGTTAGGCAGCTTACCTCATCGCAGCGGGTGTGAGGTCAGCTCCTTCAACATTGCGACGCACTCTTCCTCCCTCACCATAGTCTTCTTCCCTTGTTCGTTCCATTTCTGTACTTGCATCAAAGATTTGGTTGTTTCTTTCGAAATGGCCCCGGAAAACATCGAGTGAACCAGTTACAATTCTAACTGCGAAAGAGACGAACTTACTGTAAACCGAGCGTACAATCGACTGGTCGAAACCCCCGCGAATAGCTTCCTGTATCCGTAGCCTCCGGGCCCCAAAAAGCCACCACGCTCTCAACTGCCTCTTGCCGCCAGATTGCCCCCTTTTAGACCCCCGATCGACCGCCCACGATGCCGGCCGACTACGAATCAGCAGCGAGGGCTCTCTCCCTCTCGCCGAATCCCCCATCCTCCCCCTCCGAAGCCCACGCCGACGTCCGCCCGCCATGGATCCGCAACATCGGCGGCAACTCGTCCTCCTCGAGAACAACAACCACCCGCCGCATGTCCACAGCACGCTTCGGCCGCGGGGCCCAATCCGGCTCTAGGAGAACCACGGCGCTCTCGGGCGTAAACCGCGCGGTGCGCTCCGCCGTGAAAGCCGGCAACCGCCTGTGGAGCATGTACCTCGGCCTCACCCCCCTCCAGCGCGTGGCCGTCGCCGCGTTCCTCCTCGTCGTCAACGTCCTGGGCCTCCTCTTCCTCATCTACTCGCACGCAATCTTCAAGTGGCTGGCGCCCGTGTCGCAAAAGTGGCGCGCGCTGCCGTTCGGCTGGCTCATCATCTGGGCTTTCACGTTCATGACGGCCTTCCCGCCCATGATTGGCTACAGCACGGCCATCTCGGTCTCGGGCTTCGTCTACGGGTTCCCGCTGGGCTATCCCATTGTCGCGACGGCCACGGTCGCGGGCAGCCTGACGGCGTTTTACACGAGTAGGGGCATCTTTAGTGGTTACGTGCACAAGCTCGTCGGGCAGGATCATCGGTTCATCGCGCTGGGCCAGGTGTTGAGGAAGGACGGGATCGGCATGTTGACGGCGGTGCGCTTCTGTCCGCTACCTTATAGTTTGTCCAACGGGTTCCTGTCCACGATCCCGTCCATCAAGCCTTGGACCTTTGCCGTCTCGACCGCACTTGCCAGGTAATTAAAGCTGGGAACCCAATCGTATCCTTCGCTACGGTTCCAGCATGACTAACAGAGGATCCCCAATAGTCCAAAGCTTCTCGTCCACGTCTTCATCGGCAGCCGCCTCGCCCTCATCGCCGAAAAAGGCGACGAGATGACGGCCGGCGGCAAGGCCATCAACTACATCTCCATGATCCTCGGCGGCGCCGTCGGTCTCGTCGTCGGCTGGCTCATCTACCAACGCACCATGGCCCGCGCCGCCGAGCTGGCCCTGGAGCAGGCCGAGATCGAGGGCGGTCTCGTGCCCGGCCAGGACGCACCCGACTATTCGGATATTGAGGCCGGCCTCGTGGACCCGGAGGACGTGGCGGCGCTCATGGACGATGACGACATTTCGCTGTGGGCGCGCGAGGCTGATGAGGAGGGCGGGTATCATGATGACGATGACGATGAAAACGAAGGCGGTGGGCAGAAAATCGGGCGCGAGGATCCCGTGAATCCGTTTGATGATGAGCACAGTGGAAAGGGGGGCGGGTTCAAGGATTCGGATTAAGGCGTTTTTTTCAAAGGACAGTAAAGGTATTGTAGACTTTGAGTTGATGTGGAACTAGACACTGCTTCTAGACATCAAACATGACTGAAATGTTCCAGAATATTGATGCCCAGAGCAACGTACGGGTAAGCGAATTTTGCAGCAATAAGTATTCTCGTGATATCAATGTCTCATTTCTGGTCTTGTGTGGTATCATACGGACGAGTTCTGTCTGCTTTTTCCTCCTGCGTCCATTCATACCATTTCCCCCCCTTGCTGCCTCGTCAATCTGTACATCAAACTCGTGTAGTACACCGTGGAGTGTAACTGGAATAGGAAAGTCCATAAAGATATCTGGACGAGAAAAACTAGCTCTGCATCAAAGGTCACATTCCAACGCCTTCGCTTAAAACAGACAAACGCCTCCCCTTCCCAATAATAGAAAGCCATATGTGCGAAACAGAAAAATGGAGAGAGAAACAAAGATGAGAAGGTGTCATGGGCTCAGACCACTACTGCCTCCCCTGGAAGTGTTGCATGAATTGGATTGCCTGCTCAATGGGATATCCGATGAAGACTGGACCGGTGAAAACCATTTGTGGCATGCCGTTCGGTGTGAACTGCTTGTTCGCGTCGAGCGGGGGGTTGATGAAGGTCGGTTGTTGAGGGGGCATGCTTTGCGATGGCTGCGGCTTCACAGGCGTCGATGGCAGTTCGATAGGTTGAGGATCCGGTTCGGGGTGGACATAGGTTTGATCGCCAGTGTCTGGCGCAGGCGACGCGAAGCCCATTGCAGCAAGTTGAGCGTGATCGAAGGGGCATTTTCCAGCAGGCTTTGGCGGCGATGCATCCTCGCCTATATCGTTTGACATGAGCTTGGGCGCTGGTGTAGGAGAGACAGGTTGAGCCTCTTCGCGAGCGGCTGCCATCGCTGCCATCTTCGTATGATCGAAGGGACACTTGCCAGTCTTTGGCGCTGGTGTTTCCTCGCCTTCAGAACCAGATGGCATGAAGACGGGTGCTGGAGGAGGCGAAAGAGGTCGTTCTTCATCGCCCATACCATGAGGCTCGTAGATGGGAACCGATATGCCCCACGGACGGCTAGGAGACTCGCCGACTCGAACCTCCTTAAGCGTTCTGTCAAAATGGCTCTGCCGAGCCTCATCTGCATCCTCAGGCTCAGGCTGGGACTGGTCGGCATCGTCTGCTGACGTATCCGTGACAGCCTTTGCCCAATTGTGAACCCTCTCATTCGAGGCACGTTCGATCTCTTCCTGCTCCTGCTGTGACTCCGGCAACATGGGCTGATGTAGCGCACTAAGCCCCTGAATCATGTTTACCAAATTGCCGTATTTTGCGTCCAGCTTCTTGATTTGCACCTCATTCTTCTGGTATCTTCTCACACAGACCTCGTGACTGCGAGGCAATTCGTGCTTATGCGTCTCGACGTAGTGTGCGATCTCTTCTGGGGAGTGCTGGTCCAGGTAGCGAATCGGACATTTGGCGGGGGAATCGGCAGCGCCGGGAGCCGGTTGAGATGTTGATTCCTCGAACATGGCGGCACAGATGGGGTCCGTAGAGTGGTGCGGAGTAGGGTCCTGGGAGCCCTTCTCGGCGCTGTGCACTTCACCATCGCCCTCGCCCGCGCTGTCCGCCTTCTGAGAAGAGAAAGGACATTCCAAAGGCCCCTTCTTCCCCTCGATCGTGAAGTCTTGCTCAAGCACGGTAGACATGGAAGTTCCGGTCTGGGCCTCACGAGAAGAAGTCTCTCTACTAGAGTCGCTCGTCTTGCTCGTTTCGCCGATCGACGTAAGCTGCTGGGCAACGCGCCGTCCGTCTCGGATGATGAGAGCAATCTGATTTCGGGTATCCAGCTTGTTGCGCTTCGGTAGCGGTACGGGGTTGGCGTCTTCTAGCGATGGATTCGCGAGTTCGGGCGGCAGCTGTAACTTTGCCAGTACTTCGGAGATTTCGGGGGCAGCAGGGGCATGTTTGTCGGCCAAATACTGGTACTGTGAAGGTCGGCCGATTAGCAAGAATTACCACCGAGGCTGGCCCGGAGACGAAGATGATGGGGGGAAGTTGCAAAAGCGCAAGTCAGAAAATGGTAAAAGGAATCAGTCTTCGCCCCTTGTGAAAGGAGCTCTTGATCTAGAGCTAAGGTTGTTCATCATATTGGAGGTGGTGAGGAGAGTGTCGCAAAGCAGTGGCTCTGCTGACAAACCCCTGCGCGTTTCGTTTCAACTCACCTGCTCGTGGGCGAATCTGAGCTTGTGCTCCAGGATCGTTTTCCTATCGGTCAGGATCTGGACCTCATCGGCGAGAGCGTTGAAGGATTCAACAAGCGTCGTGGTAAGATGTATGTAATTCATCCCACTGTTGGTGGCTTCGCGCTCGGAACATGTGGAATGGGGCATGAAGTGGCGGGAAGAGAAGGTATTCGATGTTTGGGTGGATGGGGAGACTTTCCTTTGGCAGCCCATCGTGCACCAGGCGCTTCCCCAAGTTGGGACTTGGTAAGGTTCGCTAGAGAGGCGGCGCGCGTGGAGTCCGACCCAGGTTTTGCCGAGCCGAGCACATTCGGATCGTACGCGGGGGTTGATGTCATTGGTGGATTGTCACCCGGAATCGGAGCTGAGCTTATGTAAGGAGTCTAGAACATCGCTACCTCTAAGAAAGTGAAAGTGAGGCAAGAAAGGAGAGTTGAAGAGAGCTCTGCCCAGCAACGGATGGCCGGCAATATTGCCAGCATACTTGCTTCTTTTTACGCGCGTGTTCATTGCCAATACGGATACAGCCTTGAGTAATTGTATCGTGCGATAATAAGCAAGTCTTGTGATTATTCTCGGATTTATATTTACCACCACATGATTTCGGTCTCTACTCTGGGACTCCGAAGACTCCAGAACCTTATACTCCATTGAGCAGCGACTGTCTCTTAATACTATTCAAGTAGGAGGAAATCCATGATCAGGTGCATCTGCATTTTCTCATCACTTCTGTAAGGAGGTAGTAACTGCGTCGTCAATAGATACCTTGACCAAGTCACATCCCAGGATTTGGACTACAACCTCTCAGGGCAGATACCGGTCCGTCAAGACAAGCAGTTGAAGTCTAAGTCCATGGAAGGAAGCCTTGCAAATCTGGACTGATTGCAAATCCTCGAAAGTGGAAAGCCGGAGGATTTGAGATGGAATTCTATCCCTCAAGATGCAGTTCCTGGCACGCAACGCTCACAGTGTCACACTGTGACTGCCCCGGTCGCCCAACTGAGAAGGTGCGACATCTCACGGCACTTTATCTTGCACCATCATCTAGGCGGGGTTCTCAGGGTCCTCATATTTGGCTAGTTGCCAACATCAGATTCAGTGTTCATATCCAAGCCTTCTCCTTTTTTAACTACTTTGCTCTCTCGCACAGTCATTAAGCCTTCGCTTTACCCCAGCCGGCTCAACATGGCTTCCAAAGTAATTAGTGCGGCGAAGCTTCTTAGCAAGAGGTCGCATGTCATCCCAGGTAATTTCCCCAAAGGGCTGTTCATAGAAAAGGGCTGTTCATAGAACAGTGCTGATCAGAACGATAGGCCAATTCCTCGTGTCTGAACTCTTCTTTGAGGTCCCAAAGGACTACAGCAACCAGTCCTCGGGTGTTCTTCAATTATTTGGCAGAAGTGTCACCAAACACGAGAGGCCCATAGTCCCTCCCAGCGAAAGTGAGAAGAAGCAGGCAGAGCAGAAGCCATGGATGGTGTTTCTGCAAGGTGGGCCGGGATTTGGTAACCCAGAGCCTCAAGACAGTCCCATCACCCGCACTGCCCTAGATCGAGGATACCAGATCCTATTCTTGGACTACCGAGGAGTTGGACTCAGCTCTCCCGTCTCCGCTGTCACCCTCGCCCTCGAGGGCAATGCTCAGAAGCAGGCCGACCACCTCAAATTACTTCGCCAGGACAACATTGTCAACGACCTCGAAGCCGTCAGAGCCTATCTTACGGAAGACTTCCCGGAAGAAAAGAAAAAGTGGTCCCTCTTTGGTCAATCGTTCGGCGGGTTCGTGTCTCTCACCTACCTTTCGAGATTCCCTCAAGGCCTTCGGGAAGTCTTCCTTACTGGAGGTCTCGCACCCGTCGGCAAGTCGCCTGAGCAGGTGTATGGGGCAACTTTCAAGAAAGTCCAGGAGAGAAACCAGGCCTACTACCAAAAATATCCCGAAGACATCGAAGCTGTCCACCAGGTGGCTCGTTTCATTCAGGAGAAGAAGAAGGTCACTCTTCCTGGTGGTGGTTATCTCACAATCCCGAGGCTGCTCACCCTTGGACTTGCCTTTGGTGCTCATGGGGGACTCGACTCAGTGCACTCGACCATCCTCAAGCTGAAGACGGACTTGGACCAGTTTGGCTTCTTCACGCGCGCATCCCTGACTGACGTTGAAACGGCCACCTCCTTCGACAGCAACATCATATATGCTATTTTGCATGAAGCAATCTACACCGATGGGCCAGGTTCCGCTTCCAACTGGGCAGCCTACAGAGTTGGCAAGTCCTTGGAGAAGTTCTCCTGGTTGGCGAAGGAACCCGCCCTCTCCGAGTTCACGGCCCCGCCCCTCTACTTCTCGGGCGAGATGATCTTCCCACTGCACTTTGAAACATACCCGGAGCTGATTGAACTCCGCGAAGCCGCCGAGATTCTCGCCAAGTTCGACGAGTGGCCGGAGCTGTATGATCAAGAGAAGCTGCGCGAGAACACGGTGCCTGTATATGCCGCCGGCTACATTGACGACATGTACGTCGACTACGAGTTCGCCAAGGATACGGCCGCGCTCGTCAAGGCCAAGGTGTACGAGACGAACCAGCTGTACCACTCCGCGCTGCGCGCCAAGACGGAAGAGGTGATGAGGGAGCTTTTCAAGCTTCGTGACAACCCAATCGACTAATTTGTACGTCTATATCATTACTACACGCATGTACATATCTAGAACCGCTTCAAATGGGTATCTTCGCAGCCGTCTTTTTCCAAAATCCGCATCTCTTCTCTAGTAATCCCAAATCAGCCGTCGCGAACCCTGTTGGGATGACGACCCATTCCTTGCTGTCCTTGAGGGGCGGTACACCAGCTTGCGTTGACGCAGATAGCTTGAGCGCGTTGGGGTCACCCGTCTGGAAGAAAGACGCAAATGCACCTGGAACAGCGAGTTAGTGACAGTGTTCTGCGGTAAGCAACATACAATCCTTTATACTCACCAGCATAGCCTTCGTAGCGGGCAGGGTCCGTCTTTTGCACGGCGTTGACCTGATTCCACTACATACCTGTTAGTTATCCACTGACTAGATTCTTTCACGGAAAGGGACCAAAACTCACCCAGACGGTATCACTAGCATGCTTGGACGGGTTCAGCGAGTACTCGCCCAACCAACCCCCCTTCGGCGCCGCGCCCGAGAACCAAAACGCCGGACACGACAGAACGACGTCCCGATAAATGAGCCCGGCCCGCACGTACGTCGTGTTATACGAAACCGTCTCCGTCGTGCCGGCCGCGGGATACAGCCTCTTTACGCCGTCAATCTCGCAGTCGCCAAACCCGGGTAGGAACCCCCTCAGCCACTTGTCAAACGAGGCCTCGCTCGAGTTGAACGGCGGAGACCCGACGTCCGTCGCGCTCTGGAGCCCGCCGGGCAGGAAGTTCTCGCCCTCGTGCGTGTTGTGCATCGCAAAGGCCAGGTCCATGTTCACCCGCCCCGCGGCGGCGGCCTCAGAGAGCGGTTCCCGGAGAAACTCGCCGTCGATGACGGGCGACCACGTGAAGGACGACGTGTTTGTCACATGCGAGCTCGAGATGGCGAGACTGGCGTCCCGGATCGTCTGCACGTCCGCCTTCTTCAGGCAGGCCAGGCTGTCCTCGACGCCTGCGCACCCCGTGCGGGACGCGAGCTCGTCGTAGAGCGCCTGCGCCTCGGGGCTGTCGTACGCGTACGTCTTTGGCCAGAACGGGCTGCTGGCCATGGCCTTGCGGAAGAGCTTCTGCTCCCCTCCGCGGCCGAGGGCCTGCGCCAGCACGCTGCCGCCGCCGGCCGACTGGCCCCAGATGGTCACGTCGTCCGGGTCGCCGCCGAACTGTTTCACGTACTTTTCCGTCCACTTGATCACAGCCTCCTGGTCCAGAAGGCCTGGGTTCAGGTCCGATTTCGGGTCCGCGGCAATCTGCTTCCCGGGGAGAAGGCCAAAGGCGTTTGTGCGGTAGTTTGGGTAGATGAACATCATGTCGGACGAGGTCGAGACGTTGAGGATCGGGTAGGCCGAGGGCGGGATGCTGAAGTAGGCCGAGCCCTGGATGAAGCCGCCGCCGTAAAAGGTGACGACGACGGGCTTCAGAGGCTGGTCTTGCGTCCAGGGGCGGGAGTAGAGGCCGAGGTACAGACAATCTTCGGAGCCGTTGACCTACAGATGCGTCCAGGACTCAGTCAGCGCCAACATCCTTCTTGATCTCATATCTCACTCAACGGCCATGAAGCAACGAGCTGAGGGGGGAGCAAGGAACCTACCGTCCGTTGAGGGCACATATCAAACGGCTGGCTAGAGTCATACACGACGCCGTCCACCGCCGCGGGTGGCTGCGGACCCCGGAACCGGTTCTCGCCCACGGGAGGCGCCGCGTAGGGGATCTTCTGCCAGTACGATATGTTATACGTGTCCGAGTAGGCGCCCTGGAAGTTGCCGTAGTCGAGCTCGGCCAGGAGGTGATTCTGCTCCGCCAGCCGCTGCAGAGCGGGGCCGGAGGTCCTAAAGGCCGCCGTCAACGCCGTGAATACCGTCGCTACGGTACCTGAGATGGGCGCCATCGCGTGTACACGATCGGGGGGTGATCCTCCTTTCGGCGTGGGGTTGGTGGTGTCCAAAGGGGGGGAGAAGATTGACTTCGACGAGGCGGCAGGCTCTCACGAGAGGCTTCAGCAGGAACGCCGGAAACGAGCTTGATCGACTTCTACTGACGCTGGTGGCTGGAGGACGACTATTATACCTACATAGAGCCAGTCATCCCCAGTTGCAACCGATGGCCCCCGGGGGCCCGGGGAGGGGGGCAAAGGAGGAAGAGGGTCAACCAATGATGTATGTAAGTAATCAAATCAGGCCTATTCAATCTACACTAGTTTGCATTTCCACCATACATGCGCGCCCGGGAACAGAGCCAGTTTAGGGCCTGTTCCGGACGAAAGCATTGTAACAGGGAAAGACACCCAAGAATGAGGAAGAATGTAGAAGCTGTCATTGTTGCTCTCTTGTGCTTGGTTCCAGTGGTTGCGTGGGGTAGCTAGCGCCGATGTGGTGGAGTTCGCAAGTTGCACGGACAAGGTTTCCCCTCTTCTTTTTTCCACTGGTCCCCGGAGCGGCGGAGCTTCGAGCAGCGCACCTGAGCCAGTGAACAGCCTCTGAACAGTGAATCCCCAGAATCCGAATCAGCGACATTTGAGGGAAAAAAGCTGGGGTGACGGGGGGCTTGGATTGGGGTTCGTTCGGCCTGTCGGCCGGGGTGGTGGGCTCGCACCGCCTCGGTATTTCTGCTCAATCTTGCCCCGAAAGTAGTGTACACTATTCGTATGGATGGCAGGCTCGACGATGCAATTTCTCCGCCGCAACCATTCTGTCTTTATGTTTTGTGTTCCCTCGTTTGGATCAAATGGCATCAATGACTCTCTTGCGCTCCGCTCCTACTGACCGTTTGACGGAACCCGGCAATACTCGTAGGGACTCGCGGATGCAACGGCAGAGTCCATTTCCACATCATGATGCAACGAAACCTCCAAATACATACACCTTTCATCGATCCTATCAACCAACATTATCTGCTTCCAATTCACCAACATTAAACACCATTTTGCCCCGCCGCCTCGGTCCCGACACGACGCAGTCTTGCAGCGCCAAAATGGGCCGCTGGCACGAAAACGATCACATGGGCCGGAGACCTGCATGGATTTTGGTTCGATCGGATAAACGGGACGCGTCTTTGTTTTATTTCTGCAGTGCCTCCTTCGCTTTCATCCAAATGATGGGGTAATATCTCTCAACAAAGCAGTGAGTGACCCGTCGCCGTGGGACAAAGGCTCCCGAACATGGGGCTCCATCGAACAGAGTCTCTTTCGCCTTGACCACTTGACCACCCATGCTCAGCAACGTCGTCGCTTTCCTTCTTTTTCCAACAACATACGGATACAAACGCCTGATACCCAGTCATGTCGACGGCGTTTTCCTACCTCCATGTACCATTCCTGCAACCTTTTTTTTTTGTCGAATAAAACAATCATGGCAAACAACCTCCAGGGCAGGATCCCTTAAAGGAAAGCTGTGCCTTGTGCCAACCACTTAAACACCAAACGGGCCTGGATGCCAATGATGCGGCGGCGGAGGCGGAGGAGGCCGCATATGAGGATGCATGGGCGGCGCAACCGGCCACATGGGCATGGCGTGAGGGCGCGTCGCCCGTTCCATGGACGGCAGCGCTCTACTGCCTAGATCCTCCTCTCTTCGGATCGCTGTCTCGCGGAGCATAAGAGCCGCAACTTCTGGATGCCCAATCAGAAAGTCCGACGTATACTGCGGCGCTCGTTGCCAGAGCAAAGGCTGTAAGAAGCCAACGCGCGCGAAGATCATCCTCAACAAAGGGTCTGATTCGGGGACGCCGGCGTAGAGCTTCGAACAAAGTTGCAACACAATCGACTGCGCTGCGTCAGGCCCGGCGGATTCGAGCATATCGATACAGTGACGCTGGATCACGGTTTTGAAATCGTCCATGAGAAATTTATTGGCGACAATGTACACCTCCAGGCTTAGCTCATATGTGAGCAAGAAAGTCCGCATGTCTTCGCCTCGTATGCGGTCGCCGTCCGCGTACTCGTCATTGACAGAGAATGGCACCCCGACTGAAGGCGTTGACCCTGGCGGTGTAAGGACTTGTTGTCGGCTACGGCGTCGACTGTGTGGCTGTAAGCCTATGGGCCGCACTGGTGGCAAGGGATTGATGATATGCGGCGGAAGGTGGCCGGGAATCGGCCTTGCGCGACCAACGCCACAGTTCCAGCATGGCGGTCCGGTGGTTGTGGTGCAGCGCGGACATCTGCAATCTGGGCGGTGTGTGCCTGGCTGCTTCCGGTTCATGCGGTCCCATTGCCGCTCCCGCCGCCGTTGCCGCCGCTGAGCCCGGATTCGACTTCTGGCGCTGGCATCGCTGGCCTCCGACGATGAGACCTCCGACTCCGAATCGCTTCGATAGCCAGAGTCTTGTGCTTTTCCTCGTTCTGATGCCTCAACATCCAACGCTGACGCTGCTGGCTTGATAGGCACGAAGCTTCTTTGATACAGGAAGGCGACAAGAAAGTGAAAGATGGCCGGATCCTCTTCTGGAAAGTCCATGGATTGCGCCTCAGCTTCTCTAAAGTCTCCGCAAAGAGCTTTTCGGAAATATTCCGCGGCTAGCAAGATGTTCCTGTGTACATGGAAAACCTCTTGATTCGGCGCTCGTCCAACTCGCAAGGGGATGATGGTTGAGTTGTATCGACCGTCTGCTGAACTTAGCCACAAATCTTCGCTCGGGCTAGGATCGTCTTTTCGTTTGTTCTCTTCGTGTGTCTCATCGATGACAATGACATCAGGGAAACTGGTCGGTCCTGCTCTCATCACATCGCCTAGAGTTCGAACGGCACCATCTGCATCAGCGCTGCTCCCGCCCCTACTGTGCGTATGGTTCTGAGTGGACATTTCGCAATGTAGTCGGTGTATGAGGTTATATCAGTTTAACTCTGTAAAAATCGTTGCGAGGTTGAGCCTCACAGTGTTTTTGGTGAGCTGCAACATGTAACCAAAAGAGAAAATGAACAAGTCGAGTCAAAGAACCAAGAGAGAACTAAAACAAGAAGGAAGGAGAGGAATATGAGAGCGTATCTCGGAGACAAGGAACGACCCCTTCATATAGCTTAGACTTGTACCAGACCGAGGTCAGGCAGCCACACCCACAGCTATATGCAAAAGTCGAACAAGACGGATGAGGGTGGGTAGCTCGGTGGGCGCGGTGGCTGTCAGACCTTTGTTGGTCGCGAGCCTTCTGGGCGCGACCACCAACTAATGGCGAGGCGCATCTCGGTCACTAGAGGCCCGCCGGACAAGGTTCTTTCGGGACAGAGTCAGTTTCTTTGCTTTTCCCGTCTCCCCTGCTGTGTAACTCGCGCATGAACCGTTGTGTTGTCGCATAGAAGAATCGATTGCATGTCAGGTGTCACCCAGGATTTGCGCTGGGTCGCCATTCCTATTCCTCGATCGGTTGTGGCTCTGTTTCTCTAGCGAACATTCCCGGGAATGCCACCCACCTCGGTCTGCTTTCCTATGCACTCCGTCGTCGTGGGTGTCTTGGTCAGTCATGGTGTGGGTGCCTGCCTGGACCTATGCGCAGCTCCGGAACGGGACGCAGACAAATGCAGCACCGTACTGCGGGTGCCATGTGATGAGCCCGAGTTGCGTTTGGTTGTCTTGCACCGTTGCACCTTTTTCGTGTTGGTGGCTGTCGGTCTACGGCTTTGTTCCAAAATCGCGGCTAGTCAGGCCACTGAGAAGCCATGGGAGCCCAGAGTAGCGGTGGGTGCGGACCTCCATCACACGCACTTGTCGCGTTAATATCCGGCCCTGCGAATGCGGTGGGAGGGGCTGGCATCCGACGCAATGCAGGTTGGGCATCTTCGTCACCAATTATTGGCGGATGTGCGGCGGAATGCATGCGCATCTATTGCGGGAGGTAGTAGAAACAGCCTATGAGCACCATAGCCAACTGCCCGGGTACGATGTACCAGCTTCACAACGGCCGCGGTGCAACCAAGCTACGAGGGTGTTGTCGGCCGCTCCAACCCTTACCAACGACCTCCGGCATGTTGGTCATTCTTCCTCATAGACTTCCTGTTGCATTTGAATACCTGTACGCACGCATAGTCAGCTGCTGTGCCAGCCCGACTCACATTCCACCAACGGCGCCGATATGTCTCTCGGTTTGACTTACGCCACAGTCGGTTGGCCGAGTCCGAGATGACCCTGGCCTTGGCCATGAGTTTTTCTTCGTATTTGATGCTTTCCTGTTCCTTGATACGCAATTTACTCGGTTGAGCCTGTCAAACAATGAGTTTGTTATCAATCTTGAACTCCGTCGCTTGCTTACCTGCATCAGGATTGGCAAAAGCTCATTGGGATCAGCATTTGCGACGGCCGCAATGCTGCGAAACCCGTTCTCCCAAAAGACTCTACTGTTCCACAAAGTTAGACGAAATTCCGATGCATTACCCGGTCGCGCAACTCACGCTGTCCGGCTCTTCACGAACGTAATTCTGGCCAAGGCCAGCAAGTCGGCTTTTGCCCCAGCTCTTAAACGATCTGAAAAGTGATCTAGTGCAGCAGACATAACGCTGGCCGATGCGATTAGTGATCGATCTACTACGCGTGTGACAAGCAACTCGACTCACCCCCAATCCATATGTTCGCAGAATTTGATCATTCCAGCCGCAAACCCGTTGCAAGTTTGGGATAGGGTTTGGACAGCACCGCGCGGCACATCGTACTTTCGCGCCACAACGTGGATGGGCATCTCGTTACACAGGTCTCGTAATTGAAAGGCCATGTAAAACCGACGGTGTACACGAACCATCTCTTTCTCCTCGGCAGTCGTCTCTTTGAGTGTGCTACCCTGCGCCCTGGTCACGGTTAGCGACATCGGAAAAAGGGGCCCGAGGTACCTACAACCGGTTGATCACAGCACGCTTGAGCCCAAGGAAGCCGAGAACTCTATGGCCACTTTCATCCATATTGTCCACTTCGTTCCTGAAAACCTGCCAATTGATGTTGGTGCCAGAGTCCTGGACGGGCGTAAAAGTGTAAAGGATGTGCATCTCTCCATCCATAACAAATGCTTGAAGCGCCCTTTCCAGTTCCTTGTGGATAAAGACACCATCGTCAGGATCCAATGCAAAGGCTACAATGGCCCTCCCAAGTTTTGTCGGCTGATAGTTGTCGCAAACGTCCACGGACACAAAGCCCATGTTTGTCAGATTTTTGAGGCTGACCTCGACGCAGTCTTGGAGGGACTCCAGAGGCCCAGAGCGGCTTAACAGAGTCTTCGTTATGTACTCGTCCAGCGCATCTCGGCTTGTTGCCAATCGTATGGCAATGACTTCCAGGAGTGCTCTGGATGCTGTTAGCACGATGAATGCTACTGCGCATCTATGCCGGGATTCTGACCTTTGGATTCGCTTCCTATCCGTCATCAAACCGCTGGTGATTTTTGGCATCTCGGCGTGCATCAAGTCGACAACCTGCTCAAGATCATCTTTTCGGCAGCACAGGTAGGTTTCTCCGACTTCGTCTTTTCCCTTGCGACCAGCACGTCCACGCATCTGTCTGAGCATCGATGGCCCCACGAAATCTCTTCCCATGCGAGCATTGTGAAGGATAACTCGTCGTGCCGGCCTCAAACCTGTCAGCAAGCCTAACCACGATTGTGATATACCTCTAGACTTACAAGTTTATGCCAGCTGCTAAGCTGCATGTCGCTACACACACTTTGAGGGTCCCGGCATCGTATGCATTGGCGATGATGTCTCGTTCTTCGGTGGTAAGACCAGCCTGTGATATTTAGCTGCTAATTCAATAGCGCTGCATTTGATGCAAACTGACATCTGAATATCGCCGTATTAGTTGCTAAGCTTGTAAAGGTTTCGTAATTGGACTTACGGTGAAATGCAACGCCCATAGGTACCGTCTCTTCCAGGACAGGATCGATGCCCGTCCCGAGACTGCGCAACTCAGCCATGAGTTCAACCCTCTTCTCCACAAGGCCAGGGTCGAGCTCGTCTTGCGTCGGCATGACTTTGGCAATCCAACGGGCGTCTGCTTCACAGCCGTAACGACTGCTGGCGAAGACCAACGCTCCGTAGCCAGCCTTAGCAGTCTCGCTAGCAAGTGAAATAACAGCATTGAGCACGGGATCTTGGAATTCCTTGTGACTCGAAGGTTCGATGCGTCTTGTGGCTCTAGATCCCGGCTGGTGAGTGGCTGTATTGAGGTTCTTGGCCGTCTTCAGCAGCTCACTTGTCGTTGTTGCTGGGTACACATTGCCCTCGTAGACAAGATGTTCTTCGATCGGTACTGGGCGATAACGCGTTTCATACGAATGTGCTCCCAGCCATGTAGCCAAGAGACTGATGTTCTAAGAGGTTGAGTCAGTATGTGCTGTGATCGAGTATATATGCAACGATATCGCACCCACAGACATGGTGGCGCTCATACCGATGATTTGCACCGGCTGAGGCAGGGTGAGCAACTTTGTGCCCATCAACTCCATCAGATAACCGCGGTGGTCATCGTCGATCATATGAAGTTCGTCGAGGACAACCGACTTTAAATGCTTGATTGAGCAATCGTCTATTGCCGTATTGACAAGTGCGTTGGCCTGCCCGGTCAGAGTCAGCTAGATCCGAGTTGTAGGCCGTACGCTTCCCACCTTCTCTATGGTACACACGCCGATGTCAAAGTCAGACCAAGTAGGCTTGATTTTGCTTCCTCCAAAGAACCCAATGACCCTGATCGTGTCTTCGTCTGCCCGCCGCCTCCAGATGCGTTTCTCGTCGTCAATCTCATCTTTGGGTTTCATCACACCCTGGACGATGTTTCGAAGCCAACGGACCTTTTCCTGTACGAGGGCAACATAAGGCAGAACCAAAAGAACTTTGGCGTTCTTTTCCTCTAGCACCCTCTTCAGCATCAAAACTGTCGACTAGTCAGTCTGGTGTCAGCCATGATGACGGTCGGACTTGCCATCAGCCACAAGGGACTTTCCGCCTCCGGTCGGAGCACTGTAAACGAGGTTTCTTTCGCCAGCGAGAAGCCCCGGCCCGCGGAGACATGCTTTTTGCCATGGATACATTATTTTGATACCCAGGCTGTAAAGGTTCCGGACCAAGGATCGAGGAAGTCCATAGTATGGATGGGCAAGAGCAAGCAACGGATCCGAAGATGACGAAGGCGTGGACTGGAATTCTCTCCGCTGTGTGTATTCAGATGGACCTTGAGTGGCCGCCGGGCTCAATGAGATTATCGGGCTCGCTGTAAGTTTTGGAGGCACAGGAGGCAAACTTGCCGCTCTCTGCACTAGAGAGGTGTGGCGAGGCAAATCTGTCGGTTTCGGTGCAATAGGATGAGCAGACTCAGCCCGAGGTCGTTTCTGCCCAGCAATTGTGGTTGTCACGGAGTGATAAGCTCGGCCTTGCTCCTCGGCGGCCTCGACGGATGTTTTATGCCAGATGCCGTAATTGGTGGCCATTGTGAAGCAAAATAGTACCAAATGTCAGAATGCAATCCATGGAGACAGGGCAAATCCAAGTTGCAGTCAGAGTAAAAAAAAAAAAAAGCCAAGGCTGCAAAAGGGAGAGCAAAGAAGTGAAATGGGACGGGCTCCAAGGGAAGACTTGAATGTTGTGCGCGTCCTGCAGAACGTGTGGAAGGCAGCAGCAGGGATGGCCCGCTTCCGCTGGGCCACGCGAAATCATGTTGGAAGGTGGTGGTCCATTGGGTTGGTTACCTCAGCAGGAGCACCGTGATGGCAGACGGTCGGTGTGTATGTGCCGCCCGAATTTTGACCACCAGGTGGAAGTTGAGCGACTGGATTCGGCCGGCTGACGGAGTCGCAGGGTACGTACTCTGCACCGGCCAGACCGCCCCCACTTGAGGCCGAGCCACACTTCACACAACCCGTTTGGTGGAGTACACTGGCGATGCGTGGCTGACTACTCACTCCATGGGCCAGACGTGGCACTGACCTTCCATCGCTGTTGCAGAGATGTTGGAATCGAGGCCGACTAGGTAGTCAGGGACCGGACCAGATAACCTTGAGCCGATGGGGGCTACGGGCTGCCCCAGGTAGGATTTAGATTTTGAGGGGAGACGAAGTTCGCTTGGCGCTGGGGGGGCGCTTGTCTGAGCTGTAAGAGAAGAGACCGGATGGGGTGTGATCGGGGGGTGGGAGGGCAGAAATCTAGTCTTGTTCGATAGACATTGGCAAGAGACAAAAACCCGCTGTCGAAAAGACAAAGGGCAGGCCGGAACAGAACAGATCAGCGTGCGTTGGGGACAGGGGCATGCGGTTCTTTGTAAGAGGCACCAGACAGGTGGCCAGCCGCAACCATCAGGAACCCGAACTACCTTTCGAAGTGCACCGCAGAGCAACTCGCGTGGGCGAAGGATGATCCAGGCTCCGAGCCAGCAGTATTAGAGCATTGGAACCATATGGTAGGGATCCTATTACACAGTAATAAGGTAGGGAATGGAAAGTATCGGGGTGGTCCCCCAAGGCCTGGCTTTGGTGAGGAACCAGACCCTGTCGCAATACAGGGATCATCAATTCGGCCCCACACATTCCTTAACGCTCCGTCATGGCCTGCCACCACCAGTGATCACGACCCCATCTGTTTCCCAATGACGAAGATGGTCAGTCAGAACGGTTCCCCTCCTTCGATGACCGACGCTGCTGTCAACGTAGATTGAAGCTATTCGTCACTTCGTCGACCCGACTGACACAGCGAGCTAAAGTGTGTCTCTAGCAGCAGATCAATGGCTGCGCCGAGGATTGTCACCCTAGTCAGGCCTATACCACGCCCGAGCCTTCATCTTATACGTCTCCCCACATCAATACAGCTACTTGTATCCGTACATTGAGCGGCAGACTGTCAACTATCCGTACATGAGCTGGAGCATGCCTTGTGCATGTCACGCTCGGAGCACCAGCTTCAAGGGCAGAGATGTAATACTACGTATGTAGGTATTCCGGCACAGGCCCAGGTTCGAGATCTAACATTGGCATTTTCGGTCAGGGCGTCGATGACTCGGCGCAGGGCACATGGTTATTGGTCCGACCGGAGGAGCGGTTGCCTCGTGTACCTCGATGCACTACTCCGTACTGCTGGCAGTTAAGTGAAAGTCGAATCTTCGTTATGGAAATGCCGCGCTCTCCCGCTGCCCAAGTTGTCGATTCCCCTCCCATTCGATGAAACGAGTCGGGGTTCAAGGCAGTGCATGACTTCGAGGCCGGTAGATTAGGAGTGATTGGAAATGGCCAGGAATGCGCTTGTTGCTGGCCAGCGATCAGCCCCTGGCAACATGTGGCATGTGGTGCCCTTCTTTTTTTTTTCCCTCTCCTGTGCGGCGTGCCGGACCAACCGACAAATGCGGTCAATCTCATCTGGGTTTTCTGACGTCCCGTCTGCCGCTGGTGGGCATCTGCACCACCGATCGCGAAAGCTGTCGCATTCAGATAATTTCCAGTCGACAGTAAGCATTCCGGGGAGCTAGTGATTTAGGTCGTCCGAAGCCTTTCGATCATATATCTACCCTTGATAGCATGTGTGAAAAGCTGCCTACGCGATTCTGAAGGATATGCGCTCGATTGACTCATGGACGAGCTGGCTGGGCTTTCTACCAGGGTAAGCTTGAGACTCGACATCGTGGACATTACTGAGAAACCCAACAAATGGAATCGATGCGTATCCCGATCGCTGGAGAGAGAGCACTCAATGGCGACAAAGGGGGCAAATGAATTTGGGCCCGTAAGAAGAAAAGACGTGGCTCATTCGTCGTTCTGCTCCGGGGCTGCACAATCCAGGCTCAAATTGGACAGCCAGCTGCTTATACGCCTTGTGGGTGCCCACGCCCGTCGTCGACTGCACACCACGGAGAACTCCTCACCTCATTAGTCGTGCTCGCCGAGGCTGGCCCCCCGTTTGTTTGGCGCAATGCGGTCGCTGCCGCCGATGGCTTGCGGCGCGGTCGTGGCCCATGCTGTGAGAGCACCAACTTCACTCTGCATGATGCTGGAGACAGACAATTGTGCCCTTTCTTTTCTCATCAGATAACACTGATTTGAAGGCTCAAATTCCAATCGCTCAGAGCCTTCAAAACATATGTCTTGAAGACGAGAGAACGTGAGAAGAAGCACTTCCCGGTTTCTCATCATCGTTAGGATAAGGTACGTTCAAGTTGTCTTAGGTAAGGTACCTAGTGCCGCAGCTCCTGCAATGGCAGAGAAAAAATACGTACCTCTTAGTCGCCAGCCAGCGGTCCCTTGCGGCTCCACTCCGACGTCCAAGCCGATACGTATCCGTACAGATACATGGACCATGTATCTCTCCACGACGCCTTAAACCTCAGCGCGCTGTGTCTCCGTGCCAGGAGGGAATGGGTCAAGCTGGCTCGTGGTTTGAACTATGAAACACATCGTAGTATTGTTTGCGCTGATGTGTCTTCAAACCTGACGGTCGCCAGAAACGTCTACAGGATATTGCACTCGCCTAAGAATAAGTCCCGGGATTGCGGGAGCGGGAACGAGTGTGCCTCGATCTCATCTGTACTCCGTACTCCTCAAGTACTTGTGTGGTGGTGCGCGCGCCTTGCCTCGGAAGCTGGGCGGGCAACGGTCGGCATCTGACTGCTCTCTTAAAGCAGCTCTCCCGTGTCCCGCTGTTCAATACGGTCTTTCTTCGCCTCGCATTGTTTCTCAGAGACGGAAAGAGCCATTTTATACAGGAAACTTATAGTTGTCCTATCAATTTCAGCAGACGGTAGCCTGTAGTGTAGGTTTCGCAAGCGGGCTGGCGGGCTGATTCACCACCAATAACGTGCAGTATCCACACAGCTCAAGTGTCAGAAAGCCTTTCGATTGAAGCCAAAAAAACAGAAACTGTCAGGGACATAGTTGACGATATGGACGACCAGTCGCGGATTGAAAATGCCTACACCAGGAGCAGCAAAGGTGTTTTGACTTGGCATGGCTGACAATCGGTGCCTGGACTAGTACATGACAGAAACCCAGATTACATGCCAGGAAAACTAACACTCGATGGGATAATCCGCCGAAAGGTGATGTTCAAATTAAGAAAATGGTGAGGGTGGCAAAAAAGGGTGTTCGATACCGACAGCGGGGGGCTTTGGAAGCGTTGCCGTGATAACCTCCGGAATTTGTTACCCCCATGTCGTGCATATGACTTTGACAGGGTTTTGATGCACATAAACCAGGCTCTGTGCGGAAATCGTACATAGTTCGGAATGGCGAGTTCATACCGTCGGTCTATTGTCCGAAGTCATGCTATGACTGATTGGAAAGGGAAGGAAAATTGGATAATGGGGGGTAAAAAGGGTACCAAGGGAAGACAGCACCCGTATGAGGTTGGGTGTCATTAACGAGGCACCGTCTCATCCGGTTGGAGTGCAGGTCCAGTTGAGCCAGAAGTGACCAACTCATGCGGACACCGTTTTGTGGAGAAGACAGCCTTCTGATGTAGAGCAACGATCGGCCAGCCTGTACTCCGTAACCGTAGCGATATGCGAATAAGATGCAGGCAGAGAAGGCTAGGAAAACAGAAACAGGGCCGGTCGAATAGGCGCCTAATTATTGAGGGAAAGCGAAAGAGAGGGAGAAGGCAGGCAGACGGTGAGAGCACGAGGTGCTGTTGATTTGATATTGGGGTGGGCGGCCAAGAGCCACTGAGCATCCCAGGAGGTGGGATGGAAATGGAACCGACACACATGGATGATGACGGGGGTATGGACGACATCTCGTGGGCACATCCCTACGTGGTAGGGAGCCCTTCGTTTCCACAGGGTTGGACAAGCCGGGGTGCTACGAACCTAGCCTAGGAAGGGCATCGAAGGAAGAAGTGGGCGAGTCGTTGACCTGTCGAACATAAGCAGCAGCCTTCAATCAGCAAGCGACAATCAGATGAGACGCAGCGAGTGCAATAGTCGACGCTGTCAGTCTCTATTGAGGCATGGTCGCTCCCGCCCGGGTTTGCGTCTCCATCTCTCTGTTGTGCTCTTTGTCACCAGATGAGGAGCATGAAAGATATCGCGGTGGATTCTCGAATCAAGACGCCTTTCTCATTCGATTAGATGATGCCGGACGAGGGACGTTTGAGGCGTATGTATAGTGAGTGGCATGAGAATTGACAAGGGAAAGACGGTCGATATCCTGACGAACTAAAAAAGGCATGTGCGACTGGGAATGAGGATGAAGTAGGAAAGTAGGAAGGACCACGGAGAATTGGTTAGCTGGGAAAGGCGGGCGATGTCAAAACTGCAAGGGAAAGTGCCAAAACAGATGGTGAGATGGAGAGACTTGATGGACAAGGTAGTGGTAGGTAACCATTGTGCGGTAAATAAAAATAAAAAAATAAAATAAAAAGACAGCCAAAAGTGACTTTCTCGCACCTTGCCATGAAATGCCCAGGCAGTCGCCTCGTGCCGCGCTGCGCTGCGTGTCTGCCAAAGTATTCG